CGATTGCTCTCTGACCGGCGTAGGGCTTGAGGAGTAGCCATCAAGACGTTGATAACCCGCAAGTTCAGTTTTTGAGAGAATTCGACGCAGTGGCGGCTTAACGGCGGTCAGTTCCTTTGCTGGAGTGACGTCTTCTGCGCGAACTGGTGCAATCTGTTGGGTTTCCTGCACAGGTTGTTGTTGCAGGATGGAAAGGTTCCAAATCATAATTATACCATCAAGACCTGTACTAATTAGAGTTTTCTTTCCTTTTGCATTGGTATCCTCTGACTTCGTTTCGAGTAGTACGATATCACTGACACCTTCAGTGTGGCCAAATTCTCGCGTTAAGAGTACGTCCTTTTCGAAGTCATAAACTCGAATTGACTTGTCTGTCGTTGACACTCCAACAAGAAGCGGTGGACTTTGTTCTGGGATCTCGCAGTTTGCCATTAATGAACTGACCACGACCGTGTCATTCGTTTCCGGGTCTGAAGCTTTAAATGAATGGATCTGTCTTCCAGATGGGATATCGAATCTATGGATGTGCCTATCTATAGTGGATAAAATAAGTGTATCCTCTCCATCAGGATAAAGGGCCATTGACACTGGTGAAGCCTTCAGAGTGAGAACTCTCGACAAGCTGAACGCTATCGTAGTATCCCCATCGGTTTCACGGGTCATGCGATCTCGAACTATGACAGTGCGATCGGAAGAACATGACAGTAACCTTTCACCGTCATTCAGCAATAGGAGGCGTCCAACAGCGCCAACATGTTCGTCCATTGTCTGTATCAAGTCGAGGGAGTTGTGGGCGATTTTAAAAAGTTGAACCATCCTATCACGGCCGCAAGTTGCGACCATGATCACTCCAGCATTATTTGCTTGGACGGCAATGTCTGTAACTTCACCGCCATGGGCTCTAACCTCATTGGTGCATTCCCATGGGTCTCCGGTGATTAACCTGGTATATGACGTGAGCAAAACGGAGAATGATACTAAAATTTTGCTTCGCGAAATTGAAATGATAACCCACCTTATTACACCATATTTATCACCAGAAATAAACGTTCTCATATCCGCTGTGGTTCGTAAAATTTTCAACTCATTTTTATCATCATCATTGCCGGGTAATTGCTCCAGATCTACTTTCCTCGTCGCACGACATCTGCCCTGAAGGCTCCAGAAATTGACAGTTCCGCCTGATGACCAGGTGAAAAAGTCTGCTTCGTGCGGGTTGGAGGACTTGAGAAGTCCAATACCAAGTACTGCATCTCGATGTGCTGGCATGGATGTTTCCACTAGGGTCTCGACATTATCCTCGCCTACCCTGTCGAGTGGGCAAACGCGTATTGCGCGAGTGGAATCTACCGTGACCATATGAGTGGAGAATATACCCATCGAGATGATCGCCGGCATTTTCGTCTTTGGAGTAGACGAGAGTCGTTCGTCATAGTCCGGGTATGTTGGTGATTGGGAGATCAATGATTTCAATTCCACAATCGAAGATCTTTGTATTATCCGGCCACGGCCACCAAGCCAAACCATTCCAGACTCATGGTCTACAGCAATGGAGCTAATACCAAAAGCCACGCTTTTGACGAAGTGTAACTTTTGCTGTGTCCTCGTGTCATCAAGAATACAAACCATGCCGCTATCGGAGCAAACAATTGCTTCACTGTCTGAGATGCTTGCAACGCAGGTGAATGTACAGTCACCCAAGGTGCCTAGAAGACAGTTTCTTCCGGCAAGTGCTTTTGGCGAGGAACTCGAGGGAGAAGGCACCGGGGCATCGAGAGTGAATCGCTGCTGTTTGGATGGTGAGTTAGGCCTAGGGTCTGTCAATCGCCAGACCTTAACGTGTCGTATCCCAACACTACAGGGGCCAAATGTTAGTCGGACTGCGCTCAAGGAGAGATATATATCACCTCTCCACGTACGTTATTAAACTATTTCCCATCCAGCATATATCCCTAACGAATGAGGTGCATTTGTTTGTCGAGTGTAGCTTCGCCGCGCCATTCTTCAAGTTCACGCTCCAGATGAACAAAAATCCGTCATTAATATCACCGAGCGTAGCCAAATATTGCGAGGTGGGACTGAATGCGAGGCTACGAATGCCAAACGAGTGATCCATCATTATCGAAAGAGGGATATCAAGTGGAGAGTCCTTGGCGGTTGAGAATATTAAAACCCGAGGGGAATACCCAGTCTACGCTGTGTTAGTGGGGCTTTGATGGGCTTTCTCCGTTGTAGGCAGAGGGAAGTGCAACATGCCTCTCCTACTGCTAAAAACCTGCCATTTGGGCTTATCGAAACACATGTAATGGCTTTTATCCTTTCTCGCGAAGTCCATGTTCGCGAGCTGGTATTCTCACCCCATTCTGAGTTTGGAGAGTTCGCATACGGCGCTCCGTTTATAGTCGACGCTCTACCCGTCGGTTGAAGCGACCTCGTTCGCGTATCTGGCGTAGTGGGAGGTGTCGATGTATTATAGAATGACTGGATAGGATTAACGGGAGATGCGGTAGGCCGTGCGCGAAAGAAACGCTGCGAGATGTTTAGGTCCTCATCTATCTCTGCCAGAATCGTCGCTGAACCTGCACACAGCGCAAATGATTTCGTAGGCTCGTGGAAGGAGAAGCCATTCGGGTTTGAGGTAGTTGTTCCGATCACAGTCTGCAAGGATAATGTCGAGTAATGAGGGGGTCTGTGAGGTGGTCTTGCTGCCGGTTTTAGGATTGGAGACTTCGCTGGCGTGAGCTTTAGAGACGCTCCAAGAACGCTTGGAGGCCTAATTTTTGAACCTAGTATATGATTGTTATTGTTATTGGTATTGGTATTATTTGCGATGGACTGTTCCATGGCTAAGAGCAGGTGGTGGAGCTCGTTGCTGGACGTATCCAAACAATTGCGGCCTTGTTTTCATCGCAGAGTGCGGCGGCATGGGTTTCTTCGAAGCTCTAGAGCTCTAGAGCTTGCCCGCATATGAGATGTTAAATCTCTTGCAGGCAGAGCGATCTTGGTTAACGGAAGCGAGTATGCATGCAAATTGGGACTCCTATACAGATATGAAATAGGGTGTTATCTTCTTTGTTGGGAGTGAACTGACGTATGCGAGCGAGAGTAGCTGGGAAGCCTCGGATTGTTGGGAAGTGAAGATGCCGGCTTTAACGAGCGACTCGAAGAAGATATAGACTCGAACGTAAGTAGCTCTCGAGGGATCGCGTATCCCCTGCGGCGAGAGTGAGACTGCTTGGTGGTGGTGGTATATGTTGTGGGCGTCAACAAACTGAGCTACCCTTGGATGTTCTGCACTATCTCTAGGGACGGCCCGTATTGGTATTACAAGATCCGTTTATCTTACAGGGGTATCTTGGCGTACTTTTGACCTACCAACTTGTTCTACTCGGGTACCATTTGGATCGAAAATTACCCAATAAAAAGTTGTATACACAGCCAGTTGTCGTTGATTGGAGGGGAAATGCAAGATAATCCTACGGAGTACAAATTATGGAAGATGTACATACATCAATCGTTACAGATATTGGTTATCCAGTAAGGAAGACACAAGTTGGGCAAAATATACATTGAATAAGATCAGGTATACAAATATGTTTGAAGAGTACCCCATCTTGTTTCCAGCTTCGGTCTCCCAAAATTGTCAGGTAGTGGGTGAGGACGATCGGAGATTATAAGAATGGTTTAGGAAAGATAGGAATGCAAAACAAGGGAAAGAGCACATAAATAGAACAAGAAAATATCTATTTGTTTTTCTCAGTTACCCCATAGGGAGAAATTATTTTACAAGGTGTCAGTGAGGGCTTTGTTCAGCTTAGCAAGCTTGGAGGAGACGCTGAGATCAATGGTTCTTTCGCCAACTTCGACAATCAGACCACCCACAATGTCAGAATTGATCTGTGAGAAGAAAATTAGTATATGTTGAAGAAGAATAGATGGCAATGCCAATCTTCCTCAAGAAATAGAACACATAATCCTGGATTCACATACCTTTGTAACAACCTTAAGCTTCTTGCCTTGGCTATATTCAGACTTGGCAATGGCTGCCTCGAGGCGCTGAACAGTCTTCGCGTCGAGTTTCTAATTTTGATTAAGCAAAGGTCGAATTAGATAACAGTTCATCTTCTCAGGCAACAACCCTGCTAGGGCCGCCGTCATTTTCAAGGGGCACCCGATCGATATCCATCAATCCAAAAAGCCGATTCCACGAAATTCGCCATACCTGAGCACTGGTGATCACCAATTCAGTCTCGCCATTGTGGGCGCTCATCAAAGCAGCGAACTTCTCACAAACACCCTGCAAGAGACCAAGTCTATTGTTCTCGGCCAAGGTAGCAAGGAAGTTTTTCATGATATTGTCCTTTCCTGGGCCGCCGGCAACTCGTTGCAGTTCCTGGATGATCTGAGATTTATCGGATGCATCGAGGGCGGGCGTGCTGAGGATGGCAGGCAATTTGGCATCGGTTTTGAAAACCTCTGCCAAAGTTGCGACGGCTTTCGCGGTTTGATCGAGACTGGATGACTTGGCTGATGCGGTATACTGTAATTCATCCGAGAGAACAAAACAAGGTCCGAATTTGTTAGTTTTCAAAATATTTAAAATGGGGAATACTCCAATTGCTCCTCGCGGCGCAGTCGGCACGAGGAAGGGATTATTTCAATGCGCACCAGAGCATTAGCATAAGTGCCATCGACACCGAAGAGAGCGATAGGAGGTTTCACGCTCGCTGTGGCCGTGGCGTAGGTCCTCACACCATCGAGAGCGGCAGCCCGGGGAATAGAGGAGAATTGGTGGGCGGTCGCCCGGAGGGTGGATTGGGCTACTCTGGGGGACAACATTGTAGCGGGAAGTCTCTATGAGACCAAGAAGAAAAATTGCACAAGGTGGAGGGGTTGAGAGAGGGTGTGGGGTATTGCAATTGCTGCTGGAGGCCACAGTTCGGGGATGGAATTGATGTTCGACTGGATATAGCCACAAACGGTAGTCGTTAAACATCACGTGACCATGAAAATCAACTGGTGGTTTTAAGTACGATATGATATAGTATTTGTCATAGTGACTCTCAGCTCTCGGGATGACGTAGAGCCATGTTGAAAAATGGTCTGGGAGTAAAACATAATGCATAATATCATAGATTCTAAAAGGATTGCTTGTTGCAGTAACATACACCCCAGCCACGAACGCCAGCTCCCATGCTATTAGGAGAGAAGAGAACCCAAAGACTCCGACATCCTTTTAGAGTAACATAATTCCCTGCCCTCGTACTCTGATAAAAGAACCAAGAAAAATATACCGCTCCTATCAATATCAACGCAATATCTTTTTAATCCACGCGTCCTTCTAGTCGCTGCGAAGCATACTTTCCACCAGGTCACCTAGCGGGCCCCAGAAGTCCTTCCCACTAGCCAGGTTGTGTTCCTCCACGAAGAGCACGTAATGTTTGAAACTGGTGTTAAGATGTGGCTCGAGGCCCAAATGTACAATCACCGGATAATGATGACAGTATATATGCGCATAAACTCGGTAGAGGCGTTTGAACAGTTGGCGCAAAAGACTAGTAAAAGTTTTCGGGAAAGGGACACCTAGTTTTATCCAATGGACCTATTAGTCTCACAGCTTTTCCCTTATTTCTTGGGCTAGCCATAGACAAAATGAGAATGGAAAACTAACCAATTCGACTGGGAAACATTTGCTCATTGTCAATGTTGCTCTGCACCCAAGCCATCAAATGCTCAACATATTGTGGGGCCGACATTTTCGTAGGCCGTTTGTAATTCTCCGAATCTTGCCACAAGTACTCAAATCTACCATCCCGTCAGCTTGCTGGCAACTTATGTATGCAGGAGGTGTATGTTTTCATCACTGACTCGTCTGTAGCCTTCATTTCAGGGCATGACTGCGGGGAACAAAATTCCGTAATTGATCCGTAAAGCAGGTTGATCTGGTTATAAAAGTCCACAACTGCGGCAGTTAGCAAGCATGTTTCGCGTCCCTTGCCTTCTTTCCCATCAAAGCATTCCCATACCATTCACTGCAAGCCACTCATTCAAGTCTTCGCCGTCTGGAAGTTTCACCGCCTTTCTTAGACTCCCGCTTCCGAGAGTAGCCTCTGCGAACTGCCTCAGTTGGTAGTTGGTTGTTCCCTTATGCGACGTTCTCGGCCTAAACTGCCCCTTTGATCGCGCATTGCTAGAAGAAATGAACGAAGTTACTAGTTAGCAGAGATGGTCCGTAGTGTACTTATGGGTAGGTAGCAGTGATCATGGCCGCTTTGGACGCTAGATCCAATCCATGAAATCCTGGAGACTGTCTCGACTGGGTACCGACATGGTTGTTATGAAAGACGCCATGAAGAACTCTGTAGTCTGGCTATCTCTTCACTGCGGGGGCAAGCTTGGTAAAACACTATCTGTCTGGCACAGATTCCGTTGGAGCAGTCTGATATCGGGCACTCCACGCTCTAAACTTTTGGAGGGTATATTCAATAATAAGACAAGACAAAACAAATATAGCAAACTGGAATGCACCGTGAGCTTCTTGCGCGAATCGCGACAAGGGTGAGGACTGACTTGCCCGCCTTTTAGCGCCGCGCCAGGTGGGCGGTGGTTGCCCAGGCGACTAAGTTACCTCTAACGTAATCAACCACCATGAATCATGTTGGAGCTACTACACAAGCCTCTTGGAGGATAACGTTGTTGTGTTGTAATCTAACTACGCGAGTTACACTAAATGAATAGGTTGGGGTGGCACGTGACTAGGGTAGGTGTAGTAATCACCAACACCCCCCCTTGCTACACCGTGGCCTATAAGCCGCCACCCGGGGCCTCCCCCATCCTCAAATCTTTCGAAAATGCAATAATAATTAATTACATCAATCGGACCCTGATTTCCTTATTAGGAAAGGCGTCCGTACGGTAATAACCATAAAAATCAAGAAATACATGCAAAATTCACTGATTCACTGTATCATCATTACCATTCAATCATTCCTTTCTGATCTCTTTCAAACCAATCCTTTTGACAAAATCTTCAAACGCAGGCTTCGCCAGTGGCTTGGTGAGCCCGTCAGCTATGTTCGCTGTAGAACCAACATGTTCCATCATGATTTCCCCTTTTTCAACCAAATCGCGGAGAATATGATATCTAATCTCGATGTGGCGCGACCTTCGCGTTAAGGATTCTCCCTTTGCTAGATCAATTGCTCCCTTATTGTCAACTCATAGGTGTGAGCATATTTTCACTTTTCCATCATCCATCAACCCGGCATCATACAACAGGTTGCATCATCTGTTATACCCAACCAATAACTTGCACCCCCCCTAGTGGGGGTGTCATTCCCGTCGAAAAGTGTTTTTCCACCCCCTGCCAGATCGATGAAGAATCTCATTGCCGGCTTGACAGCTCGTGTCATAGGTGTGAAGGTTGGACATGTCATTTTTGCCTGGACACGGACTTTGCAGAATGGTAAAGCTCGTTGGCCAATAATTCTCATCCCTAGGTGTGGGTCTGCCGCCATTTTTGCAATATCCGCGGGATTTAGGTGTCCTAGCTTTTGATGCCATTGCATCATCGTAAGTTCGGATCAAGTCTCTGTATGTAACCGGCCTTTCCATCTCATAGATATCATTCTCATTTAATCTTGCTGTAAATGAGAACATGCGGTCGGGAGACATAATCAACATAGCATGATTATTCCCATATGTCAACTGCTTATAGGTATAACCCTGACGTACAAGCTTACCCATACTCATGAGGTTCACTTCTAACTTCGGGACATAGCAGACATCATTTAACAGCATATCCGCCCCTTCCACTGGAATCTTCGTATCTTCTATAGCTGCAGCAGGGACCACCGTTCCGTCTGCCATTTCCAACATCACTTTCACCTTCTGAGGTTTTGCCACGACAAGATCCCTGTGGGGTGTGGCGTGGGCGCCCGATCCAGAGTCTAGGATCCAGGTATCTTTTCCTGTCTGGCCACTCGCATAGGCCTTTTCCTTGATGCAAAATACTTGCTCCATGACATTGTGAACAGGAGCAGCACCCGTATTCTCCGCATCCTTGTCTTTATCCTTGTCCTTACCGCGGCTAGTAGGGCGTTTTTCAGGAAATTTCAACCAGCAATCTGTTTGAATGTGGCCAATCTTCTGACAATGGTAACATGTTTTGGTAGCATTATTACCCTTCCTATCCAGCTTGGTGAAATCTTTGTCCTTGTCCTCAGAGACCTTCTCCTTCTCCTTATCTTGAGCATTATTTGCAGGGGTCTTTCCATCGGAGGTGGGAGGTTCGCCAGTAGCTGGCAATCGTAGAAGAATATCTCGACACAATCCCATGAAATCATCTTCAAGTGTTCTAGCATTCTCATCCTTCTCTATTGCATCCATTCGATTCTTTATAAAAGATGACCAACCTTTACTAACCCCTGTAAGAAGTCTGTCAAAAAACATGAAATCTTCGACATTATATCCCAATCGGATATAATCAGTCCTGATTGCGATTAAACATTCGATAAATGCGCGATCAGAACCCTTTGATTTTGACATCATCTCAATCAATTCTTGGAACAGGCGAGTTCTGCGGACAGCAGGCCTCTCAGCGAAATTATCCTCTATGACAGACCATAGAGAATAAGCAGATAGTTGGGACTCCTTGGGTATAATAAAGTGGGATTTGGCCTGCGGGGCAATCGCAGACCACATGTAGTTGTATAGCCAGATATTCCATTCTGACCAAAAACGTTGCATATCCATGCTGGCATCCTCATCAGGATTAACCTGCTTGTCATTAAGAATGTCATCCATTTCAGATTGCCTTGCTGCAAGCAGGATCTCTTCTTTCCACATAGGATAATTTGCAGAGCCAGTGAGTACAACAGGCTTCTTTATAGGCCTTACTTGATCCCTGAATTCATTAAGGATCTTCACCAATGCAGATGTCCTACCCTTCCGTTGAAGATAGTTCATCAAATCTGCACTGAGCTCTTCATTTTCACCCCTGCCTGCCTTCATTCGCTCAACTTCATGCTGGAGTCTTGCAATTTCTAGTCTCATGCGAGTCTCCTCACTCACAGAGCTATTGTCATTCCGGCCACTTGGGCCCCCCGCATTGCCTGACATCTCACTGATGCCTTCAACCGGGTCTTCATATACGTTGGACTCATCAGACTGTTCCTCTGCGATGGTTTCGTCCGGCTCAAACACCCCAGGGGCAGTCACTTTTCGGTTCATTGCAGGTGTTGGTAAGCCCACACCCAATCCTTCTTGTGCTTCAGGCGTTTGTGGATTTCTTCTCCTACGCGTTGGCACGTAATCCTTCGTTAAGTCAGGCTTTCCCCCGGATCTTAGATTAACCATGGGTTCAATCACTCATAAAAAACATCTAGGCACGTGTAACGATACGTGGAGACGTAGTTGGCACGTTATTTCAGCGGTTTTCGTTAGCTTAATGAGGGCTACATTGTGGGATGGTTAATCTGTTGTATTCGTGTAGGAAGAGCTAGCTATATATATTACATATGAGATCACGTGTAGGCGGAGCGGTCGCTACGGCAACGCCACTAGGGTGGATGCTACACCCCCCCTCGCATCACCATGCGAGATCACAAACACCATAATAAAGAATCAATCATCTCTTGCAGATCTAGCTATGCCATTCTCAAATCCATCCAAATCATGCTACCTGCATTGAGTTTGTGTATTCTGTCCCTCTTCACCTGTAAAACCTAGTAAATCAAGGAATCAATGAAATGCAATTGCACTCAAGAGTTTAGTCAATTCATCTGCTATCATTTCTTCAGTTGAGATGTAATCAATTGAGATTATATCATTGTTCAACTGGCTGTGAGTGTAATGAAATTGAGTGTTAATATACTTACTTCTCACAGTGATTACAGTCACTGTGACAAGATCAATCACTTTCTTATTATCTGTCTTGATTGACAGAGAGTCTTCTGTTTCAATGAAGCTCAGATTCATTATCATACTTCTCAATCATGTTACTTTATATACAGTATCACTCAACATCATATATTCAGCCTCATTAGAGCTTAAGAATACACAGAATTGCTTACTCAATTATCATAAAATCAGTGTATTTCTCAATTTGAAGATATAATCAGATGTAGATTTACAATCATCATTTAACAGACTGACTCAATTGAAATCTGTATATTCAATCAGTATATATATCACATTCAGAAATTCATTCTCAGATCTCTTATTATCATTCTTCACATAGAATATATCAATCTTACATATTTCTTTCAAATATTGAATAACATGTAATAGAGTTTTTCACATCTTAAAGATAAGAGCAGTGTTCTTCTATGTCAGTAGAGATGCTGCACAGGTGATATTCAGCTGCAGCTTAACAGCTAAGTATTACAGATATTTAATATTATACTGAAATCATCACTTTGTAAAATCACTTTTCTTTTCAGAGATAGAGAAGTCATCTAGACATAGATTCTCATTCATAAGTGTACAGACAGCAGTTATATCATCTAGATGAAAATCTTCTATCAATTCATTAATATAATATTGAAGTGTTAATTTAATTTCACTCTTTATATGTTTCACTTTCATTTCTAGATATTTTATAAGTTTCTTTAAGTCTTTGATCTCTAGTTTTTACTGTAAAATATTAATAAGTTAATCAGCATTCTTCAGAGTATTTACAAAGATATAAAGATCATCAATATATATAATTATATACAGGTATTTTTAAGCTGAATGCTTTCAAAGAGCAGAGTCATAAGAACTCAGACTGAAGTCATTTTCTCACAGTATAGCTGTCAAGTAGTTATATTATATTTTAACAGCTGAATTCAATTCATATAGAGATTCTTCAACTGCACAGATAAGTATACACTGAGTTTCTTATTCAAAGTCTGTAAGTTATCTTATATAGACTGTTTTCTCTAATCTATTATATAGATATATCATTACTATATTCACTTACTGTAGAATTCAATCACACTTTGTAGTAATTATAAACATCATTCAATTTATTATATCTATAATCACAGAGATATAAGTCTTCTAATGAGTGTCTTTCTTCAATTAGTTATTATATATAACTTATTGAGATTTTTATAATATATCATTCTTATCAGTATTGAGATCATTAGAGTGATTCTTTTCAATGAATACTCAGTGATCAGATATCACTGATTCATTATATAAGATATCAGAATGTGAAATAAGTGTTCAGATCTTGTATCTCTCAAGATCAGATATTTCATATTGTATTAATTTCTTTTAATAATCTCTCACTATCTCTGATCTACTTATAGCATTTTTATATGATTTTAGAAGAGAATTAGTAATGAGAATAAAAGTATAAGCTGTAAATATCTTTATCAGCTGTATTCAATCTGTACTTATCAATTCAGAAATATTAAAATCCTTCATTAAATAGATAATAGAAACAGTGTCAGTTACTGCAGTTGTAGTAGTTATAGTAATCTTCAGTATTTCTTACACTTTTACAGGGAAAATCACATCACTTGTATTAATAATTTTATCTGTTATAGAACTTCATAAGTGATAGATTGAATATCTGTGAAATTCAATAAGCTTATATAAATTAATCTGTGTGAATAACTTATTTAACAGCTTCTGTGATTCATGAAGATGAGTAAAAACATCAGTTTCAAACTTATAGAAATGTGTGATCTGCAGCAGAATGTTTATCAATATTGAAAAAGAAATTGTATAAAAGCTATGAACAGCTTCTTTACTATCATCATCTACAACTGCAGATCAATACTTTTCATTATATAGAACTGTAGACATGAGTGTATTATTTATAATTAAAATAACTATTTTCAGAATGTCTGTTCAGAATTTCTTCAGAATCTTCTTACTGATAAGAACTGCTCTGATGCAGGTTATAATCATACATATTTCATGCTCAGACACATCATCTTAGTATGATAATTAAGAAGTAGTTGATTTTTATACTGTGTCATGATTGATGAACAATGCTGTAATCTTTATAAATCTGAATATATTATTAATATCAGTTCTGATATATACTGATGCAGTAAAACCTAGATTCTTCATGAATTGAACTCAGTGTATATAATAATTATAAGCTTGATTCTTGATGTGTAAGAAATAGATTCATTTATATCTGATCATATCATCTGTGATTAACATGTAATATTTATTACTCTGCTGTGATTCAATAGAGTAATCTATAGACTCACTTAACATTCATCTGTCATCTGTAAGATTAATATAAATCTGCTTCATTGAGTATACTGTCTGTGATATGAGAGTGATTGAGTATTTACATATCATACTCACTTTAATGCAGATGTTATAAAAGAAATTAATCTTAATATCTTTGATATAGATACTAGATAGTGAATTCTTTGTCAATACTATAATAGCTCTTATATGTATATATCTCAGATTAATATATCACTCTGCAAGTGTTTTCACAGTTGTAGATAATTCTTGATATTGAGATTGATTAACAGTGAGATTATTATTACTAATAGTAGTCATGACTTTAGCATAGTTATTATTATATATATATAATTTCACTGTGAAGTAGACTGCTTTAGACTTATAATATATATTAACTTCTGACATTCTTTCAACTATTTTATAAATTGAGTTTTAAGATGTATAGATTGCAGTGAATATCACTTCACTTAATACTTTAATAATGAAATAGAATGAGGTGTTTGAGCTTAAAAGCTTATATTAAAAATTCTGATTCTTCAACCTGATGAATGATAATAGATTGACTGTGAGATTGAGAATATAATAAATATTATGAACAGTGATATTTTCTTTTTCAGATTTTAGAAGAAGATCACTGATCTCTTTAATATAACTGTAATCTTCATTCACTGTGTAAATCTTCATATTATCATTATACATCTTCTGCTGAATGAGAAACTGCTTTTCATCTGTTATATGAAAACTTACACATGTGTCAAGAAATCAAGATTTGCTTATTATATCAATAGTTACTGAAAAAGCAATTACTGTGTTAACAGCTACAGATTATGAGATCATAAGATCAGAGAATTCCTTCTTCTTATTATCTTTATTCTTCTTTTTACTCTTACACTTATCATGTCTGCTGATACTAGTATTATTACTATTATTCTTCTCAGATGTAATGATATATTTCTTATTTAACTCATATCACTGTTCAGTAGCAAGTTCTGAATACAGATATCAATAGATGTTTTTTCAGTGTTATCTTGAACTGTATATCTCACATTTGAAACTGTGTATAAATAATGTAGAGAGAGTTATAATAGTTGTATTAACTTACTAAGACTTAGAATTTTCATTCTTAAACTTACTTATATAATTTATCAACTGTTTTATGAGATTATTAATATCAATGTTGTGTATAGAGTTCTGATCAGATATATAGAAATTATTTAAATATATTTTAATAAAAGACTTTTGATGCTTCTTCAAATTAATAAGAAAGAGATTATAATAGAAGTCTTCTAAGTTATTTATCAATTTCTTATAATATGTAACTAGATAATGAAATCTTCTCTAAAATACTAGATAATTGTTATCTCTGATATATAAGATAATGAATTCTTTCACAATATTCATACATTTCTCTGTAAGTGAGACAGTATATTCAACTCTAATTCTTTCTTATAGTGCAGCTGTATTATCTGGCTCAAGAGTTTCAATAATTATATATACAGATTTTAATAAGAACTGTAACATACATTGATACAGTACTTTAATATAAATACTTCATTTTTCAGCACTTAATATGTCTTGACTGATGTCTTCTGAACAGATATATTAATTCTTTGTAAGAATATTAAATCTGTTAATAACTTCAGTATCTGCAAGAATTTCTGTATATCAGATCTCATAGTTATTATTATTAAATATAATTACAGTTTTGATATTCATGACTTTTTGAACATTCTTTTGATATCTGTAGATCTCAGATTTGAAATCATCTACTGCAGAGATAACTACTTAATATATACTCATTCTGTCACAGAATGTTATCAGATTATTGAATATTATTAATATTATATTATCTAAACTCATTCTAGATATGATACTTGTGTGTCACACTTCTATACACATTGCTTATAAGCTTGAGATATTATTATCTGATTCATGATCTACTCTGCTGTTTATAGATGACTTCATAATCTCTTCTATAACTTCTGTGTATTATATAGTATCTATTTTCTCTGATTCTTTGTTGATAGATGTCTGAGTGTGAGAATGTAAATGTAAAGTTCTTCTTCTATCACTCTGTGACATAGACATATCACTCATCAGTCAAAGAAGAGTTGAATGAAGAAATTGAAAAGAAAAAAAACATGTTATATTATACTGAAGAGTTCTGCTATTTCAATCACTGATTAAGCAGATACACTTGTAATATGCAATGTAAATATAGTAAAAGAATTCTCCTATTCAGAATGAACACATTCAATGCTTACACAGGTGTTTTTAAATAAAAGTAAAAAAAATGTAATCCTTTGTAAAAATGTGCTATTCAGGCTATAATCTGTGGAATAGTTAATCTGTTGTATTCATGTAGGAAGAGCTAGCTATATATATTACATATGAGATCATGTGTAGGCGGAGCGGTCGCTACGGCAACGCCACTAGGGCGGATGCTACATACATAACCTCTTGGAGGATAACGTTGTTGTGTTGTAATCTAACTACGCGAGTTACACTAAATGAATAGGTTGGGGTGGCACGTGACTAGGGTAGGTGTAGTAATCACCAACAAAGCCCTAACCCACGTGACCCACACACATATATTTAGCTTTCACTAGCTACTAGTTAGATAACAACAACCAATCACATTCAACCTCTCTCACAGGTTATGAAGCCCTTGCACTTCTATGAAGTGTTATAACCATGCAATAATCATACAATAAGCTTTTCAAATAGCTGCTTCTTTCATTCAAATACCTCATATCAAATGCCTGTCAATACGAGATCAACCAATCATGAAGAAACCCCAGAGAATCAAACTACTGCACCTGAATCCTTTCCAACCCCAATAACCGCGAGAAAACCACCACACAATAACAATAATCAAGATAACAACAATATGGCTGATGAAGCTGCTGCCTTGAGGCGACATATTGCCCAGATGAATGAAGAACTACACCAGATGAGAGCTTCTAGCAATCCTACTGCTACAGCTACTGTCAATGATGGCAATGATCTAAGCCCTGATCTTGCTGCTTACCTTCAGAATCAAGGGGATACCCCTGCACTGAGCAGAGTCCTCCAAGAATTCCGCGAACACATCAAATACCTTCAAAAACCAGGTCTTCTCAAATCAACATCTGATTACTCCATTTGGAAGGAAGAGATCCTGCTTGTTGTCAAGCAATCTCATACAGAAGATATCCTCACTAGCAAGCCCTTGAAGAATGCCTCTAAGGATATGAAACGATTCTGGGAGGAATGCAACTCCTGGCTATACAATTTTGTATGGTCTTCTGTTTCTATTGAAGCCAAATCTCTTTTTACTATACTTCAAGATTCCCTGAGTTCTGCTGCTCTATGGAATGCCATAGCAGCATTCTTTTCAGAACAGGTGGAAATCTGCAGAGCCCTCCTGTTCAAGGAATTCAATGATATCAGTGCAACTGCCACCTATGATGGCTCCAACCACTTGTTCATAGAACACCTACTTGCAATCCGCGTTGAGTATATCCACCTTGAATATGCTAATATCCCCAACTTCATATTCTTTGACAAGCTTCTCAACGGCCTCACCAAGAAGTGGTCAACCTTTATCAGAGATTGCATGAACTATGCAGCAAAGGATGATAATGTCACATCACTAGAAGATGATTTCCTTGATCTCTACAGAGATATACTACTCCGCCTGCCGTTGGATGACAAAAATGCCAGAGATGACACAAAGAATGCCAAAGACACCATCAAGAAGGATAAGGATAATAAGAAGAACAACAAGAAGTGCACTCACTGCAAGCAGGATGACCATGAAGAGCCTTACTGCTGGTTCACACACCCTGAAAAGCGTCCTGTTGATTGGAAGGATAGAACAAAGAATAATAATGAAAGCTCAGCGCCTACATACACCACTGTTGAGCATGTCTACTAAAATGATAACCATGATACCGATAACCATGATACCCGGGCTGTTGAATGCCCATATGATAACCCAGGATAAAGATGATACCCCATGATAACCATGATAACCCACGATAACCAGGCCACCGAGTGTGCCTATATGATAACCATGATAACCCACGATAACCAGGCCACCGAGTGTGCCTATATGATAACCACAATAACCCATGATAACCAGGCCACCGAGTGTGCCTATATGATAACCACGATAACCCACGATAACCAGGCCACCGAGTGTGCCTATATGATAACCACGATAACCCATGATAACCAGGCCACCGAGTGTGCCTATATGATAACCACGATAACAATAACAATAAAATGACAAAAATATGAGAAATGAGACCCCGCAGTGTTCAGATGACTGGGGGGGTAATACAGATACAGGAAGGACGGATTTGAGTGTTTTTTCTTGCATATTCGCGTGTATTTGCATGTATGGAGCTAGTCCTTATGAGAAAACTAGACTCTACTTTGTGTAATTAATTATTATTGCAGATTTGAATGATTTGGGCGCTTTTGGCTGCGTGGGTTAACTGGCCTGCGTAGCATGGGGGGGTGTTGGAGCTACTACACAAGCCCTAACCCACGTGACCCACACACATATATTTAGCTTTCACTAGCTACTAGTTAGATAACAACAACCAACCACATTCAACCTCTCTCACAAATCACTCCTAATTACGGAGTAGATAGCTATCAATACAACCTTCAACTATTCTACAATAAAAGGCCATGTAGCAGCTAGCCTCTTGTAATCTCAATAAACTAACTCTAAGAACACCTTCATCAAATAAATTAATTAATAAATAAATTAAAAAAAAAGAAAAAGAAAAAATTAAGAAAAAGAAAAAATTGAGAAAAAAAGGTTGAAAATAAGTATGAAATCCTAGCACCGTGCGTTCGCCCTTGTATATCTTCATGACACCTAAAAGTTAAACTACAATTCAATAAAGACTCAAAAGTTAACCGTCCTTTTCTAGATCGGAACACCTTGCAGCTCCTCCCCGGCGGGCTCCTGAACGCTGCCTCCATACACAGTCAACGGAATCACAACCTCGAATGATTCGCAGGATATACTTTCCAACGAGGCCAAGACTGTGCCTCTATCATCCCGTTCCACCTTCTCCAACAGGTTGATTCCGGACGCCCCGATTTCATCATCATCAAGCGCGCTGCAGGTCACGAATTCGAAGCGAAGCTCCCATTCTAGATTTACTCCTGAGGTGATAATAGTCGGCGTTGCGGAGACAGGAATCGAGGGCGTAAATACCACCCTTGTAGCGAATAATGTGTTTTCAAAGCAGCTGGCATGAATCTTTCGTGTCGCGCGCGTAATGCTTGCGTTGGAGCGGAGGGCAATCGTCGGGCTCACCTTCTCGGTCGTTTCCAGGGAGCCTCGCAACGAGTAACAAGGTAATGCAGAACCCGAGAAATCTATTGTGGCAATGACCGTTTCTCCTAGCCGATGAGCCGGTCGGTTCAATATTATGACTGCAATCCGTCGTCCGTTGCGGGTTATCTCAAACCTATTGGCACTTCGGTCCGAAGTCGAGGATTGATTACTTCGCAAAATGGCCAACTCGATTGCATCTTTACAGGAAAATTGTCCTGTGGGGGAGAAAAGACTGAGGCGAGGATCTATCGCGGAGGTTGTTGAGCTGAATGATTCGGGCCTAACACGGCGATCCAAAATCTCATCGACGTAAGATAGAAACCCTGAAGCCGAATTCCATGATTTTGCGCTGATACTCTTTTCCTTGGCAGGGCGCGTAGGGACGTTTTCGACCTTTTGCACACGAGCTTCATCTCGAAGCAACACGTATGGTCTCATCAAGTCGTGGCCTAGAACACCTCCTTGGGCTTAAATAATTTTGTAAGCAATAGTCAATAAGTGTATCTCATGCATTGCAAATAATAGACCGCACTCACCGTCAACTCCACTGAGGACTCGGAAGGGAACGTTTATTCGATGAACTTTCTGGGGTTCTTTTGGGTTTATCGCCCGTTGTGTGCCAATCACCAAATTATAAGAAATCTTGATTGCTTTCCCCTTATGGCTCGCTGGTAAGCCCCTGGGCAAGGTAAATGCAAAGGAAAATGTCTTCTCCTCGCCGGGATTCAACCGCAAGTCCACAAACAGGAGAGACTGCGGCGTGGAAAGCAGGGGAATGGCCTGGGAGGAGGCAACACCCCTCATGTCTCTTAATCCATCGAGTTCGCTACTGGAGAGTAATGTAGATAGCGAATCGCTCAAATTATTCCATCCTCCAAGCGTTCCCCAAAACCCATTCCGGGCCTTCTCAGCTTTGTGAGGAACATCGCTTCGCGCTGGATTACCCACAACACCCTTGCGTTTCACTTCTTCGAATAGAGCCTGATTTATTAACGACCCGTCAACGGTAAATGAGGCGCTAATTTGGGCGTATCCCATGAGCAGTGTCTGGGAATTGTTTTTACTAAGTTTTCCAACAGCTTCCATGTTGGAATAATGCCGTCTATGCCGGATCGGCAGTTGGGATTTATTTGCAGGATATGTCACATACTCTGACTCGAGTGTCTCGGTTGAATTGTTGCTCATAGGATAGAACTCTCCACTGCTTCGCGTGCTTCCATTCATGCTAGAGGTGGAGAGGATTTTCGTAGCAGGAGCCAACCGAGTAGGCGGTTCTAGGATAGGACCATCCTTTGTATTTAAGGTGCGCGGAGCGGTGGAGACAGGCGAAGCATTTGTGCTAGGTAGGGTATCACTGGGTGTTGGAGGGGCCTGTGGAAACTTAAAATCAGTTGGGAGGGGAGGTGGGCGCCGTCCCGGATCCCGCTGAATTGGGTTTGATATTGATGGAGGCTGTGTGGGCAGCCGACTTCGCTCCGGACCGCTGTTATGGTTTGGTATCGACAAATTTGGCGTTGAGTCGTTTGGTGAAATGCGGTAGTGTGATGGGCGTGAAGCTATCAGTTGTTGTTAGTATAAACCGAACTTACTTTCTATCCCAAGTAGGAGAAAATTACCAGGATGAGGGCTCTCCCCATATAGCTCATTCCTTTTTGAAAACACCTGAAAGCTTGCAGATCTGGAATGGGCATTCCCCATCCTCTGGTTAACAGCGGGCGCCCCCTGTTTTTCTGGTTCTAGGGATATGATAGAAACAGATCTTTTGTGTCTATGTCCTGGGCTTTGTACACCATTGTTATTCGCGGTAGTCGGCGGCGGGAAACTGTGGCTTAGGGAGAGCGGGGAGCTCATAGATGCCGCCGTACGATGGAACTTGTCGAAACCATGCTGTCGATTCCGGGGGCTTGCGGCTGCCGAACGTCGATTATTGAAAGAAAACGGGTTCAAGGATTTCGCAGGTGAATAGTTTCCTCCACTAACAACTCCATTCATCGGGCGCGAGCCTCTTCTGGTGTGCCTCTGATATGCGCAGAGATCTGTGTTGGAGTCGCCTGGGGTAACATTCTTGAAGGTGATGGTGCAGTCGACATCCTCTCCTGCGAATATCGTTTGCTCTTTCCATCGCACAAACACCTGGATGTCTGACTGCATGACGAGGGCGGCATATATCACGGCATCGGCAGGTCGTTATTCGTTAAGCTCCACTATGGATCGGAAATGGGAGAGGGGGCTGTCGGGGATTAAACGAGTAGTATGATGTAGGGTGGCTACGAGAGGGGGCATGCTGTCGTAGCTGACAGTGAGGAACAATTCAAGGATATGTAAGCAGACATTATAGTAGGAGCAGGCCGTTAGCACCTATTGTAAATATTATCATGTTAAATTGGTAAGGAGGATGCCAAAGACAAACCGAGTGCGGTCTTTGTCTGGTACAACTACATCAGTTGCTCAGTTGGGGAAGAGGCGTTTACCGCGGAAGTGTGGCTGACGCGCTTAGCGCCCAGCTATGGCGCACAAGCTCCAGTTCTTGAAGTGTAGTTGTTCAACTTGCCATCAACAACTGCATGGGTGTATTCGTTTTAAAATCTTCAATTATATATTACAACAATGGGATATGGTATCGTACAATATACGTCTCAGGCATATTTATCCTGGTTTTGGGGGCATTTCTCAACCCAGCTAACATCAACCTACAAATGAACTCCGTAGTACGCCATGCTCCAAAAAATATTAACCAGCTATGTCACTTTGAGCCGACGGTGCGGCGCTTTTTTTCAAGGACTTTAGTATCTGAAACATCAGCAAAGCTTGGCCTGTGCGGTCGAACCCCAATTTCCGACAGCTGGTTCCAAATTCGTTTCCGGCGTTTTTCCCACCGTTCCCGCCGTTCTGCAGCAACCTCCGGAGTCGGTTGCCATTTGCTTTTTAAGATGCGCCGAATTGCTTCTGGAGACACCTTGAATTCCTGTGCGAGGGCAGGGGTCGAATATATGTTTGGGTCCTGTTGGTGTAAATGTCGGATAGTATCGAGGGTATCTGGGTGAAGGCGCTTTCGCGGATTCCATCCCTCAGGGAACTTCTTCTTTAAAGCTTGTTTCTGTATTTGCCAAGGTTCTAGTTCCCGAGGCTTCTCTGGTTTTTCCCGTTTCTGTGTTGTAGATTTTGAACTGCGAGGGACATTTGATTTTTTAGAACGGGAGGTCTTGCTAGTTGATTTAGAATCGGAATTAATATCTCCGCGATCGGATTTGAGCCCCTGTTCGTCAGTTCCAGGAGGTTTGTTGGCGGTTGACAAGTAGCTGGGCGATGACTGCTCAGACGTTTCTGGTAATGGCGAAAGTATAGGACGAGATTTGCTAAAATAGCGGCATGAAGGAGGTTGCCAAATTTTGGCCGGGGAGTGAATCGTCGTACTTCGTCGACACGAGGTGGTCAAACCGCATTTTTCGTACGTTGCAGGAAGGAGAGGGTGGGCACCCAAGAAGCATTTTAGCAACCCTGATGCGACAGATGCAGAGTGTAATGGGGATGACTTCAACATTGTTTTATTGTAGTCAAACAGGATGCGCGTTTCGTCTGGGTGGTTGCTGAGCAGAACTTTCATATCGACTTGGGATGCACGTGGTATGTATTTCATGACACAGATAGAATACAATCTAGACCAGAAATAGTATAGTTTCAAAATCATATATATCACGTGATCTATGTATATCGCGGTAGATGATAGACATCCCACAGGTTATAAGCCCAGTTGCTTTTGAACGCTACTTTTACGTGTTCTAAAAAGGCGAGCCACGTTTCATATCGAAGATAGGTTCAAATCTACGTTTAATTCTCTGGAAAGAGAACGCTCCTTCGGGGCAGAAGATCGCGTTTACGTAGTAGGTCCTGCAAAAAAAGGGCTATGGCATTGGTCGCTCGAATAAACGACAGCATCCGCAGGCGATCTTAGATCCTTTCGTAAATCACTACTCTACTCTCATTTTATATATATATATATATATATATAATTTGTTTCCCCCTGGAGATTCTACTCTCCTTTTTCAACCTCTTTTCTATTTATAAAGATACCCCGATCATAGAGATGACATGATCAAACATACAAAATTATAAATGTCCATACATCAGGGGTGGACGGGCTGGCTGTATCCCCCCCATAGGTGGTATAGGCATTGAAGCCCTCGGTGGCTCAGGAGGCGCCGGACCTCCACAACGTTGCGGGGGAACGCTGAAGAAAGAGCATGCCGTCTTTCATGTGATTTGATGGATACGGTTGGAGCTTGCATTCTGAAACGGACAGTAGAAAATCCCAATGCTGTGCTTAAGGGCAACTCCTAGTAAACCTTCAACAAAACCTCTATGCAGAGGGCGCAGATCTGACAATGTCGTCCGCGGATGATCGGTTTTGTATTTGCCCTCGGCTGATTATATGTTTTGGTACGGCAAACGTGCTGGGATGGGAATAGATCGTGGTCCATGTAATTATTTCCCAGTGCCCTTTCTCTACCATACGAGGTAAATGGAAAAGAAAAAAAAAAAAAAATCTAACATGCTGTCCATCAGGGAAATAAATCCCTGAAAGACTATTTAATGTCTATAGGAAAAAAGGAATCTGAGTGGACGAAAATATATGGCAAACCAAGTCCAGTCCGATTTCCACCTGTCAATTTTGATGGCATCAATTCCCTAAATGATCACCTCCGACTTCTGAGCCAGTACAAGGCTCTAGCTCCGTACCTACTAGGGGATGACTCCCATAATGAATTGAGTCGTCCGACATTGCGCCACCCAGGTAAGGAAACTCCTTCCACCACGTTACCAGAACTACAGTATTGATTACGTTCAGATCTTACACCCGGGAATATATTCATTTGTCCGGAAACCCACAAAATTTCTTGCATCATAGATTGGCAACATGCGGCTTTGCTCCCACTTCTACTCGCTACAGGACACCCTCCAATGCTCCAAAGCCCTGATGACCCTCCACCAAAAACACTCGAGAAACCTGTCCTCCCTGATAACTATCACTCACTTAGTCCGGAGGAAAAATCTCATGTTGATGAACTCCACAGGCGCAGAGTTCTATTTTATCTTTACATGGTGTTTAATGGCGGCCTGAACAAACAGCACCTGACAGGAATGAGAGATGCCTGTGTTCTCCTAACACAACACCTCGTCGAAAGAATGGAGAAACAGTGGAGTGGAGACATTTTCAGCCTAAAGGGGGCTCTAATTCACAGAACTGAGAACTGGGACCATTACAATGCAGAACTTCCAAACCATGTTCCATGCCCCATATCTTTCACTTAATCTGAAGTTGAAATGCACAATGAGCAGGAACTGACTTGGTTTCAGATGAACGGCCTCGTTGAGTACTGGAAGTCAGAGTTACAGGGCATGAGCGATGATGGGTGGGTTAGGACCGAGGCTTTTGAAGACGCTATCAAGAAGAATATGGAGCTAATGCAGGTTTTGCTGGATGGTTCTGATACCCTAGAGGAAGAGCGATGTGTTCAGGAGCAGTGGCCATTTCAGGATCACGAAGAGGAGGCTAACTGATTCATTGGATACCTTGCGAACCGTGACGCTGCTGCCATGTCGCTTAACAATTTATGAGCACATTGCCGTGTAGCCCAGCAAGAGGTTTAGACTTGTTATAGGAACTCTCTTAGTATGAATCGACCGTGTCAGTTTTGCGATTAGGGAGTCCCAAGTATAGGTCAACGCGGCAAATTTCACCTTTACACAAAAACTCTATGAATTCAACGAATATATAGATAAATAAACAAATAAAATATCGACGAATTCAGCCAACTCCGGTTTCCAAAACACACCATGTTACGTCAGATCATTCTGATTCGTCGGCCCCAGCCCCTAATTCATCCTCATATGCAGCGACAGAATCGCGCCTCGCCATACGCTCAATCTGCTCGTGGACACGATTCCTCGTCTGTTCATCAATCTCGCTAGGTGTAGCCTCCTCGCCTAGCATTCCTGTACTGGACTCGAGTGGGTGGGTGCTTACGCTCTCGTCACCGTGTATAGTGCTGGTGAAACTGCTTCGACGGCCAATGGAGCGGCTGGCTGAAGACCGGCGGACCATAGGAGACTTGGAGCGACGGGGTTTTGAGAAACGGGAGAATATGTCGTCGAAATAATGCGCTGCAGCCGTAGTGGGAGTTCGCGGAGTGTGTGGGAGGCGGCATGTAACTCTATTCAAGGGTTAGGTGTTAGCAGCACGATCTTCATACTTGCAAATGCCAGAGATACGTACCCGGTATCATGTATAATCTTTGCGATCAGGCCAGTCCAGCCGCACTGATGAGATGCCCCGAGGCCTCTTCCAGTATCAGCATCGAAAAATTCGTGGAACCAGAGGTAATCCTTCCAGTGCGGGTCAAAGTCAAGGGTATCGTTTCCATCATTGACAGCCCTGCGATCATTATCTCCCCTGACAAAGAGATGCTGCAAACGATGTTGGATTTCTTCAGCCACATGGCCCAGACTCATATAGTCTCCAGAGCCAGTTGGGCATTCAACCTGGAAGGAATCCCCGTAAAACATATGAAACCGCAGAAGTGATTCGATCAACAAAAAATTGACACAGAGCCAGATTGGACCCCTCCAGTTACTATTGCCGCCAAAAAGCCCGCTGTCAGAATCGCCGGGTACATATCCCACTTTAAACTCCTGGCCATTCACTTCCATAGAATAAGGGTGTTCAGCATGATATTTCGACAGGGAGCGTATTCCATGTTCCGCAAGAAATTCGGTTTCGTCAAGCATTCGTTTAAGAATCTTCTCCAATCTCTCTTTGCTCACTAGGGAGAGGAGTAGCCGGTCGTCCTTACCGCGACGCTTCATGCTGGCTATGTTGCGTTCAGCGACGTCGAATTTGTTATCAATAAACCAATTCATGCGTCGCTTGAAATCAGGAAACTTGTTGATAAGCTCCGGTTCTAAGGTAAGCACCGCATAGAGGGGGATTAATCCCACGAGGGATCGGACGGGCAATTGATGGCTCCACGGGCCTCCATAGGAAATGGCATCGTAATAGAACCTATATAGAATTAATGAATTTTCTCAGCGTCAGAATCGGCTACAGGATATCTTAAAAGGCTTACCCATCCTCTTCGTTCCATAGAGACGATTGCTCGTCTCCGACCCTGAAAGTCATCGCATCACTAATCAGGATAAAATGCTCGAAAAATTTCGACGCAACTGAGAATAGTTAGAGCGTATAGAGCGAGAAGGAATTTTTTTTAATGGCTTACTTACTGTCTTCATATATCCTTCGGTGCTTTGCCAATTCCAATGCGATGTTAAGCATCGACAGACAGTAAAATGCCATCCATCCAGTACTGTCGGCCTGTTCAAGGACACCTCCTGTTGGCAGCGGCTCGGATCTATTAAAAAGACCAATATTATCCAAGCCTAGGAAACCGCCCTCGAAAACGTTCTTGCCTTCAAAATCCTTTCTGTTAACCCACCATGTGAAATTCATGAGCAGTTTCTGAAACACCCTTTCCAAGAAATCTAGGTCTTGTCGCCCATACATTTTTCTTTCAATTTTGAATATCCGGAAAACTGCCCAGGCGTGAACAGGAGGGTTAACATCTCCAAAATTCCATTCGTAGGCAGGAATCTGTCCATTAGGGTGCATGTACCATTCCCTTGTAAGGAGGTCAAGCTGCTTCTTAGCAAATTCGGGATCCACCATAGCAAGGGGAATGCAATGAAAAGCAGTATCCCACGCAGCGAAGAAAGGGTACTCCCATGAGTCAGGCATGGACAAAACATCATCGATATGTAGATGTTTCCACTTCTGGTTACGAACTGCTTTCCGTTCCGGTGGTGGAGGCGGGAGGCCGGGGTCGCCTTCTGCCCATTGGTCCCATATAAATTCATAATGTTGTTTTGTCCACATCATCCCCGAAAGAGCTTGCCTCTGAATATTCCTCAAATCATCCGTCATCGGCAAGGGACTGATTCGGTAGTAGAATTCGTCTGCTTCCTCAATGCGCTTTTCGATAATGTTATCCAAAACCTCTTCATCCACGTAGATATCATTGTTTTTGGATATGCGGAATCGAACGACAGCACATTCCCCGGGAGGGACACCATCTCCTTCGTCGAAAGCATACCATGCCGCAAACTTAGTGCCCTGACACTCCGGGTTTATGGCTTCCTTTTCATCGTCAACTATATACCGATGGAAGGCATCCTTGACGTATGGTTGGTCATTATCTTTACCGTATAGTAATTTGGTATTGGTTTCGTTTTCGGTGAACAGAGAACGAGGCATGACGTTCTCTGTGGTATCGGCAATGGGAGAAGGTGATGGTGATAGTTGAATGTATCGAGTACCAAGCTTGGAGTGGTCTGACTGGACCATTAATGGGTCGATTTGCTTGAGTGACGGCTTTTTACCGTTCTCGCGGCCCCATCCCCATGTGTTCCTGAACCAAACGTGTGGAATGATGTGTAGCGGAGCGGGTTCCGGGCCTCGGTTGTATGCAATGACACGAAAGAGCAATTCGTCTTCATCTTCCTTTGCTGTCTCAATGAAGATATCCCAATACCGGTTATCATCAAAAATGCCTGTGTCAAGAATCTGGTACTCCCTGTCCTGTTTCCCACGCCTTGCATTTTCCTCCACAAGGTTTTTATAGGGGAATTTCTTTTGCGGATATTTGTACAGGTATTTCATGTAGGAATGCTGCAATCAACTGTTAGGTCATGCAACTTCACAAATTGCTAAGTAAATGTACCTTACCGTTGGAGTATTATCCAAATGAAAATGGGCTTCTTTGATGCTCTCGCCATGGTTTCCTTGCGGGTTTGATAGGCCAAAGAGCCTCTCCTTAAGAAAATCGCTACTCCAATTAGCAACTTTCGATCAGAGCAAGGGACTCCCAAGCGCATCATACTCTTTCTCATTCCAGAACGCAAATGCTATATTCTGTAGGCCGTGGGTATCTGATACTCCAGCAATTCCGTCTTCCCCCCAACGGAATGTTCTCGACCTAGCATGATCATGAGGGAAGTCTTGAATTTAGATAAACCGTGAGCCTTTGCCGCATTCCGTATATGATAGTTTCAGAACCTACAACTCCATGCATCTCCGTCCGCGCTGGAAGGATAGATGGGTTAGAAAACGAAGTACTTTCTTGCATATTATGGGGGGGCACTCACGAGTAGTCCTCACGAACTAGGGCGGTTCGAATTATTAGCAGTGCGTTTCGTGAAGAGTTCTGACTGAGGCAGCTCACCAGTTGCCCACTGCCTTTCTGAGACATATGGGCCCCATTTCTTCCAGTACTTTACTCGCTTTCGATCCTCATGTAGGCGTTTCTCCTCTTCGCAAAGGTGCTCGGACTTGTCAGTGGCAACCATTGTTAACAAAATAACATATAAGGAGGAATGAAAGAATCAATGGTCGGAAAGAGCCCGCCTAGCAATTTAAGAGCGTGATGTTTTGTGGCAGCTTATATAACAGCCCCATGAGCCAAGTTGGAGTGCAAACCAATGACGTAGCTAGCTACACACATGGAACGCCAATTCAGCTATCGCGAAATAAAATCAAGATCATTTCTGCTCGAGATGCGCCCACTGACTGTATGATTCAAGATGCTTGAATCAGGAACTTTCTGATCTTCCAAAGTTTCGCCCGCTGTCTTTCGCGGGGCAGGGAACATAGATTTTCCGCCATTGCGGGCAAAGATATTCTCTCGGAGGGGTCAGACTGAGTCCCTGCTCTAAAAAATATCTACCGTTTCACTCCCACTCCAACAACTACAACCGCTTAACGCCCTTACCACGCGGAAACCTTTGCAATGCTGGCATCTCGCAATGTCGGTGTCCTTGGTGGTGGCCAATTGGGCAGAATGCTCATGGAGGCCGCAAACCGCCTCAATATCCAGATGACCATTCTAGACGCTGACAACGCTCCCGCAAAACAAATCAGCGCCCACAGCGGACATATCACCGGCTCTTTTGCTGACAGCGCATCGGTGCGCAAACTAGCAGACTCATGTGACGTTATTACTGCAGAGATTGAACATGTGGATACCTATGCGCTTGAGGAAGTGGAGGGACAAGTGGAAGTCCAACCAAGTTGGCAGAGCATTCGAATTATCCAGGATAAATTTGCGCAGAAAGAACATCTGTCGCGCTATGGCATCCCAATGGCAGAGTATAAGGAACTGAAGTCCAATACCGTGGAGGAGTTGGAGGCAATTGGGCAAGAGCTGGGTTACCCGCTTATGCTTAAGTCAAAAACACTGGCTTACGATGGACGGGGTAAGATTTTTTTATCCCTCCTTCTACAAATATTATCTCGCTATAACATTGTCTAACAGAGTATGTAATTTTAGGAAATTATACTGTTAAGTCAAAGGCCTCAGTGCCGGCGGCCTTGGAAGCTCTAAAAGACCGACCACTATACGCTGAAAAGTGGGCAAGCTTTAGAATGGTATGCAGCTCCTAGCTTGTTTTGTCCATAGTAACGGTCCTATTGTTGACATTGCAAAATATAGGAACTGGCTGTCATGGTTGTTAAAACTAAAGACGGCGTTCTCTCCTATCCCACCGTTGAAACCGTCCAGGAAGATTCAATATGCAAGCTCGTATATGCCCCATCCAGGGGTGTCTCAGAAGCTATTGACAAAAAAGCCCAGGAGCTGGCAAGGAACGCAGTCGCGGTGTTTGAAGGCAAAGGCGTATTTGGCGTCGAAATGTTCCTCTTAGAAGATGATTCTCTCCTGCTATGTGAACTTGCCAGCCGCATCCATAACTCAGGGCACTATACCATCGAAGCCTGCCCCATCTCCCAATTCGAAGCACACTTAAGAGCGATCCTCGACCTCCCCATACCTCAACAAAGCCTCGAAATCCGCCAACCGGCAATAATGGTAAATATCCTAGGAGGTTCAACACCAGACTCACATCTCAAAGTCGCTGAACGAGCCCTCTCAATCCCCAATGCTAGCATCCATCTCTACAGCAAAGGTGCCGCCCGCCCAGGGAGGAAGATGGGACACATTACCATCACCGCGCGTACAATGAAGGAAGCAGAGTCGCTCGTCCAACCGCTCCTCGGCCCTACGGACACTATCATCGCTATATCTACCGCGCCCATCCTTTACCATCCACCTAGTACGGTCGGTGCTCGACCTAAACCCACCATTGGGGTAGTGATGGGTTCTGACAGCGATCTCAAAACGCTGATACCCGGCCTTAACCTTCTAAAGTACACGTTCGGCATCGATCCCGAGGTTGACATTACCTCCGCCCACCGTACACCTGACTATATGGCCGAGTACGCCTCCGCCGCTGCCTCGCGAGGCATCAAGGTAATCATTGCTGCGGCAGGAGGCGCAGCGCATCTTCCTGGCATGGCGGCTGCCCACACCTCGCTGCCCGTTATCGGAGTTCCAGTCAAAGGGAGCTCGCTAGACGGTGTTGATAGTTTGTATAGCATTGTGCAAATGCCAAGAGGCGTTCCCGTTGCAACTGTGGGGATTAATAATAGTATCAACGCGGCGCTTCTTGCAGCGCGGATACTAGGTGCATTTGATGGACAATTACGGAAGAAAGTAGAGGAGTATGCGAAAAATGCCAAGGTGGAGAATCTGGATATTAAGGGGGCCAAGATGAGGGAAATCGGGTGGGAGAAGTATTTTGAGCAGATGGCGAAATGAATGAAACCATGAAAAGACGTATTTTTTAAGTCCTAATGAATTGGCATTTTATATTTCGAACTTTTTAAGATAGACTCTGATTGGAGTTGCTAGATTTAGACAAAATGAAGTTCACTGCGAACGCTCTTTCAACCCCACCGCACGTGTCCTTCTGGTGACCGAGCAGGAGACACGCTGGCCTGTATCCTGACTATTGCAAGTTATTGCAAGATTCTATACACATGACTATGAAGAGTGCAGCAAGCAGTATTTTAGATACCCAAATTCCTTAAGACTAGGACAAAACGTTGTTCATTTGGATTCCGATGTATGTCATGGGCGCGGGAGCAGTACGGAGTACTAGATACGGATGCAGCATATTTTGAAGGAACGTAGAGGCAGATGATCGAAGAATACCTCGTTAATACAGTCTGACTGAAGACCTTGATCCAGCCAGTGTTCACGAGTGCTTCTTTGCGCCCAAGTCTAATAAAACCGCCACCGACGACTATCAGGGAGGATATACCAGCACGAGACCGCACCACCCCACACCTGATCGTTCAAGCCCCTAACTCCTTCATTCGCCCCTATCACATGGTCATTGTTTCGCAAGGGATGCTATACTCGCGATTTTATTTTATTTTATTGAGGGGACGTAGAGCGCCTGCATCACTCTTAGAAGTCTACTTCTTAATGGCAGCTGTGTCCCCATTTTATTTATGGCTTCCGCTTACCGCAGCTTGAGGGATGGCCAATCAGCTGCTTCCATTTTCGATTCTAGCTTATGTACAAAAGAATTAATAGGTATTATTCGAGGGAGGGGATAAACCAGCTATGGTCCATCGGATGGCCCAAAGGCTTTAACTGTAAAGCGGAGAAAGAAAATGCAAAGTGAAAAGGTGACGCATAAAAAGGAAGACATTGAAGGAAAGAGAGCGAACGTTGTTGCATACGTATATCTGTGGAATAGAGGGTGACAGAAATTGCGCCTTGGAGCTGGAGCAAGTTGGAAAGAGGGAAGGGGGGGGGAAGGATAGGAGATGAGCGAAGTGCTAGTATTAAAACGAGTTATATAGGGGTGAGAAAGAATGAATGAAATGGTGGGGGTCTTGAAAAGAAATTAAATGACTGGAATGGGTTTAAATGGAACCGGAGGGCGAGGAAAAAAAAAAAAAAAAAGACCGTGAACAAAATTGGGAAGGGGCCTTCAACGACGGGATGGGATGGGGTATATGGTATGCTATGTGTGTATGTACGACGCAGCGTGAGGCATTGACTGGTTTAAAATAATAAAAGTAGCTGGGCAGAAAAGTAAAAAACCCAAGCACAAAACAAAGAATGAAAGAAAGGACGAAGAATCAGAAAATGGAAGCAGAAACTGTACCCTATAATATCTTGGTGCAAGCTGTTGGGAGGAAATGGAATGGAAAAGGCAAGGGTAGTCTGCACGCCGATGGAAATCAAAAGACGTATTTCTTAATTCGTGTGGCTGATAAAAGCGGCATACTCCAGTATTGCTTGCCCAGTCGCTGCGGACGGTCTTCGGACAGAGAGACAAGGAACAGAATGGCTATGTGAGAAAAATGAAGAAGGCCCTTCTCGTTCACATTATCTTTGTTACGAATTTCGATCTACGCTCTTTTCCCTCTCTTTCGTGTCGTCTCTGGTGGGACCGTCGCCGCGATTTGTGCTATCGTTGGCATCGCTGGACGAAGCTGCTGAAGTCAAACTATCCGTGAATCCCTCGTCCGATTGGTGGCTTTCTGAAGTAGGTAGGAGATGATAGTAGCGACTGACCATGTCTTTTCTCCGCATCCTGGCCTGATGGGAATGGCCCTGCCATGTCGCCCTCTCTTCTATCCGAGCCGTTTTGTGCGTTATTATTGGAAGCTTGTTCCTCCGGGGAGGCAGATCGGGAACTTGATTCTTTTAGGCGCATTTCAGCTTCCCGGATTCTTGCTTCCAGGGCCTCCAGCTCGCGGTTTTGAATCGTGACCATTTGTTGCCTGGAAAAGCACAGAAAAATAATTATCAGCAAATGCGGAGAGGTAGAACCCGCAGGATAGGTGTGAGCTCCATCGTATTGTAGACGTATTTTTTTGTGTTGATTTTTATCGCAGTGTCTCCATGATATCATTTGTAAACTGCCAGAGAGCTGATTGAATGCTTGATTGAATGTTGATAGGCGTACTTATAGTGAACAGATTGTGTCAGGCTGTCGACCTCACTGTCCAGCATGAAGGCGTTATCAAGGGCAGCAGCAAGGGAGCGGGCCATAGTTCTACGTTGGATTGGTCAACAACAAAGCTTTACAAATAAATAGAATGATCACGAGCAGATAGTACGTACGATTGAGGCCGTCCAGTAGGCTTCCATTCTTCTTCTATGTCGGACATATTTGCGGCGTGTGTAGTGGAGAGCCGGTGAAACCGGTGGAGTTCTGTATAAAGGGTGTTTGGTTGTAGCTTCGAAATTAGAGAGGTGAAGAACCAGAGAGACAAGTGAGGCGGTGATAGATGAAACCAGAGCCAGCTGAGAATCCGGGCGAAATAATCTGCTCTCAGATATAGAGGGGAAATGGCTAGGGAGGTGGGAGGTGAGAAGTGGGAGAGTTCCTGTGAGTTAAATTAGAGTTGTTGGAGACGCGAGACCCCTGGCCCTAGTAATAATCACAACCACACCCTGGGCTGGGAGTGAGATCCAAGCAATGACAGGCTTGGAGCAACAGCCAGAAGCAGGGTCTGGAAAAAATAAGCAAACGCTAGTTACCTATGCTGGGACCTTCACGGAGCAAACGCCGCTACTTGGACTGTTTGGGCCACCAGCTCTCCAGCTCTCTTCTGGTAGGCTGACCAGGCAAGACCATCTGCCACTAGTCAACACGGGAGAGTGGGTGGGTGGGGATCAAAACGGCCAAAAGGGTCAATAAAAAAGGGTAGCGCAGGCAGGAAAAGGGGGAACAAATCTTGAATTTGTCCTCCTCCGCTCCAGTTATTTATTAGGTCTGTTTATTGACCTTTGTTGACGCTGAGATGTTTACTCGGTGCCGAGATCCCGTGACCAGCCCCTGAAACCGATGGATGACTCAGTTAATATCACATGACTACCTAGGTAGTAGTCTACTGTCACGTGAATTTCCCGCCTTCTCATTCGCCCAACTCGTTTTTCTCTCGTATCGTCATGAGCTTGACCTTGCGACATCCAAAGAAACGCCGATTCCATCGATTTTCCATCACCAGGTTCTTCCAGGAGATTCAGCTGCCGTCGTCACACCTCACATCTCTCTCTCAAGCGATATTCCTCGTGGCGTTTGTGACTATTGGAAGATACCGTGATGGTCTGAAGTCAAAGAAACACGCGAGCCCATACTTTCTGCCCGATCCATTCCCCGGGCACTCAATCGCCCGCCTGTACGTCCACCAGACCCACGGACTACTCCCACCGTGGCTCCCATCGTCAAGGACAACAACACCCTGTCTAGTCGACTTGACTGGCAATGGGGGATGCCTTCGTTGTCGTCCTACACTCCCTTTGAATCTCTGCTGTTTTTCCAATTCCTCAACACTCTTGACTCTCAACCGTCCAATTTCACGCCTATTTCAGAACTTCTGATCAACAACTCGTTCGTCCGTCAAAATGCAACGTTTGACAAGGCTAGACTGACCCCGCAGGCTCTGGAAGCGCTTTATATAAATCTAGTGCAGGAAGAGTTACAAAACAGGGAGGGAACCCCAGAACACGGGTCCAATGGCTACAACTCGGATGCTGTGAACGCGAATCTGAAGAAAAGGAAGATACAGGATCCGTCGTCCAAACATGAGGGCGCTTCGTATTCTACGGTGATTCCAACCCTTGTCGCTCGTTTATATGCCAGGTACAAGGAACGCGCGACACGAGAGATTGAAGATGAGGAAAGGAAATATGCCCGAATTAAAGATGAAATCAAAAAGCTGGAGAATGCGGAGACTGCCAAACACACGCCTCCGATAATAGACGGCCCATCGGCGACTCCCGAAATATCTAAAGAAGCGGCACAGGCACAGCCTTCATCGCCACAGCCGGCGACGATTGCTCCCAGAGTCAATATTGAGCGACCCCGAGACCAGGTCCTTGAGCAGGTACAGGCTGTTCAGATGCCAAAATATGCACAACGCGGTTTAGTAGAGGGACAGGCGACTGTCCAGCAAGCTCTACAGATTGAGGGAAAACTTGCAAACGCACCACGATCCTCTCCGCAACACCCCCAAGCGCAACAGTGGCAACAAGCTGGCCCACAGGCTATCGCGCAGAATATCCCGCCTCGCTCCCTTTCGCCAAACCTGGGAAATGGAAATGCGTCCATACTTCCCTCTCAAGATCACATCTCTAGCCGTGGCTTGCAGTATGCCACTTCCAAGCCAGGTCAACCAGGAATAAACACCTCGACAATACCTCATGCAGGAACCGGGCGAGTACCAGGCCAAGTGCTCACTCCGGTCACATCAGCTACTTCTCAGGCCTCACCACTGTCATTACAAACCACGCCCACTGCTACAAGCGCCCAACAACAACAACAACAACAGCAGCAGCAGCAGCAGCAACAGCAACCACAGCGTATTATGGCCACCTTCCAGCCCGTTCAATATTCCCCTCCGCAGGCCCAAATGACTCAGACACCTCCAAACACAAATTATCAAAAGCAATGGTCCCCACAACCGGTTCCATCAACCACTTATGGGCAGCCATCCCCTTATGCCAACGTACCTTACTCTAACAGCCAGCTTACAGGTAAATCTCACTTACCGCTTGGCCCACATAGTCCATATGTCCAGCTAGAGGCAGGCAAGTCGTTCCAGGGCCCTTCCGGTCCTTCGCTCCAACCATCACGACCAGTCGGACTTGGGTTACCTCAACTACAAAATGACGCTAGAGCTCAAACTACTCCGCACGAACAGCATATAGCAACTCCGGTCAGTACTCCTGGCTCCGGTGGACTGGATCTCTGTACCCCTTCGTTTTCGGCGGCCTTAAATCGGAGACCGCCTAGACCGTCCCTGGATACTTCTGGTTCGCTCACCCCTTGGAAAAAACCAAGCCCGATTGTCATATCTAAGTCCCCTGGGTCTCCGATACGGCCTCGACCAGAGGATGTAAGCCCTATCAGCGAAAAGGCGCCGTCACCAACGACTGAGATTGAAATGCCATCAATATCGACAACCCGGCCCAAGGGTCAAACTGTGCATGCAGATGTTGATTCCAGCCCGGCAAAGAACACTCGTCAAAGGAAATCTACACCAGCACTTAGGGGCAGGGCCACTGCTAGCCCGGTTTCTTCTCCCATACGCTCCACTCGAAACCGGAGCCGGGGTGCTCGATCCAACGTATCTCGTGACGATGAGTCGATCACTGATTCTGGCTCTGTTACTCAGCAGAAAATAAAGCGTGAAATGCCAAGCACCCCTGCTGGGATATCAGATGAAACAGAAGTGGAACTTCGAGCGTCAAGGCGGCTCAAAGCCCCAAGCCAAGCCCAAGCAGATGAATACGTGTCAAAGGGGAAGGGGAAAAGGAAGCGGGGACCAAGCGAAGCGGAAGACGCGACCCAACCACCTACTCGACAAGCGGCACAATACGTACAATGTACCCGAAATTTCCCACGAACATGTGCTCCAATCATGAACGATATCGCATCCCATAAATACGCATCCATATTTGCGAAGCCACTAACAGAGCGTGACGCCCCGGGATATAAGAGTCTTATCTATCGACCCCAGGATATCAAGTCTATTAAATCCGCCATTCATCAGGGAAGCAAAGCCGTAGCGGCTGCAACGGAGGCTGTGAATACCCCCAGCGGAGAAAACACCGAATCTCCCGGCCCTGGCCCAGGTTTCGGCACCACCCCCTCGAAAAGCAATGGCCTGTTACTGAGGAGAACGGCAGAGCTGACCCCACCCAAGGGCATCGTAAATTCAGCACAGCTAGAGATGGAACTTGTGCGGATGTTCGCGAACGCGGTGATGTTTAACCCAACTTCAGAAAAGACTTTTGGCCCGTCCTTCCCGATGCAGAGCGATTGGGCTTCTCGGGAGGGAACACAGGTTTCGGACATGGATGAGGGGGGCATCATCAATGATACGCTGGAGATGTATGACGATGTGGAGAAGGCAGTGTCGAGCTGGCGTGCGGCGGAGAGGGCTGTCGATGACCTGGGTGGTAAGAGCATGTTATCCCTGCGAAGGGGCAGTGCGAGTGATATTAATATGGACAGCGCTGACGAATTGAAGTGAAACGACATTTTTAATGTACAAAATCCTTAAACTTTATTTTTGGTTCCGTCCTTTTCTTCTCTTTTTCTTGGGAACAGTGAATGAACAAAGCAAAAATGTTCTGGCTATGAGCGATTTTGCCAATGACCCGAGGTATTTGTCATTATATTGTAATTTATACGTGGAGAAAAGCTTCTACCTCCCATCCTTGGACGGAACTTGCCCTGTTTCCATGATAATGCACAAGCTTGCTCTCTTGTATAGTATGTATTCCATATAAATATATATACATATTAATGGAGGCATTCCAAAGTGATTGGTCCAAAAATCATAACCATATTCCACCAAGCAATCAAGCAGTACATCCCACCGCCACCTCCGGTCTCGTCCTTCCCAACCCATCCTTCGCATAAAAATCCATCGGATAAACCCCACCATTCCCCTCATCCCACCCCAACCTCTCCCCAAGAGCCACAAGCGCCTCATACGGCGATAACAACGGCCTCGCAAAAGCATACCCCCAGTCAATGCTCAACCGCGGACACGCAATCTGCACCCAGCACTCCACATCAGGCATCGACGCCAGCTTCCCCGGGAAAATCTCACTAAGCAGCAAATTCACAAACGGAATCCCACGCTCATTCAGCTGCTTCTCGATCTTGGCCATGGTGTGCGGGTTGCCCTGCCGGCCCAGGGAGCCTAGGATGATACCCCATTTCCGTGCCGTTCTGGCGGCGTTGATGGCGTCGCGGCGCAGGGTGAGCATTTCTTCGTGGTCGTAGGATTCGCGGGAGAGGGTACGGGAATATGGGTCATAGCGGTACGCGGGGAGGGAAGGGTTGTGGATCATGGCGGATTCGAGATGGAAGCGGCCATCACCGAGATAGAGGAGGATGTCGACTTGGTCTAGGGGTAGTTTGGGGGAAGTACAACCTAGGATCTCACCTTTGCTAAGCGGAGTGATTTGTGGGACGAGGATGGAGTAGCCGGCCTTTTCCAGGGTGGACTTTAGTCCGTGGATGGTTGCGTTGAATTGGATTGTGCCGACGACTGCGATGGTTTTTCCACTCTGGAAATTCCTTTCCAGTGTAGAGATTAGGTGTTGTGTGTCGATGCTTATGTCGACAAAGATATATAGGGTTTTGATCGTGGTGACATCGACGGGGATCAGACAGCTATGCGCGTAGTGGACGAGTAGGTCACAGCCTAGCGCACGCGCGGTGTAATCATCTATACAGCAAGCGCCGTATGTGACATCGCCCATAATTAAGGTTTCAGTCCCAGGGCAGAACTGGGTGAGGATATCGGATATTGTAGTTGCGAAGAGGAGGAGGCCTTCGGGGAATTGTAAGGCTACTCTTTTTGCACCCAACGTTCGTATTCTGTGGATGGTTTTGGGGATCTCAAAGGAGTAGTTTCGCGGGAGAAGGGAGATTGCCGCTTTGATGTCTTCATCGTCTAGGATTTCGGCTGGGACTTGATTTAAAGCTCGCGGAGCTCGTCGGGTTCGTGCTAGAAATGCTATTAGGAGCGGGGATACCAACAAGCGCAAGGGGAATATGGGACATACCTTGCTGAAGGGACGTTGTATTTGACGTTTGAGAATATCCATCCTTTTGGCTTTGTGACTGAGCATCCGCTGTCTTACGCCCAACGAACCTTTTTTTGGGCTGGCGCGTATGATTTGAGGGCTTATCAGCGGTAGCTGATACCGGGGTGGCCGCTGGCGGGGCCGTGTTGTCTGCCATAATACTAGAGAACCAATGAATGTGAGAAGGGGTAGTAGTATAGATACACCGGAGCCTTCATATATTCATCCAGATAGCACAAATGAGATAATCGTTGGAGGGTGTTCCAACTCTCAAATTTATTGTTTCTATCTCCGATCTATCCGCATATCAGTTGACGGAGGATGAAATTATTTTTTTTGGCGGGGAGCAGTGATGACATAATGCGGAGAGGGCGGAGAGTGGCAGAATATTGCCAAGATATATCGGTGAGGAGAAATTCACCTTTTGATTGGCTTCAAACCTCGATCCGTTTCCCCGGGACACGATCACGTGATTCCGCATTTGGCCGAGCAGCTCTCCCCGCGACGATTGCGACCCGTCGAACATCATCAACAGCTTCAATCTATCCGACGATAGTATAACATTCGTATTCTTCAACATGTTCATCTCCACAAGATATACTTCTAGACTCTGCCGGGTTGTCCGGCACGAAAGACCAGTCCGCCTCTTTTCTACTAAAACAAGCTTTGCCGGAGACCATCTTCGGATCGTTGAAGTCGGCCCCCGAGATGGGTTACAGAACGAGAAGAAAGCAATTCCTTTAAGCACAAAACTAGAGCTCATTGAAAAACTGGCGAAGACGGGATTGACCACAATTGAAGCTGGCTCGTTTGTCCCAGAGAAGTGGGTGCCACAGGTTCGTAGGTCGCCTGGTTCACGTCGCCTTCTCTACTAGTCGTATTACTTACGTCAATTCATAGATGGCCAGCACCCCGGAAATATTGTCATACCTCCTCAAAACGCCTCCCAAGTCATCTCACTCGATTGCATATAACTACTTAGTTCCCAACGTCAAAGGGCTCCAAAATCTAGTAAAAATCATGGATACTGATAGCCCACCGGCCTCGGAAGCCTCAAACTCCAACGCACTTCCGAAACCCACTACCGAAATCTCATTATTTGCTGCTGCGACAGATGCATTCTCAAAAGCGAACACAAACTGCACTATTGAAGAATCCCTCGAGCGCATCAGGCCCATTGTGGAACTTGCCAAGGAGAAAAATATTCGGGTTCGCGGTTATGTGTCTGTGGCCCTTGGATGCCCCTATGAAGGTCCCGATGTATCTCCTCACAAGGTTGCCGACATAACAGCCACTCTGCTCGAGATGGGTGCCGACGAGGTCTCAGTCGCTGACACCACGGGAATGGGCACTGCGCCTCGGACATTAAAACTGTTACAAACCCTTACCTCTGCCGGCATTGCTAATAATGATCTCGCCCTCCATTTCCATGACACGTACGGCCAAGCACTCGTAAACACCATTGTCGGCCTGGAGCATGGTATCCGCATCTTCGACAGTAGCGTGGGTGGGCTTGGCGGATGCCCTTATTCGAAAGGTGCTACTGGAAATATCTCCACAGAGGACCTCATTCATACTGTTCACAGTCTTGGAATGCGGACGGGCGTTAACCTGGAGGAGATTTCAAAAATTGGTGCATGGATTAGCAAAGAACTAGGCAGGTCGAATGATAGCAGAGTGGGCAAAGCTACTGTTGCTCGACTTCAGGGTTAAGATGTATATAATGTCTCTATGCTTGAGCTCCCTCTTTAATTCTGTCCATGGGGAGTATGTCCTTCTGCAAGATCGATGGTTCCACGCTTCCTAGATATCTAGGGGCTTATGATAGATCAACCATGATGCGGAATCCCAAGCAGAAACTCTCTTTCGTCCCGTTTCCTATCCTTTCTCCTGCAGTCAAAACATCACCTGCATACTCGCGTGAAGCGGCATTATACTTCTGTTAGCTTTTCTCTGCTTTCTCTTTGGGCAGGCATCTTTCATATACTGTACATATAACCGTTTTTCTAGGTGAAATAGCAACTGACGGCAATTCATTTCTCGACCTGGTCCCAATGGCGGTTCACAAATAAGACACCTTGTGAATATATCGAGCGGACTAGTAGTAGTTTTGTCAGTTTTTTCCAAATTGCGATCATCTATATATGGTCGAGCAAAACATAGAACAAAAGGCTAAATAGGAAAGAGATGCATGATATATTGGTACAAAAATTATTAGACATCAATCTTAATGCAGTTCCCCTATACTTCATAGCAGGGCAAGGAATTTGTTTGAAAATGCTCGAAACATCAACTCATCCACCGAGCGGGTTTTGTGGCTCGGTCACATCCAGGCGTGTCCGAGTGCACTGACATCCAACTGAAGTTATGGGAATTGGGTATTTTATTTACAACTTCCCCAGTAAACTTGCCATCTGAATAACTTCTGTCCAAAATGTCAGCCAAGTGCGAACCGCCGCGGGACGCGCGCCTCTGGAACCCTCAGTTTGGTTAAAAGGTTTCCAAGACTTCCCCGGGATAGAAACACGCCAAAGCGATAGCAGATCCTGCTTCTGCTTTATACATATAGCTCATTTTTATTTCGTGTTTTATTTTTTTTTAAAAGTCCGTAACCCTCCCATTGAAGCTCCAATCCCCTTTCGCACCCCATCTCAAGGGCTCGTTCTTCGGGCCCCCAACCTCACCAGTTTTGGGATTTGTCTCACCATCAAACTCAGGTTTTGCCCCTCGGAAGAGATCTGGATGTACGTTCTCGCCTGATCCGCTAACCTCGACTTGCGGGCTGGCAGCTATTGGTGGGGAGGAAGAGGAGGAATCTGCTGACTGGGGGGATTGGTTGATTTGCGGAGGTGATCTGGGGGTGCTAAAGGCACCGGTTGATTGTTTTTGGAGGTTCTCGAAGATTTCTTGCTCTTCTTTAGGGAGTCGGGGTGGAGATGGAGCGTTTCCGAATTGGCTGTTAGCATCATCGCGTTTAGCTTGTATACCTGTTGAGAAAGCTCGAGTGGGGCGGAAAGGATGGGAGAAGGTGCGGAGAACGGCGCTGGTAGACCGGAGGTGGCGGAGGGTAAGAGGGGATACCATGGTGGATATAGTTGCTAAAAAGGGATAATATCTTGATGGCCAGTGAGATACAGTAATGGGGATACCGCAATGATAACCACCGACTGCTGTGATTAGAAGATTTATTAATAAGTAGTTAGGATGCTGCAGCGCCCGGCTGCTTGGGGAAATCTTCTGGATCATGCCGAGGACTTGCGGAATATCCTTGATCCGATCTGATAAGATCATTTTCCCGGAAAAAAGCAGTCATCGATCCCGATATTGCTCTCTCTTCTCCAGTTTCTTCTCCCACAACCACCACCAATTGACCTTCAACTTGTATTGGTTGGCGTCTAGAATTGGACTGTGGGCAGCGTTTGCACTTTCTAACCTACAATATGGCTTGCCGTATCGCTGCACAGCGAATCCGGCCATGCGCTCGATCCGCCAGACAAGTCGCGGAGCTTGAGTCACACCAATGGAGGTATGCATCAACGAAGTCAGGGGCAGAGCAGGTCCAGGTAGTTATATTTCGATGCGTTTTGCCATTCCGTAGACCATTCGATTAACGGAGAGGTGGTAGAATACGAAGCAAACAGCATCCCATCATGATCCAGCGCCCAACAGCAGCTCCGCAGCCTTCGTGGGCCAGCGAGCTCCCTTCATGGTCCCAACCTACGTACGACCGACTCCCGTAATAGATTCCGGAAAAGGGTGTTATTTATGGGACATGGAGCAACGAAAATATCTAGACTTCACAGCTGGAATTGCCGTTACATCACTGGGTCATTCTGATGCTGGGGTTGCGGAAATCATATCGCAACAGGTTAGTACAAAACATACTCAAATTGACACTCAGAAACATGCTCAAAAAATTAATATATCTATCTAGTCTAGGATGTTAATTCATGCATCCAATCTCTACCACAACAAATGGACCGGCACCCTCAGCCAGCTCCTCGTCACCTACACCCTTGAGTCTGGCGCGATGCGTGGCGCGAAGCAAGCATTCATCTGCAACTCTGGCACCGAAGCCAATGAAGCGGCCATCAAATTTGCCCGGAAGGTCGGCCACAGCCTCGACGCGTCCGGTGCTAAGCACGAGTTTGTTTCATTCTACAATTCCTTCCATGGCCGCACCTACGGCTCTCTGTCCGCCACACCAAACCCCAAATACCAAGCCCCCTTCGGGCCTATGGTACCTGGCTTCAAATACGGCAAGTATAACGATATCGCCCAAATCCCAACTCTCATCAACGAGAAAACCTGCGGTGTGATCGTCGAACCTATCCAGGGCGAAGGTGGCGTGCATACAGCAACACCTGAATTCCTTAGTGCCCTTCGCTCTCGCTGCGACGAAGTTGGCGCCATCCTCATCTTCGATGAGATCCAATGCGGCCTCTCTCGCACCGGCTCCCTTTGGGCGCACGCACACCCCGTCCTCGAACCAAAAGATGACTCATTACCCGCGCACCCAGACATCCTCACCACAGCCAAGGCGCTAGCCAACGGCGTCCCCATAGGGGCTACTCTCATCTCTGATGCAGTCAGCAAGCATATCAAGGCAGGCGACCATGGCACGACGTTTGGCGGGAACCCGTTGGCTTGTCGTGTGGCACAACACGTGCTGACCCGTCTGGCGTCTAGCGCCTTGCAATCTGCCGTGCGCTCGCGCGCCGCGACGTTCCGGTCAGGGCTGGAGCAGTTGCGAAAACGATTCCCAGAAGCTGTTGGGGATATTCGCGGGCGCGGGTTGATTTTGGGGTTGCAGCTTGCGGATCAGTATAAGGGGGTGTTCGGAGACATCGTGACCGAGGCGAGGGAGAGAGGGTTGCTAATCATTACGGCTGGTGAGGGGTGTTTGAGATTCGTGCCGCCGTTGATTATCACGGATGGGGAGATTAAAGAAGGATTGGATATTTTGGGAGAGGCGATGGAGCAAGTGTTTGCGAGGGCTGCTTGAGGCTTTTTTTTTTTTTAACAACCGGCAATTCGTTATAAAAGGATTCTTTTCAGGGATAGATAAAAAAGGTTTTGGTTCCTTTGTGAAAATAATAATTTCATCCGGATTATTTTAGTATCTTCTCCTTTATTCATCAGAGTAGCATTACTTTGACTCGTTAGGACGCCGAAACCCGCGTCCCCTGAGTCATCCATAGAATACTACTTACTGGTATCCCAGAAATCTTACGGTGTGGCTTTGCTACTATTATTACATAGAAGAGTACAATATAACTACAAGCCTTTATCAGCCAGGATCGTACGTAGTCTGTTACATGCAAACCATTAATGTAAATAATTATTAGGCCGTTTCTCTGAGAAAACCAACAAATCTCACGCAAATTGGCGCGAAAAGAAAAAAATAAATAAGAGGCTACCCGTTAGTTACATTACTCTAAATATTGCAAATAAATCAATAAAAATAAAAATAAAAATAAACATAAAAATAAAAAATAAAAAATAAAAAATCCCTAAGGGGTCTTTACCGCCTCCCCCATCCCTAACAACCCGCCCGCCAACCCATTCATACGCCTCCCTAACAAATCCTCCTCGCTGGGCAAGCTTGTCAAGCTCTCATTGCGCTGTAGAGCCATATTCGTCATGCGCTTGCGCCAGGAATGGACAATGTCTTCTTTTCCATCCACATCATCCTCCGCCTCGTGGGTTGGTTTGCAACCCTCGTTATGATTGCGGGCGTGGTTTCCGTTGGTACTGGGTTGGATGGAAGGCAAGACGCCGGGACTTGACTGTGTTGTGTCCCCGTTCGGTTGTGGTGGATGCTTGTGCTTTACGATACCATTTGGAGGGCCCGCGGAGGGGATGAGACCAGTCTTAACGGAGTCGGGGCTTACTGTCCCTTCGGGGGCGGCGACTGGGCTTGGAGAGGGGAAATAGGAGGCATCCGCTGTTGATCGAGCAGAAGGCGATGAGGAAGACAAGGCGGATTTAGAAACCCCAAGCGAAGCTGATGGTCGTTTGGTCATTCTCAGCCTGGTCATTTCCAGTGGCCTATCTTCGTCGCCCGACGATTCCCCAGTCAGTCCTCGTTGGTGGTCTCGTGGTCCACTCTTATCCGTTCTGCTTCGTTGAGTAGATCCTGCGTCTCCCCGCCTCGCGAATGTTATTGATGATGAGGAGGAGTCGGGTTTTAAAGTCCCTGAGCTATCTCCTTGCCGTCGACGAGGCGCGAGAGATCTCATCGAGGAGGCCGTAAGATCCCCTTCAGCCGCAGAGGCTCTTTCAGCGGCATGCACGAACAACTTCCGAATCCACCGTGAGCAACGGAAGATTTGTCTCCACCCCTCGGGAAACAAGGCAGGAAACTGCAAAAACCCATGTGAGATTCCCGGGATCAGGGACACTTCGACATGCGCCTTTTCATCGAACGTTCTCATGGACTTCTCAAGGCCCAGCTCCTGTCGTTCGCGAAATTGACGCAGTTTTGCCTGGCGGATACGCCCAGCGAAAATCACTGTGTCATCAACTAGCGGGTCTCGTTCCCCCGTTAGGAAGAAGGTTTTGGGGAAACGGGCCAGCAGAGCTTCAGGCGCGAGGATAGGAGAGAGGAGGAAGTCTGAGCTGAAATCCGGACGATTGTATGGGCCGATATAGAGGATGATTGTAGCACGCATAATTTCAGGGGTCAGGATGCGGTCGTTGAAGTATGAAATCATGGACGAGACGGCGAGTCGTGTTTCGATATGCCCAGGATGCTTGTTAGCTGTGGCCACGACTTCTGAGGCAGTGTTTCCTGGAACAGGTTTATTGATGTTTTCGGTCTCAATCGCTGGGTCACGGTCCTCATGAATTACACCGGCGTGCTGCTGGGCGAAATAGTCTTGGATGACTGGATGTTCTGAGGAGGCTTCGTGAAAGCTTGACGGACGTGATGAGGTTAGCTTGCGGTAGTCCTCACTTTTCCTTCGGAGGATATTGACATTTGTCTCTCGCATTCCTCGCTCCCGTATTAATGACATTTCATCCTCCGTCATCCAACTACCTATGTTCATGTCCAATGTCGGGTATATGAGCACTAAGCCAGCCGGAGGCGGTAGAGAGTCCTCTCCCCGCCGCTTCCGCGAATTCGTGCTCTCTGACTGGAGTACCATCAGCGTGACACCAGCAGCCAGATTCCCACCCGCACTGTCACCTGTAATCACAATGCTGGGACTGACCTTGCCACTTAGACCAATGCAACGACCACGGCTAGTGACTAGGGTATGATAAACATCGTAGCACTCATTTAGGGCGTATGGATAAGGATATTCAGGTGCCTTTTTGTAATCCAAGCTCAGGACCGGCACTCCCGTCCTCCCGGCCCAGGCTAGGAGCTTATCATCACTCATCCGTGGGCCCATGGCCACAAACCCACCACCGGGGATATCCAGAACGATATTAGTCTGGTCCTTCAGGGTATGCAGCGGGCCGTTATAATATAACCATGCAATGCACGGCTCCTTGTACGACGATTCTTTCGGTCTGGATATCCGTATCTGAACCGGCGCATAGTCCATGAAGCGTGGACGCATAAGCTTTGAGAGAAATGACAGGTATGGTGTCGTAGCTTTATTCCACGATATGCGCAAGTGCTCCACTGTCATCACAGCTCTAACCTTCCGGACCTTCTCATCTGCATGTTCTGCGGCGATGAGGTAGTAAATCGAGAAGACCATTGATGCTAGATCCCGCAACCACTTCTTCTTGATGTTCATGGCCGTCCAGAACCCGGCATCCAGTGCCGTGGTTACCCAAGTGGCACGGAAGTAGGACCGGGAATATAGATTCGCGAGAGGCTCGGGAGACTCGAGACCAAGTAACTTGGCGAAATTACCAGATAGGTACAACCCAATTAGGGTCATAACGGTGGTCTGCCATGGAGTGGCTCGCTTGGATAACCGGGAGGATAGGAGACGAATGCCAGGAGGGCCATGGATGTTGCCACTGCGAAGACATGATATTGTCAGTCTATTTCATTTTTGTTGGAAGTCGGGCATACGTACCGGAGGAGATATAGGAACCAGAAGGACACAACCGCAAAGACCTGTATCTTGCGAAACTGCGTCGACGGCCTCCCTAGAACATGGTCTATCACAAGTTACATCAGTCATGGATACACTCCCAAGGGTTACAGGCATTAGATGAAGCAACAAATCGCACCTATCATCTTAACCTCTTTCTAACCGAAGCCAGTATATCCGGGATAGCCGATATGTTCCAGGCACAAACGGTGAAGAAAATCCAAGTCAATCCTACCCAACTTCCCAGCGGGATCCCGAATAACCAGAACTCCGCTGCCGTGGCCTCTAGGAAATGAAAGCCTTTCCCGTCTACCCCGTCTATCCCGTCTATCCCGCCTATGCACGTCTATCTGCTACCCCTGTAGACCAGGATATGTTGCCTCCGGAGCGGCGGGATGGGGACAGGAAATTTGGATCCGTTGAACAGCGGCGAAATGGGATGATGCCAGATATTCAGATAAAAACCGGCTACTTGTGAACGGTCGTTGGAAGTACTCAGGACGTTGAGCGGCCAAAAGGAAAAATCAACTTAAAAGTAAGTTGCGGCCAGGTCTGGGGAGGGAGGGAGGCGAAGGCAATGTATGTGTACATGTACATGTACTGTACATATATAAAGTATCTCAAGCCATTAGATATAAAAAAAGAACAATAGAAAAGTCAAAAAGCGAGTAACTTATCGTTCGCATCAGGTATCCGGTATTCCATACATCTACTATCCTCAGCATAAATGAGAAGATTATCATACAATTATCTGCTTAATACTCATCCTTCACAGCCTGGGTTGGGTGGGTGGATGTTCTGTTCTTCGCTTTCATCCAGTTTGATATTGGCATGTGAAAAATTACATACAATACACATTCATACGCTAGCTTGCCATTGCACCAGCCATCTGCAAGCCTATATTTCATTTTATAGGGCGTATCGTTTTGTCACTTCTGTATCCACCACGGATTAGTACGGTTTCATACGTTGATTTGTGCAGGAATAACTGTCATCTGACAAAGTAAATTGGCACAAAAGGGCAAACGAGACATAGCTACAGTACTCCATACATCAGTTGCTGTCCATCAAGCGCCATTGTCCAAAACTATGTGCTCACGAAACCCCTCACCTAGATATGCCTGAGAACCATATGCTCTATAGTGAACAAAAAGAATGCTATCTGCCAAAAATGGTTATCAAAAATGGGAGCAAATGGAGATGCGAACGAATGAGGAAATCGTAACGCCCCAGTTTGCCACTACAGCTTCTCGCAATAATCCCTCCCCCTCTTCACCTGCCAATCACAAAGCCAAACCTCTACCACCATCCCTAGCAACCCTGCCACACATATACCTCCGGAGTCGCTCACCGTCGTCGCTCCGAGCGAAAACTCCCGGTCCTCTTTCGGTACCCGGTTTGAGATCTCTGCGAAAGTATTCACATACACCAGGCCGCCCAGCAGCCCTTCCCAAAATATGATGAGGAATATGATATAGACGCTGGGGATGAAGTTGAATAGAGCATGAAGGATGAGGACGCCCAGATTGATTACTTGGAGGAATGAGGGGAAGTAGAGATTGTGGACGCGGAAGAAGGGTGTGGAGGAGCGCGAGATGAAGACGCCGAATTGGTAGATGGCGTTGTAAGCTGGGTAGAAGGCGCGGAAGTGGTTGAAGGGTGTTTCGTCGAGAGGGTAGAGGAGGGTTGGGGCAACGCCTTGATTTATGGTGTATTCGGCGATGTAAACTAGGAGGAGGGGGAGCATGCTAGAGAGATTTTAGCGAGTTAGGTTAGATATAAAGCCGTGATTATTTGGGAACCTGTCTGGGAGTCTTTGTCCCTTTTTTTTGTCAAATCGCAATGAGACTTACAATGGAAAGAATAAACCCTGGGCCCTTTTCAGATTCGCTTTGAAGCGTGACCAAGACATATCGTTCCCGTTAGCTACCAACTTGCCATCCTCCCTTGTGTGCTCCAAATCCCGTCCTAATAGCCCATCCCTCTCATCTCCGGTATCATCTAGCTCTCTTTGTTGAGTCCGACCCCTACCCAAAACACCGGCTTCATCGGCTTCGTCTTCAGCAGAAATCTGCTCATACTCGCCCAGCTTCTCCGCACATTTCAACGGCCCTAGGGGTAGAATTGTAAAGAAGCTCAGCAACATAACTAGCGGCAACCCAGCCGAAAATAACAACGTAGTCTTCACACTGAACCTAAACGAAGTGGTTGCTAACGCGTATGCCCCCGCGCCCACCAGTCCAGCCGCCCCAGTCCCGCTACCCCACGCTGCGAGACTAAACGGGCCATAGAAATGCGTCAGGCCTAAGAAGCTCAACTCGCCGCCCCCGCTCGATAAGCTGGCCAGAATTACCCCGAGCATTTTCGTCATGATGGGGTTCCCAGTCGGAGAATTTGGTATGTAGGCCGGCGACAGTGCGATGAGAAGCATACCGCAGGCGGACAAGGCAACGAATATTAGGATGCGGACGGGATATGGGATGGCATGAATGAAGTAGGGGGCGCATAGTTTTGTGAAGAACGAAGGGACCACATCGGCGAGGAGGACGACGCCTTTGGGGATGTCCGGCCCGACGAGGTCAAGGGCCGCGGAAAGGATTATTACGTAGAGGACATTATTTATTAGGCCTGCATGCAAGTTAGTTGCCTTTGTACCATTTTTATTTTTTCCGATCGCCAAAACAAGCCTCTCAATCGGCGGATAGGTAGTATTTATCTCACCGAAAAACCAGAAAGCGGTGCAAACTCTTGGGTCCGCACCATTGAATAGGGCTCGAAGTCGCCCGCAAAAGCTTTCCCACGAGGACGAAGGGGCACAAGGGAGTGGGAGCATGGGAGTATCAAGATTGTCCGAGCTAGGCATGGGACGGGTTCATGGGATTTGGTGAATATACCAGAATCGCCTTCAGATTGGATGGATCGAGAAGCGGGTGATGGAGAAGAAGATAGCAATGAGAGACCGAAGTTACGATTAAAATAATGACATCAGGCAGCTATATCATTCAGTGATAATCCTAATTCTCATAAATTTTTTAGTATTTGGCGAGTAGATTGTAGGTTACCAATTCATTTCAGCGAGATGTTCAGTTGGAGGTTGTTGCTGCTGTATCATATCATGCGGTCATCGGCAGCCAGTGGACGCTCTTGAGAGGTGCACGTGATCTGTCAAAGCCCTAATTGCAAAGCGTTTCGAAAGTCCTCAGACAGGAATGACGATGAGAATGGAATCGAGAAAATCATCAATGTATGTAACACGATTACTGGTAAAGAACGGAGTACTCAGCTTTTGATCCAATGTTTCTGACCCATGGAATACATAAACTGTGCAGGAGCGGCGCATTTCTGGGCGTTTTTATCACCACCAGCGCACTGCTGGTAGAAGGGCCGATCAACCTGGGACCCCCAACACCCCCCCTTGGACCAGCTATCACAGAGTACAGTACTCCTCTCAGTGGCTCCTCTCAGTGGCTCCTCTTAGTGGCTCCTCTCAGTGAACTCACTCCTAGGGCTCATTCTTTCAAGGGCTCACTCCTAGGGCACACTCCTAGGATGTCTCTTGGCACTGTTTTAAAAGTCCAGGGTATTTGTTTGGGATTTTCTTAAGTCCATTCTGGGATCAAACCCATGCATGTTAACCACAGCGGGGCTCACGCTTAACAGTCTCATAACCTGTAGGCTACTGGGGCAAAAGAGCTCAATCACCACCAGCGCACTGCTGGTAGAAGGGCCGATCAACCCGGGACCCCCAACAGTTTTGACATACAGAATGCCCCTAACCGGTGAGGCATTCGTTTCAAACTTCTGACCATTCTCCATGAGCTCTGGCAGTTTCAGAGCTACCTGGGCCGCTCTTGAGTTTCAGGAACGCATATCATTCTAGTGGCTAATGCAACTGATTCTGCGCTGGATCTTCGTCATCAGATAAATCAGATACAGAACTGTGATAATATCTACAAATTTCCTTTGCATACATGATAACACCTGGTACAACTTGCACATCTACATGTGCTGTACCGTACACTCCCTCGCTACTGTTAAAGTGTGGATCAAAGCTATAGTCTCAACTCAGGCATTATATATGTACAGTTTTATACATTATTACAAGCAGTACGCACTCATGTATTACCCACACCTTGAAGTCCTGGAGGAACGACGACGAAAATTTCTTCGTAGCGGAGTTTGCTGAGTGATAAAATGCTCCAGGGCTGTATCCGAGCTGTCCAAAGGGGTAGGAATTTCATTTGAACTCCGCCGGCTAAGTTACGCCCCGTGGCGGTTTACGCTTCTTACAGAGTTGATGGAGCTCAGGATAAATTGAGAGGGACTGTCGAGACGGCCAATTACCCTTTCTTCATCCTACTTTCGAATACATATGTCCTCGTAATTGACTAGGTGATTGTCAGATGTAGCAGCTAAATAAAGGGATCTAGATCTACCGAAGTAGCCACTGCCCTGGTGGCCATTCGCCAGAACGCGTCAAACGGGTTCTGTTGAACATGGCTTCAGAGCTTGTCTGCAGTCGTTTGTTTTTAAGCCCAGCCGCAGTAAGTCGCATTTCCAACCCTGAAACAACAATGATGCAGTCACATCATAAATGATCAGTCAAGGACGCCAACGCAAACCACAAAACAAAAGAATCATACTATATGTATTGATGCTTGTTTATATAGACTAATTGCATGCAGTAAGCAACCTATTCCTTGCTGGTGAAAAAAGGCCTAGAGAAAAGAACGGCTCTCGCTGAAAATTGAAAGGTTAACTGTTACTGCTGCCGCAAATCTATCTACCTAAAAGTTTAGCTGAGTTCGTTCGCGATCCAACAAGTTTTAAGTGATCTTGACTCATTTTAACTTAGTTTTATAGTTTTTGAATTCTGGGATAAACTAGCTGCTGAAAGCTGCGGGATACAGCTCCAAACATGTGTTGACTCGTTTCCAGAGAATCTAGCCAACCAAAGTTCGGGATCCAAATCATGTTACCCTGGGGCGCATCCGTGTGTGACTCGTGTGCCCTGCACCACGGTACGGTGGGGATCCGCAGGTTTTCCTTCTTGGTGGCCCTTTATCCAAAGACTTAATCTTCACCCCCAATTACTCGGCAGGATTTTCCATCTTTTCGGAATTTATTTTAAGGTCTGGTTGGAAATCTGGACCGAGTTAAATAATAAACAACAAAAGCCGTAGTTTTTTTCCCCCAGAAGGAACATAGTCAGAGGGAGTACATAGGAAAGACAGATTGGCCCGCCAATTTGTTGTATCCGTGTGTCTCATGTAGCAAAAGAAAACAGCCGCCTGAAGACTTTCAAATATTCCTCTAAGTATGTGGTTGTAATTAGTTATTAGTTATTGGGCCGATGCAACGGAGGTCAGTCATGGATCTTTATTGTTATTGTGACCGAGCATGGAGGCGCCAGGAAGATCCTAACATTTGTGGCTCAGAATCACAGCGAACCCTTTCACGCTATTCTGCCTCCGCTCGGCATGGAGAGGGAGAGGGGTGGTGCACAAAATGTCGCTCATTGCTTTTCCCCCACTGTCATTATTGCGGTAGTGGCTTCTGACTCGCTGGCTGGGGTGTGTGCCTCAGCCGGTTTTATTATGGCTCTATCGTTCCCCTAGTTTCTAATCCCCTAGTAATATGTTGGCTCGTTGGTACGAGGTAGTGAACAAGGATGGGGCCTAGACACGTTAGCCGGTAGGGTAGGCTGCTGCTTGGTCCCACCGCCCGCGAAAATTGCGGATGCTGCCCTGGAGGCTGTCGCATGCTCGGGCTCCAACTTTTCTTTTTCTTTTTCTTTTTCCTTTTTGTCTTTGGCGCTGGTGGAAGGGAGGTGCAGCGTCACCAAGAGGTAATCTGCCGCTAGCCATCATCATCATCGTTTCTTTTTTTTCCCCTTCCCTTTCATCCTCGTCGCCTCCTGTGAGACTCTCTCAACACCACAACAACCGTTCACCGTTTCACACCCTGTTGAGGTCGACCAAGCTCCCAGTCACCTCGCATTTTTTACATTCTTCCTTCTCTCAATATTGTACGGATGATTCTTTGGTCGTCAGAATTTTTGATGTTTTGGCTCTGTCCTCCCCTAGCCCTGGAGCCATCGCATTCCAACACCTGGATGTTCTAAAGGCAAATATGGATGATATCCCAACAATGGACCCCCAGCACCCACGCCAGCCTTTTGCCCGCCCATCAACATTTGGGGCTCATCCACCATCAGAATCCAGACACACCCAGTTGCCGCCACATCTATACGGACCGGGCTCGCTACCAGCAAATGGAAGGTCTCATGTAACCTACGATCCGTTGGGGCGACGTGAAAATGAGATCCCACCACGAGCACCTCCCGGGCTCCCTCCGCCGTCCCCGGCCTATCCATCTCACCCTTACCATCATGAAATCGTTCCCCATCCGAAACCATCACCATCGCCAGGTCCCTTCGCATCTCTCCACCACGAACCCACGTCAGGTTTCCATTCGCGCCATTCGAGTCGCGGTTCGGTTATAAAAAGTGGTGATGGAGGAGTGAAGGAGCCAAGCAACCCCAGATATCGTGAAGGTAAGGGAAATATTTTAAAACCCCGCGAAATGATACCTGTGAAGCATAGATCTGTGAATTCCCATATTTGCGACCATAACGAGATGTTATAATATATATATATATTCGTTGGTGGTTGCTCTTGTACCCTTGTACGGGGGCGGGCCGGGAGAACAACAAGGCCAAGCGGCGCGCGCCAACATTAAGACCCTTCTTCGCTTGGACAGCTCCACACACGGATGGACAGATTAAAGCCCAGTTTGAACCATCCAGCAACAAGAAAGGAAGCTTCCAACTTACCCAGCCTGCCCAGTCCCGTTTTCCCAGCCTCCCATTCTCCTCGCCTCTGCCTGAGACTGTCCCTAAGAACCTACATACTCCGTATATATACTTTGTCTAGGGCTCATTCTCAGCCTCAGGCCAGATCCCAGCTGTCCCGTGCTCGGCTTACCTAATGCCCCTGGATCGGCTATGGTGATTGCTTCAGACGGGAACGCTAGCCGAATCTGGATTGACGGATCTCGGCCGTGCCCAGCCGAGCGAGTCCCGTGACCAGCCCCATTCCCCAGCAAACCTTGGAATCTGCAGAGCCGCGTCTTGTCTTTCCGCAGATGGCTGACCTTTTGCCCTGTTCTCCCACAGCACATCAACCTCATCAACCACCGCCACCACCACCCACCATGTCGTCGCGGGACATGTCACATCCCACACAACCCTACGAGCACGCTAGGCGACGGTCACTGGGCAGCAATGGCAGCTCCCCTGTCTATCCTGGTGAGTGTTATCCCCGTTTTCGCGCCGGCTCCGGCACCGGCTGCCTGTGAAGGTTCGCCCCTGGTGCGCGCGTGTGGTAGACACGCAACGAAAATGATATACAATGATCAAATTGGAGTTTTGATATCATCGTCTCTATTGTGGAAGCATAACCTATCCCCAAAGCTACCCTACTATGTTTGGCGGTTGTAATGTTGTGATGTTACCTCTCTCTGAAATGTGCTAACTTGTAGCCATAGCCTCGGGCCAAGTTGACCAGCAAGGCGGACAGCAACCCCCTCCACCCTCTTCCTCCTACACTAGTCGCCAAATGCCTCCTCCGTCCTCTCCTCAACATTACCACGCGCGTGGAGCCCCCATCCCCGGACTTCCCCCTCCCGCACCGTCCTCCTTCCCTCCACGTGAACCTCCTCAACCATCCGCACACCGACCCGGAAGCAGCATGTCGATATCGTCAATGTTAGGGTCGGATTCAGATCGTCCACCTCGGGATAGCGGCCCTTCCTCCATCTATGGCCGCCCCTCGGTATCCTCCGTTCCAGCAGGCTCCCAACAGGGAGCAATGTCGCCCCCCTCCGCCCCTTCGAGACAACCACAACCATCCTCTGATTTTCCACCTCTAAGACGCTCGCACACTCCAGATAGGGGTCTGTTTTCAAAACCCCAGCCGCCTCGTCCATACCGCTCGAGTTCTGGAAGCGCGCCGCAAAACCAACCCCAGCCGCCTCCTCCCGAGGATACCTCTCGTTTTGGGGCTTTATCTCGGCCCCAAAGTCTTTCCTCAATATACGGAGATAAACCACAGGCATCACAACCAACCCCTTCTGGGTTATATGCAGTATCCCCATACAACCAAGACCGACGTGGTAGCATAAGCGGGCCAATCCCACGCCCCAGTAGCCAGCCGCATCAAGAAGAGCCTCCATCGTCGCGAAGATCTCTATTCAGCCCGGGAACAAGGTCGTCTGGTCCGCATTTTGGAGATGGCTCATCAAAAGAGTTTGGATTACAACCTGCAGCACCTGGATACCCAGGGCCTGAGGCAGCGTCTCATGCCCAACGAAGATATGGTATCCAGCACCAAGAACGCCATTGCCCCGCGGAGCCGGTGAGCCGCGAGCAAGAACACAATGGCAGACTATCACAAGATATGAAACAGCAACAACCACGGTTCGGATCGCATTTCGGAGAGCGGGAACCGGAGGGAGCCCCGCGGCCTACGTGGGATTCGAGTGGAATCCAGCGCCTGTCTCCCGAAGCAGCGCGCCATTCTATTAGCAATGACTTCGGTGGTATGCGGAACACGAAACCCCTTGGATCTCAGTTGCCTGGTCCTCGATCAGTTCCGGGGCCGCATCTGCAACAACAACAACAACGACCCGAGCCTTCACAACGCAATGATTCACAACAAAGCTCAAGCCTGAACAAGTTCCAACAACCCTCACGAATCTTCTCTCCAACTCTGGGCCCGGGCTCCGGCTCCCAACGACCTTTGGGCGGCATGGGCGAAGATCAGAAACGCAAGGACAGTGACGAACCCTTTCAACACCGAAGTCTCCTCAACCTTAACGCGGAGAATAAGCGAGAAGGGAGGTCATCGCCACTTCCTCAAGCTGTTCAAGGCGCACAAGCTCAAATAATCGGCCCAGCTGAAGAGGCTGGTATTAAGAGCGAACTTGGCCGTGTATTTTCGGGAATTGGAAGTGGTGTTGGTGTTTCTGCGGCTAGTCACCCGGGTAGCGGGCCATCCACACCCATGACTTCGAGCCCTTTTAAGAGAGACGGTATCGCTGCACGTTCGGCGGGGGCAGAAATAAATGAATCTGCAACGAAGCCAGCCCGAACTAGCGTGCCGGGACCAGCGCGACGTGGACGAAAACCAAAAGACGATGATATGAAAGGCGAGGGCGAGGGTAGCGCTGGAAACCGTGGTGCAGGGACCACCCGTGGTCGAAGGCCGCGGCATGTCCACCACCACCATCACCATGGTCACCAGTAAGTTTCTCTTATCTACATTTTCTCCTTGCACTTTGATTCTTTTTTTGACTAACTTTTTATCTAGCCACCATCACAGGCATAAGCTGGACGATGAGGCTTCTGGGTCTCTTGCTTTACAAAACGCCATCCCGCCGCCAGGGGTGGCTGGTTTCCAGCGATCACCTATTCACCCTGAAGGTACCGCTCTGTCCCCCTCCACTGTCGCTCCGCATCACCACCACCACCATCATCACCATGTTCCACGGTCCACCACTGGCGGTACATCCGTTGTCCCGCCGTCGACTTCAACCTCTGCGGCCCCGATACGAGAATACAGCACAATCGTCAATTTACAGCCGCTTCTACGAAGTGTTGCACATCGTCCTAGGTATCATCTCGGTTCTACCCTGTACGCCCCCAAGATCGGAGTACCTACATCCCGGGCATCCCCGGAAAGTTCGAAATTCGGCTACGTGAGTACGCCAGTCCCTATTCCACGATTCGAAGGTAAAGAGAATTGTACGTATACTATCCGCGTCCCTCGGTTTCGCATCGACGCAAGCCATCGAGAGGAGATCTGCGCGCGACGAGCACTCTGGGGCACTGGTGTGTATACGGATGACTCCGACCCCGTAGCAGCAGCAATCCATTCTGGGTTCATCCGCGGCGAATGGGGAGAGGATGTGGATGTGTCCTTGCTAGATCTGGAGATCAAAAAAGAACATCAACATGCGCCCAACGGCAAGAACGGCACTACCACTGCACTGCCAAAACTTTCTTCCCTGGATGAACTAGGAGTCAAAGAACCTAAACCCTCCGACAAACCCGAAACAACAACAACAACAACAACAACCAACCCTACCACGAAGTCCAAATCCAAACCCAAAATCCCACCCCTCCCACCCCCTAACAAAGATCTACACATTACCCTTCTAATACTGCCCACCCTCGAACGCTACGACTCGACTGTGATGTTCGGCCTGAAGTCGCGCCCGTGGGGGGATAACCATGACGGGATGAGTTTCAAAGTTGAGCGGATTGACTGGGTGGATGAAGGGGGCTCGAAGGGGGAGGAGCGCGGTGGTGAAGCACGGAGGAAGCGGTTGAGGAGTATGATGCTGTCTGGGCGGATTTGTACGCCTGGCGGGATGAAGGGGAGGGGCGGAGTGGAGTTGCGGAATGGGTCGAAGATTGGAGGGATGGGCATGAGAATGAGCATGGGTATGGATGGGGGAGAAGGGGGAATTAAGGCTGTTGAACCTGTGTCGTGAGGTATTTATTGTGTTGGGTGATTTGTGATACATATATTTTCATTTCGCCCCTGTACCCTCTTACGCCCATTTTTTTTGGATTTCTGCCAAATCTTTTTTCTTTCATATTTATACTTAAGTGTGCTTCTTGATATGTTCTCTTGATCTCTTTCTCCTTTTTATGGTTCCCTGTGTCTCATTTTTATCATTTTTATCTTTGGGTTTTTATTTGTGTGTTTTTCTCTTTTTGATATCAGATACAGCAGAGCGTGTTACCCCCCTCCCATCAGTTTTGTATAGTTTGGAGTTTTAATTTGACTGGCTACGGGGATATTTTTCCCAACCTATTTTTTTCCCTTCTTTTTCTTTTCTTTTCTTTTCTTTTCTTTTCTTTTCTTTTTTTTTTTTTTTTTTTGCATCCCATCCTTACGCTTCGTAGCGTTGGATCCGCAGGAATCTCTCATCTGATACAGCTAGCGGGCAAATCACCTTATGGCGGGGTGGCCCGGGCCGGGATATTGGCTTAATCGGGCATTTGGTTGAACGAGTGGTAAGGAGCGTCACCCAGCACAAAACTTCTGGGTGCTATTGATTGAGAAATTTTGTTCTTTCTTTTTTGTTCTTTTTTCCCCATCTTCTTGACATCTCACAGCGAAATACAGAGCTGCTAGTAGAATAATACAATAAATGCCACCGTACCTTGGAGAGTAGAAGACATGTGACCTAGCTCCAAACAACCTCGGCACTCGGCGACCAGGCCCGCACCGCAACCAACCAGCATCGAAGGACTCTCGCGATTATTCTCTTCGCGAGTCCTCGCTTCTTTCTTCCTCCCGACTAAGAATAAGAGACGGCGCAACTCTGCTCTCTTTTTTATTTTAGTTTAATATATATCCACCTCTTTTACACCCTCTTGTTCTCTCCTTAATCCCCTCTCTTTCTTCCAAATTCTTCGCCAGTTCTCAAGAGGGATGTTCCCTGCTGCTGCTCGTGGCCGGCTCTCTGTTCTTGGACGAGCTACATCTGCTCTAGGCCCTGCCCGCACTACGGTTCGTTTCGCCTGTGCTGTTCATCTCTCATTCGTGCCCATATCTAGCTGTTTAGGTTTTGATTTGCAGTTTTATGGTTGTCGTTGAAACACCCCCTAGCGCTGCTGTGTAGCTGACATTGTATGGCGATCTGTCTAGTCTATCACAATGGCCTCTCGTCGAGCCAACTCGTCTGTTCCTCAAGGTACATCTTATATGCCCGCATCCTACTTCCTCCATGTTTCCGGACAGGGGGAGGAAGGAGGATACTAGCCATTTAAAGCCTCTAATTGGCCTTGCGACTGATCTTTGGTTTGTTTGATTACTGTGATACAGGATACAAGGAGGATCTATCCAAGGGGAAGATGCTCAGATTCGAGGATTCTCTCCCGAGACTCCCAGTTCCAGCCCTTGAAGAAACCGGCAGACGATACCTCAAATCAGTCCACCCACTTCTCACCGAGTCAGAATTCAAAAGGACCTCCAAGGCTGTTGAGGACTTCATTAAACCAGGTGGTGAGGGAGAACCTCTCCAGAAGCGGTTACTAGCCCGCGCAGCCGATCCTAAACATGTGAACTGGCTTTCCGACTGGTGGAACGACGCCGCATATCTTGCCTACCGTGACCCCGTCGTGCCATATGTCAGCTACTTCTACTCGTACCGGGATGACCGGCTGCGGAGAAACCCCGCAAAGCGCGCCGCTGCCATCACTACCTCCGTACTGGAGTTCAAGAAACAGGTCGACGATGGATCTCTTGAGCCAGAGTATCTGCGCAAGGAGCCAATGGCTATGAGCTCGTACCAATACATGTTCAATGCCTGCCGTATGCCCGCTAACAAGGCTGATTACCCCGTCACATACCCTGCCAAGGGCAATGAACATATTATTGTGATTCGCAAGAACCAGGCCTTCAAACTTCAAACCCATGTCAATGGCCAGCAACTCAATACCTCTGAGCTTCAGCACCAGTTCGAGAAAATTTACCAAAACGCAGAGAAAGTCCACGCAGTTGGTGTGCTGACCTCTGCTAACCGAGACTTCTGGACCACCGCCAGAGAGAACCTCGTCAAAGCCAGCCCCGCCAACGAAGCGTCGTTGGAGACCATTCAGAGCGCATCATTCGTTGTCTGCCTAGACGATGCCTCGCCCGTCACTCTGGAAGAGCGCGCCCACGCCTACTGGCACGGCGACGGCTGCAACCGCTGGTTCGACAAGCCCCTCCAGTTCATTGTCAACGAGAACGGCACCGCCGGCTTCATGGGCGAGCACAGCATGATGGACGGCACCCCAACCCACCGCCTCAACGACTACGTCAACAACATGATCTTCAACAACCGCCCTCGACTACTCCAACCCAGAAAATCCGGTCCATTCTCCCCGACCCCCAGCCCATCAAATTCGAGCTCAACAAGAAAGCCATTGACGACATCGCCACAGCCACCCACGCCTTCACGACCGTCATCGGCCAGCACGAAGCTGCGCGGCCCAAGCCTTCCAGGGATACGGTAAAGGGCTGGATCAAGAGATTCAGATGCAGCCCCGACGCCTACGTGCAGATGGTCATCCAGCTCGCCTACTTCAAAATGTACGGCAAGAGCAGACCAACCTACGAATCCGCCTCGACGCGCAAGTTCCAGCTCGGCCGCACCGAGACCACCCGCAGCGTCTCCGACGAGAGCGTTGCCTTCTGCAAGTCCCACACTGACATCAACGTGCCCCGCGAAGTCGTTGCCAAGAACTTCCGCGCCGCCGTCGTTGCGCATAGCAAGTATACTGCCGACGCGAGCCTGGGCAAGGGTGTTGACAGACACCTGTTTGGCCTTAAGAAGCTCATTGCGGAGGGCGAGAAGGTCCCTGCACTCTTCGAGGATCCGGCATATGCGTACAGTGGCAAGTGGTTCATCAGTTCTAGCCAGCTGAGCTCTGAGTATTTCAATGGATATGGATGGAGTCAGGTTGTGGATGATGGGTTTGGTATTGCGTATATGATTAATGAGAATAGGTATGTTCTTTTTTTTTTTTTTTTTTTTTTTTTTTTTTTTTTTTTTTTTTTTCCGTTTCTGTTTTATTTTTCCTTCTGGGTGAACCTAACTAATCCTTCCCCCCCAATCTAGCATCCAATTCAATATCGTCTGCAAGAAACTCGGCGCTGAGCGCATGAGCTTCTACCTCAACGAGGCCGCCTGCGAGATCCGCGAGCTGCTCATGCCAGATCTCCTGGCTGAGGCGGAGAAGGCCAAATTGTAAAAACACACTTGCTTCTTAATGTCATGTCAACATGCACGCCATTGTTGGGAAAAGAGAATAGAATATTGTTTGTGCTGGGTACTATTTGGCGATGGGACGGATGCGCGAGGGAGAGAAGAAGACAATGGTGAGTGCAGAGCGGTGGTCTATCAGCTGGTGAACTCAGTGAATGGTGGTGGTGGTGGAAGGTGACATTTGATGAATGGGGTTCTATTCATATTCAAAAAAAATAGCGCGCTTTTGAGTGGGGATATGTGTTATGATTTTACATATGGTTTTATTTTTAATTCTTGACATGTTGTCTTCCCCCTGCTGATGCTTGGAGCTTTTTTTCTCTCTTTCTTCTTTTCGCTCTCCTGCCCTGTCGGTTTGCTTTTTGCGTGTATATATACCTACATAGATAGATAAACCTCATTTTCTCTTATTTATTCTATATTTTTAATCCTATCTTCTCTTCCTTCTCTCTCTCTCTCTCTCTCTCTCTCTCTCTCTCTTTTTTTTTTTTTTTTTTTTTTTTTTTTTTACAGGCGGCATCGAATAATTGGCTATTTCGATAGTCAGGATGCTTATCTCCTCTCTTAATAGTTTGAAGGCTCTGAATTACTGTTTGCCCCAATGCCCAATGCAACCTGTCAAGCCTGGAGGTAGTGATGTGTGTTGTCACAATGGATTAAACATTTTTCCTACCTAGGTGAATGATTCTTGGGTATCCTTTTCTTATATTTCTTTTGAACTTCAGAAATAATAGTAATAATAATGAATGATAGGTAATAATAATAAAGAGGGCTGTTTCATCAAATAATTGTCATTAGGTCCTTCATTCCCACGTTTTCACGAAGGTAGTTACGTAGGATAAAGTTCGCCGTGCTAAAAAAAAAAAAAAAAAAAAAAAAAAAAAAAAAAAAACATACATATCGTAATCGAGAAAGGAACAAAAAACAAAATTTGGTGAATCACTCATCCTGAGAAGTGGCACACGGAATGAAGAGTAGAGACAAGAATAAGAAGACGAAAAGAGCCAAACAAAGCGAGGTATGTCATAGGTACACATTTGAACGCTGAACGCGATAACATGAGGAATAAAGGAACAGAAAGGAAGTAAGTACAAGAAAAAGAGGGAAGAGGAGACCGACTTTTATCCCTATGCCATCATTGGTAAGTCACACACTGTACGGTTTTCTTCACCGCCCCACAAAACATTTACTTCTAAAAGGAATAGCAATAGCATCATTCCTCCTAGGCAAAGATCGTAAAGCTATAAATTTGCCAACCATCTGCCTCACGATAAATAATTTTTATTCGTGTGGTCAATCATAAATCTGCATTGGGCTTGTACGGTACTTGAGACTGCGACCCGATATCGAAGTTGATGTACGTATCCGAAACAGATTTTGTTTATTGTGTTTGGCAATAGATAACGTTATGCGGGAGAGGGTGTTGTGTGTTTGGAGGGGCTGGTTATCGAATGTAACCAACGGATTTCAACATTGGGGCAGTTGTGTTAGGCATCCTTGCATGTGGCAGGATGGTACGATGTTCGGCATACTAAAGCTGAAATAAAAGACGCTCCTGTTTCAAGGCTTTTCTACATCCTCAGCAGGTTGCGGTGCTTGGGATGACTGCTCTGATTCGGTTCTAGCTGGAGTTGGAGGTACGGCCTCTGCATTCGATAGGCGAGATCCGGCGCTTGGCGTGTGAGCAGTTGATGAGCTTAGTTCGGCGACTTGGCGCTCTGTAATGGAAGTAGAAGAGTCAGTACGAAAATCTTAAAAGCCCTTTAATATCATATCGCTGGATGTGCAAGTATGTAAGAGCATACCTAGCTCCCGAATCCTCACTCGAAGCATTTGATTTTCCCTTGTTAACATCGCAGTTTCTGCTTGGTAGTAAGACGTTTCGTCTCGACTGCCGCGTCGCCCACTACCGTCTCCACCCATCGACGCCCAATCGGCAGTCCAAATATTAGTTTCCGGGTCCGAATGGGGAGGTACTGCGGGGGAATGACCAGAGCTGCGGCGCCGGGAAAGATTGGATGGAAATTGGGTTGAGGATCTGTGTGTTGGTAGCGGTGGTGGTATGGGAGGGAAAGATACGGAACGCTCAGATGTTGGCGTGGAATCGTCAGCGATGGCAGTCCCTGATGCGGCAGACTGTTGGTGTTGTTGCTGCTGCTGTTGTCTCTGCAGCTGGGCTTGCTGTATCCGAATCATTTGCAGCAGTCGATTCTATCGATTCTGTTAGATTTCGTCTTATTCATAGTGTATGTCCAAACATATTTTGCATTTGTAATTTCTTTTCACGTACCACCTGCGCTTCCTGCTCCTGCTCTAGCTCCTGATGTATCTCACCAAGAGACGGCGTTCGTTGGTGGTGGGGGTCCCCAGTGGCAATAGCTGGGTTCCCGCCAATACTGGTTGGGCTGTGGGTCCTATAAGAACTTCCAATGGATGAACGGTGGTCACTACTGGACAGTTCGCCAGGACCCGGCAAAGTCGGGTCATTTATATTCAGGTTCATTGGCACCGTGGACCGGCGGCGCTCGTGCACTCTAGTAGCATGCGGAGAGCCACGGTTGGCACTAACTGAAGAACGTCTCGAGCGGTCTGTTGCGTTCATGGTTGCAGCCGCAGCAAGAGAAGTTGAAGAAGAACGAGGGGAAGGCGATTGGCCCAATGGAGCCTCCGCTGAATTCGAATACGCGCGTGGCTGGTAAGGGGAATGGGAGGTCGCGCGGGAGGGGGGAAGGGAGTTGATATCAGGAGGCATGGCTAGGAACAATGGATAGTATAGTATGAAGTATGGTGCCGACGATTCTTCAAGCTGTCAATCCAAATATGGTGGCCTAGATACACGTAAAATAACAGAATGATTTCCAAACGGACTCTGCAAGGAATAACACCGGAGAATGTTGGAGAAGTTGAAGTTGAAGTTGCAGTCGAAAGATGAAGCTATTTAGCGGGACAAAACTTCCTAAAACGGACGACATGTCACGTGCGGGAATGTTTGGCCAATCACGTGGCAGAAATTGTATATGTGACGTCATAGTATGATGTAAGAATTCTGGAGTACAAGTTGTAAAGTTGTAGTTGTCGCATTGGGAGATAGATAGACATAGATATTAAAGTAATATCTGCTATGCATTGCGTACGCTGGAAGGATATCGTTGTTTGCTTTCTTGCCCGTTATCAGAAAAATTGGCTGTAAACGGGATAAAGTTAAGGAAATAAACTACAAAACTCTGGAAATCCTGAATTTACCTCCTGGAAAGGTTCAAAACAAGGAGTGAATCTTTCAACAGATATTGTCAAGCACCCATTTGATCTCCTCAGCGATAACATCCGGTCGGGTAAGCTGTACATTATGCCCACAGTCTGCAACATGCACAAAATGACACTTGGAGCTCAACCGGAGCTGCTCTTCCTTCAGCTCCCGGTCAATTTCATCCCAACTATCTAATAGATCACGAAATGCCTTCCTTTGCTCTTGCGTCCCATTCCCAACCTCTACACCTTTTGCATACAGTCTTTCGTAGTCCCTCATGCCATTGCAGCGTATAATGCTCACGGGTCTATTTCCCATGGCTTGTCTTTCAAACTGTCCCTTCACAGCCAACGTCTCACACACTTCAACAAACGAGTCTGCCTCAGCCTGAGAAGATGCCATTCCCCGTGGTCTCTCTATCGCTCGGGCCCGCCACTCATCTCTAGAGAGCATAGAATCCGCCCTCAAGCCCGTGACCTGCGCGAAGTTGAGACCACCAAGGACCGCGGCTACATTGGGGTCTGGGATCTGAAAGAACTGGCACTGTCGCTCTGTAGCAGCTTCTGCAAGCACCATGCCAGCCACATCGTTCTGGCGGATGTGTAATAACTCACGCGCAATTATGCCGCCGTACGAGTGCCCGACCAGAATGAAGGGCGGGCATATTCCAGCAGCGTCCAGGGCGTCACTTAATTCGCTCGCTGCCGATACTGCTGTTGGGCGGCTGGGACCATCCTCACTGCGCCCAAGGCCTGAGCGGTCGTACAGAAGGATACGCGCAAATGTCGAGACGATCCTTTCAAGGGCTGGGTAGGACCTGACAGTTTCCCCTGCGCCAGGCAGGACGACCACCACGGGAGCGTTGGTGCCTCGTGGTGGGCCCGAGACGGAGAGGAAAAGCTTATGTGTTTCTATGGGTACGAGGGAGGAGATGGTGTCTTTGTTCCAGTCTTGAGTGATGGCGCTGTTGAGGGAGGATGCAGTTGGTAACTCCATGGGATGATGGTTTGGTTCAATCTGAGCAAAATCAAAATTTCCCACTAAATGGCTAAGTTAATAAGTTGCTCGTTTTATTTTTAGCCTACGTTATCGTTAACTCGATGATCAAAGGCAAAACCTAACTATCGCCAAGCTGACGCAGGGCATGAGTGATAACTAGAGGTAACTTAAACATTCGTATGTGCAAAGCCGGGCGTGAAAAATTTTTTTTTTCTTTTTTTTCTTTTTTTCCCCTTTTTTTTAATCTCCGGCTTTAACTAGATCCCAGACCCCAACATCCCACATTTTCAAGGATAAAAATTTGACAGCCTAGGAGAGTAGGAGCTCTATTCCTACACCCGTAGCAGGTGATATTAAGTCACACGATTCAAATTCCCGGCTTGTGTGCACATACATCCACAGAAAATCAACAACACCTAAATGCTGATGGTCTTCGCCTTCTTCACGGTGTCAGATATCCACTGTCCTTCTCGCTGCTGTCGGTTTCATCGGCCAGATTGCCTGATGCGACAACACCGCAAGTAGCTGGATCTCTATAAGCTTTAAAAAATATCCATGTTTGAACAAAGTGATCTGCAGACATAAATGGAGTGTAAATGATAAGGGGTAAGTTTTCGCAAAGCAAAGAAATGAAATGTGAATCAGACCTTCCAACCATTCTAGAGCTCCGCTTGTTGTGGAATATTTATATCATAGAAAGAAATGAGAAATCGAGCAACATAGGCAGGGACATGTTGGGAATTTCAGCTTTCTCTATATATCACTTGTTTCTTCCAATGATTCTTCCGTTTAAGCCATTCAATTGTGCCCTCTTCCAGAGTACGCTACAGCAGAGCCCTGAGCGACGGGGGAGGTACATAGTGGTGTAAGTAGCAACAAAAAGACAAGAGGCGGGACAGCAAACAATCTTAGAGTTAGTACTAACAGAACAAGGGCAGAAGCTTCGGAAGTAACCCCAGGTCCGTATGTACATGTACACACAAACATGTGGTACATGAATAACAAAGAATTCTTCTTAGCCCTAGCTATTCCTTTTCCACTTCCTTCATGGGGACCAGTTTAAAAAGTAATCGCTTCTTCAACATTGGGTGTTTGTTTGTTGTTGAGTAGGAGTTTTCCTCTCACCTAGGCACAAACTTTTGCGTAATTTAGCAGCTCCTTGAAAGGTACGGCCACTATTTGCTTGTCGGACACCTAGGCAGTTTGAGATCTAACTACAAGACGCAAGTACGGAATTCCACTTTCCTCGTCGCAGCGGCTGCCGTTGGCACTCAAAGCGTCCTCACTGGGCCAGAGTAAGCACCGTGTTGCGAACCACAAAGCATTAAAATGTCGTCGTTAACCATGAACTCAATAGCAAGTAAAGAGTACCAAAGTACCAAAACCGAAATCAAGGGTCACAACCAAGTTCTGCAACAAATACAGGGCAGAAATTTCTAGAAGACGGAGGATACAGTGCATGAAATGTTCGAGTTTAAGACTCCCGAAAGAGGATCTTATAGCATCATGTCATTTTCCGAGGGTAATCAAATCTTGGATAGCGATCTGAGCATCAAGTGGTTCCAGGACATTATTCAGGGATGGGATGCACGGCTTTCAAGGGATACGATATCGGCCATGTCAATGGTGGAGCGGCGAAAACAGTCCCTCTCGCGCGGAGCGTGGGCATCAATAGCACTAGAGGCCTGGACTTCCATAAGCGCTTCAAGAAGCGCAATGTTGTTGCCTGAGCTTTCTCAGCTCTTACAAGGCACAGTTCCGCTTCTTCGCTAGGGATATCTGGATTGAGGCTATTTCCTGATAAAAAAGGGAATGTTTCGAATGGCGAGAGAAGCCTATCTTCTGTTTCTTACTGGACATTGTGCCATCTGCCAAATCACCACACGGCCGCACTCGTTTTATTAGTTAATATTCTGCTTCATTGGACTTGTTTAACTTTTTTCTTCTGAATTTTTGCATTGGATGTGTACTTACAGGGCATAAATCTTGCTGAACGTTGAGATCTTTTGAATCTTTAATCTGAATCCTCTTCTTACAAATTGAATCTCGAGGTGTTTGGATGCGCTAGATGGCAGGGCTCCAGCTAGTTACCCTCAGGGCAAAAAAAAAAAAAAAAAAAAAAAAAAAAAAAAAAAGCGCAATAGCAACAAAGGCGCTAACAATCGAGTTCAGGGTTGTCGAATTCTGCGGATTATTACAGCGTATACTCTGTACTCGTCCCACGTTTGAAACGGAGTTGAGACACTTCACGGATGTTATATGTGAAGCTGAGGGTCGAGTCACGGAGCAGGATTCCTTCGTTGCCAAATGCTGAGGACAGGGGGAGGGAGGAGTTTTGTTTGACCCCTCTCATTTTGAGGCCGAAACGAATGGAGGGGCTAGAGTGCGGAGTAGACCTGGTTAGAAAGGGGAAAAATGTGTCTGTCATTCAATATAACGGAGGGCGACCTTCCATACATGTGGCTGAAATTTTTTTGGCTTGATATCGCTCCCCAACACCGTTCGTGGAGGGCATCAAAATACCAGGATTCATAAGTCCTTTTCTACAGTTAGCATTTTTCAATAGTTTGCAGCAACGACTTTTGCTGCAGGTGCACTCTTGCGTAGCATGAAGCCGCCGTTGGTTGCAAGCTTGAGCTTGGCGGCCATCGTGGCGGTGATCACCGCCCTAAACACTTCCGGGATCGAGTCACTGATAAATTGTGATAATTAGCAGCAGGCCACCAGGCCCGGCTCACTTTTAGGGCACCTCAAGCCTAGACCTTGCTGGGGTTGGCGGTGCACTTCCCGGGGGGCTGGCGTCAGCTTGGGGGGACTCCGGGCCCCGGTAGCCTCGCCAGATTGGGCTTCGTCCGCCCGGAAAGTTCCCGGGGCTCCCCTACGCTACTGCGCCCCACAAGACTCAATTCAATAGTTCAGAGGTTGTCAAAGCTTTCTTGTTCTAAAAACAAGGGCTGCTGCTGTACTCCGTATTGGGATCCGGATCCCATAGGTATGGTATATGGTCCGTACGGAGTATAACTTTAACCACTATTCTCTGGGAGTCTGCGGAGATATGCATAGTTGGCCGTGCGTGCTAGTTGCTGTACGGAGTATAGAAGAATGTAGTTACTGTAAAGTAATGATGTATCCATCGTCCCGCTGGTCTCATGTGAACGTTCTGCATGTTGCTGTGTATTATCTGCAAGGCTGCAAGGTTGGATCATCGGCAGCTTATGCAGGAACTCTGCCTTTGTCCTACAAACTCCTGTCTGTCAGCGCTGGAACTGCAATCTCGTCCAAATGCCTGGTTGGTTTGGGTGGATGGTGGACTCAAATGCGCCGGTATTGAATACCACGAGTCACACCAGAAGATCGTACGGTGTAATAATAATAACAGCACTCTCCAGCGTGCGTCGTCCAGTGTATTATTATTATTACAGATTTTCGGAGGGTAAAGGGGTAATAAATGGGTAAGACAGGGCTGGTCTTTGGCGGGTTAGCGGTAAGTTACAGTACCGCCCGATTCCCTGTCCATCCGAAACTTCATCAGCCAACCCCCCCCAGTAAATAATAATTAATGTAATCCTCCCTCTCATCAATTACTGCTGCTTCTTCTTCCTCTATCCTCTTGTTCTTGGGTCCAGCCAGCTGAATCTGCGCCTTATAAGTTATCCCTCGTCCTTAAATATACTCTCATAGCTCGTCGCAGCCTGAATGCCCTGGGAACCTCGATCCGACCCGCACGTATGGAGCCATGAGCTCGGACTCGTTTCCTGTCGTCCTCCAACTAACGGCTAAATTCACCCAGGTAGCTCGATTTACTAGGTCAATTGAACAGTGCCAGGGATCTTAATGCCTAATGCATTCGCTATTACTGTGTACTATTCACAAAATACAGTCCTGTCGATTCCGCTGTGAAGAACTTTCTTTTCAAATCAGCCCTCCCCTCCCTTGCCTCGCAGCTCGTTGAACCAAGCTGAACCCCCCTTTCGTTATTTGCGCGCCGTGCTGACCCGTTTCCGCTGATTCCTACACCACCGCGAATGGAATGTTGGTTAAGAGAAGCATTGGCTTGACGATAAGATTTTTGAATGAGTCTATTTGACCTCTTGATGGACGCGATTGTTGGTATTCGAGCGCAAGCAACTGGAGAACGCAACAAAGTTCAAAGCACAGATCGTTTCTACCTCGACACTACCCACCGCGATCTTTCTCCTTACCCTGGGCTACCGTGTTTAAGGACAAGGAGAGTGATCTTCTGTCTCCACGGCACAGTTAATTTAGCTACCAGTTTGCACAACGAGATGGTTGGTGTCTTGGGGTTAACTCGTAATTAAACCTCGCATACAGCCCCTGACAGCTGGGGTAGCCATAGAGAAATGGATTCTCCCAGTGGCCACTCCGTGCTTGGTTCAAGAAGGGGTCTGAAAATCCGTCCAATTCAGACGAATATCAATAACCCTAACACTCGCCCGCAGCGGCCCCCTCGCCCGAATGATGAACCTGCGCAAGAACCCGCCCCAGAGCGAGCTCCTCTCAAACCGCAAAGTTCAAAATCATCTTTGAAAAATTTGTTTTCGCGCAATAAAACGAATCGCCGTTCCAATCATGAACATACCCTCCCTGCCATCTCAGAGTCACAGAAGGTGACAGCCGCGAGCATCATACCGGATACCATATCGTCACCCAATAGCCCTTCGACAACTCCTATGACACCTAAATCCTCAGTCGCAACATCTTCTCCTTTAACGGGGAAAACAGGATCTAGCAATCCTTCAAAGACTTCCAAGTCTTCAAAGGAGAAAGGGCAAAAACTTCAAAGAGCAATCACGGTTTGGGACCCGCCACCTCTCTTCCAAGCGTACCCGCAGGCAATCAAACAAGGCACACTTCCTGCCCCAACACTTTCCACAGTATCCCTTTTACGGATGAAGGGTCATCGAAGAAACAGTAGTGAGAAGGACGACTTTTCAGATGTTGACGCTGATGACGACAGGGCTTCCTCCAGGGCGGCCAAGAGGCGAAAAGATGAAAAGGACAAGAAACATTCGCGCAAGGCTTCAGGCTCCAACAAGCCCGAATGGACGCAGAAAATTTTCATTCTGGTCACGAGCGGCTATCTTTTACAATACTCCGGCGACGGAAGCTTCGATCGCCTACCTGAGAAAATGATGGAACTGGGTCAAAACTCGGTGGCGTTTGCGAGTGACGCTATTCCCGGCAGGCATTGGGTGCTACAAATATCTCAAACACTTGAAGAGGATGGAACAGTGGCCTTGGATACCAAAAAGACCTTCCTCTCCCGGTTTGGATTTGCAGATTCCCGAAGACAGACGAAGACTTTACTCTTGGTTTGCAATGACCCCGCCGAAATGACATCTTGGCTTACAGCTGTGAGGCGGGAAATCGAAGCTCTAGGGGGGAAAGAATACACACCCGAAACACCACTGAAGGAAACGTCTCAGGATTCTGAACAATCCCAAAAGCGGTTCATTCGACAATCTATAATACCTGACAAAACGCAATCCGTCCCTATGAACTTGGCAAATCCGGGATGTACGGAACCCTCTCCAGTGGGTTCATCACCGAATGGCAAGGAAGAGCAGAAGCCAAAAGGGAACAGACCTGCTGATGAGGCGTCACTGAGATCTACAAACAGACGGTCAATTCGCCCACAATCAGTCGAAGCTCCTTCACTTTCGACTACTGGTACGGTTACAGATCTCGATCGATTACGAGAGGGGTCAAGATTATCGTATGTTTCAATCGGGACGAGGACTATACCAAGCTCCAGGGGCTCCTCTCCTGGTTTATCTCCGGCCAGACAAAAAGGCGTTGCGTCTATGACTCCCTGTGCCGAATCCCCATCGAGCGTTAGGAGTACAGTCGCGGACTCCAGCAGCACGCACATGTCAATCCATGCTTATTCCTCAAAGCAGTCAGAAGGAAGTGGTACGGACACACCAGGTGGATCGCGTCCAACATCAACTGTTGGCCCACTGATCTCCAGAAGTACCTCTCCTCCCAACTTCAGCGTGCCAGTGCTCAGCAAAAGATTCACATCAACGCATTCTGGCCCTCCTCCATCGTCGCGGAAATTCTACCAAACATCACCTCCCTCGCCGCGCATAATCATTCCAAACACCTGGAATCGCCTTTCTGGCCTGGATGACTCTGCGGCACCTCCTCAATTACCAAATGGCCAACCAGAATCGAAGAAGGCGTTTAAAGGACCAGATCATACCCAGCTGTCGGTTCCTTTTATTTTCGACCCAGAAACCCCTTCGCGCGCCTCTGCGTTGCCAAAACCAAGAGAGAGAAAAACAAGGCGGTATTCATCTTTCGAGTCGACTCGTGCCGCTTACAGTGTATCATCGGACTATCGCCCACAACTCTCACCCGTAACAAATGAGAGCAGTGAAGAGGGATGTAAAAGCGATACGCTATCACATCGCAATCCCCACCGAACGTACAAGCAAGTTGACGACGCACCTGAAAAAGGCCACGAAGAAGCACGACAATTACGCCGACCAATGAGCATGCAAATTGGATCTGAAGCTCGCCGCCGTGCAGAGGCAACGCACCCACTACACGCCACCACCACCCGCACGGGCTTCCCATCCCCAGATGGCCGAACTTCTTATCGACGAAACCGAACTAGCCTACCTCACCCGGAGATAATAAGAGATACTTCCCCGCCTAACAATAATCACCACCTGCCAGATCCCGACCGGGGTTCTCTGCAAAAGAGCACATCGCACTTATCTCTTGGGGCGCCCGTTGCACCTCCGCCGGATTTCCCGCTGCCAAAGGTACCCCCCAGAGTTGCCTCTCAGTTCAGACCTGCATGGCATGGCCATCAACAGCAACTAGCCTTGGGGCCAACGCATGATGAATCCGGTAGACTGCGGTCCAGGAACGGGCCGGATGGGCCAAGAAGTACGCATACGGTGATTACGCCGGTTGATCTGAGGGACGTTGAGAATTCGCCGCGGTTGAGTGGAATGACGGCTAAGGAGTATAGTATGGTGAATGCTTTTTAACTAGATGGCGATGGACACACGCCCTGGTCATACTGTTCTTGCATTTCTTTCTTTTTTTTTTTTTTTTTTTTTTTTTTTTTTTTTTTTTTTTTTTTTGACGTTGGAATCCCCCAGCGCCCTCTTTTTTTTCGTTCCCTAATTCATGACTCCATGTTCCACTTATCTATTCCACTACCCCCTTCTCCGCTTCATGTCATTGGGTATTATTGTCTATCGGATATTATTGGATGGGTATATACTAAAGTGAGATCTTCTTTTCTCTTCTCTGTTTCGCCATGCATGTACATGTACATGTACATGTACAGTACAAGAATAACCCCGATTACACCATTACACGTTTATGTTTTTTATGTTTTTTACTTTTTTACTTTTTTTTGCCTTGTTATATATATATATATTTCCACATATATCCACTCTGTCTAACTTTTTACGAACTTCACTCTGACGCATGCCATTTGTTTTCGCCCCCTCTTCTCTGCGTTATCTTTTCACTACGATATATCTATATATATAAAGTCGCCAAGTCAGCACAATATACTCATTGATAATACATTTTATATCCTCTCTCTTCCCTTTGACCTCTGTCCGCCATCTGGTTTTCCCGCCCACCTGTGCTAGTTGTACATGTATGTACACGTACAACACAAGTGCAGTTTACCTAGTTTAGGCCAAATGATCTATGCGAGGGATCTGGTTATCTGCTTTCCGAGAAATCTTTATCACCTACTCAAGGAGAGCAGAGGGTTTAGTTGAGATAATCTGTGTTTAACATGGAGTGTAGATCTTCATATACGTAGGGCCGGGTTGGAGACGACCATGTTGCGCAGCCTTATATTATTATTATTTATTTAACGAACGGCGTGCTTAGGACAAAGTGGACCTGTTTGTGCCCAGCATGGCTTGGCATCGTTTACGTTACAATTCAAAAGTAGAAAAGAACTCCGATTATTTGCTGGAAATGGAACTCCATAAAGATTTAATTTTTATTTTCAAAATGCCCTTTTATTTCAGTAAAAAGATATGAGTTGATGGTGCGATCAGGAGCGGCCCAAGGGGAGAAAACTAGGAAAGATAAATAAGAAGAAATCAAGGAATAGTAAAACAAGCGTAGCCGGAAAGCCATGAATAACGGAGGAAAGCTGCAATTAGAAAATGGGGGCACACGAGGTATGAGATATGAAGTAAAGAAAAGCAAAAATTTATTAGAAATCATTCGTCATCCGCCTCTTCTACGCGAGGGGTAAGATCTCGCTTTATGGCTTGGCCGGCCGCAGCGGATGAACCCGATGCTACTCCCGACGAGGAACCGCCTTTGCCGCCGGAGGGAGGAGCTTTTACGGAGCTGACCGGTTTTGAGCCGGAGGATGAAGCAGTCCCTGTGCCTGTGCCTGTGCCTGTGTCGGTCTTTTTGGACTTCTTCTTTTTCTTGGTCTAGGCAAATTTTCAAGTTAGTAAATATCTTGGGTAAAAGGGAGGGGATGACCTGATTGATAACCAAAAAAGAAAGAGACGTACCTCTTGCCAACCCCAGACAGGTCTGAAGCTATCAAAGAATCCCACATCTTCAAACAGATTGGGGTACAGCCACAGGCCCGGTGGAACAGCAAAGTACGTAACGCAGAATAAGATGAGCCGGAATATCGACATGGCGAAAAATAGGCCCAGCAAGCCCATGACGCCGACACTCAGGTACCAAACACCCTGTCTCAACATAATAGGCCACAGCGGGAACATCACAACTGCCATGATTGCGACCAAGACACCTGCAGCCATTGCCTTTTGCTTCCACTGCGGGCCCTCGTATAGCCATACATAATGCATCATGGGATCTGTCTCCTGGTGCTGCTCGACCTTTACGGTCCAAAGGCCCTTCACGCGACTCTTTGGTTTCGCGTGGTTATGTCCGGCATGGGGGTCAATCTTAGATACTCGTAGGGCAAGGAGGGAGAGTGGGAGGAGCTTGAAGGCGTTTTCGGCGGAAGCCCAATCGGTCACGGGAGGAAGGAGAGACTTGGGTTTCGCTTGGGCTTTGGTGTATGCGGGCGACTGTATAGCTCGTATAGCTCGCTTGACTGGAAAGTTTTTTTAACATTTTACATTAGCTTTCCGTAATAAGCCTAATTTGACGTCCAGAAAATAATAGCAGACCTTTGAACAGCTCTCTTCTGCGCCCATCCAAAATGCAAGTTCTCGGTTTCAAATCCTGCGATTTGAGAAATTGGGCGACTGCAATCGCGCGGGGGTCAGGTGGTGCGTTGGAATTCATAGGGACGTGTTGCGGGTGTTGTCCTCCGTGTTCATGCGCATGTTTGGCTTGCTGCTGTTGTTGCTGTTGCTGTTGATGTTGTTGAATAGCCCTGGCTTTCAACTGGGCTATGTATTGCTCCGGTGTAAGACCCTGTTTCGCAGCGTCTGCGGCAAGCTGTTGTCGTTGCATATTGCTAAATTCCTCTGGGGTCATTCCTCGCTTTGCAGCTTCGGTTGCAAGGTGCTGTTGCATGGCAGCAATTTGCTGGGGGGTTGGCTGACCAGGAGCCGCCATTGTGTAGGAGATAATTATATGATAAGCAGCGGAAAGGAGTAAAGGCTAGATAGGTTATTTCATTTGTTGTGGTGGTTGAAGTAGTTGATTTGTTGTGGAGGATCACTTCCAGGGTAAATAAATTTATATCCAAACTGTCGGAGTTGAAGTGGCCAGATCAGAGACTGAGTCATGTGATAGTTACGGAAGCGTCTAGCGCGCTTAGATCTAGGGGTTTCTCAAACCTAACTAACTGGTAACTAATAAACGCTTCTTATGTCATCGGTTTACCCACTCCACTGTGTAGATTGCAATGAAGTGTGCGGCTAGTTCGGGCTATTTTCTACTGACGCCAAACGTCGGCGCAATAATCATGCTGGCAATTCCTCGATTTTCAGGATAGAGAACGTACGGCCGCCTTTATGCGGCGTGTACCAGGCAACTTACGGCCATTTGGGAGCCCGTTTTCATTCCTTCAGGATGCTCAGGATCCTTCGCCACTATACCAGTTGAGTTGAGGCCCTGAGAACATTCGTTCACGACATGTCCAAACCAGCCAATTACACGCCTGACAACAGCGCTCTTCTGGCCGCTCCATGGACAGTTGTGCAGCTGGTAAGATTCACTTGGTACAGGGATTTGTTGTGTTTATGAGAACCCTTTCCCAGCTAACAAATATACCACAGTCCCAGCGTGATGTCTCGTCGCAAATCCCCATCAATCATGTTGCCCATCCAGGCGTCTACGTGACCTCTGCTTGTTTGCGCAATGGTAGATATGGGGAGCAGGATATGGTGAAATGCATTTCGAACCTTTTGGCACTTGACTATCGTCGTTTCCATGTCGATCTATATTGGTCTGGGGACCACCGCCGGTGGACTTTTTGTCCTGTTGCAGCCAATTCCCCTGTCCCGACTCGTCCTGTGTCTGGTCCTGGTCCCTCGCCTGCCCAAACCGCCTCAGCTCTCACTGATCCTGGATCGTACTCGTGCTCCGAGAGTCTTGATATCTCCGTATTTCTCAGTGTGCTGAAAAATTACTTTTCCGCCACTGACGATACCCTCAATGCTCATATGTTATATATTCTGCTTAATGTACATTCTGCCGTGTCTCTAGGCTCCTCTGACGAGCCTAGTAGTGTAGATGCTCTTGAAAAACTTCCTTCTGGTCGGGATCTTCTTGGGTCTCGTTTTAATGAACATTTAGGCCAGCACATGTACACTCCCAAGCAACTTAACGAAGAGAGAACAAACCTGAACCGGTCGTGGTACTCTGTTCCTAGGCTTGCCCATCCCATATCAGAATATTTCACGACGCGCAGAGACTCGAAAGGTACCCATAGCACTCCTGATGGCTGGCCATGCGAAAGCTATGTGGAAAGGTGGCATCTAAAACGATTTCTGGTTGGCTGGGGCACTATCGATCCTCAGATGGCGAACTATGATTTCAACAGCGATCGCAATCTTATTTTCCCAAGGGCCTCGCTTGCAGCATCCCAAAAAATTGACATATCTAATAGTAGCGATGCGAGTAGTGGCACTATAATCAAATCAGGGTGCCTATTCGACCCTCAATCAACGAACGTCGCTCTGAGCGCTTCATGGCCCGAATCAACCATCGATGAACGATATGATTTACACCCTCTACATTTATTGTGGGGTGACTTGATCGCCTGTGGCATCTCACCAATAGTAAATGCGACACTCTCCAATGTGACCGCGAACGAGGATTTCAGACCTTATGAAAACGCTTCGCAAGCTTCGTCATGGGCCTGGGCACAGGGCGAACCGAATCCAGATTACTCTCCTTCAGATGTATTTTTATCTGATCTCCGATGTGCTCGGGCCGACGTTTCTTTCAAGGGACGTTGGTTCCCCACAAAATGCTCCGACGATCTTTATGGCGCATGTCGCGTTGGAAATGAGCCGTTTCAATGGACCCTGACATCTGAGCGAGTTTCCTATGGTTCTGTCGCGGTTAACTGCCCCGAGAACTCAACCTTTTCCGTGCCCCGTACAAGCCTCGAGAACACCTATCTATACCACTACCTCAGCTCTCTACCCAAGGTGGTACTCGACCCGTCGTCTGATGCCCATGACGAGCGTAGTGTTTGGATAGACCTTAATTCACTCGATGTGCCCACTTGTTGGATTCCCGGTGGTCCTGATGCTCAGTGTCCGTACGAAGTGGACGAAGATGCCGTTCAAAGGCGGACGGTTCTTGTACCTACAATTGCGGCCATCATTGTGTTGGTCATTGCCGCGTTGACAATATTCGTCAAGTGTAATTCCAATCGCAGGAATTCCCGGCGGAAAAGGGTTATTCAGGGATGGGAATACGAAGGTGTTCCATCCTAGTACATATGTTATCCCCATCACTTCGATGGGGTTGCGTTCCTGGTTGATATGGTCTACATTTTTGTTGTATTGTTGATATTTTGATATTTTTGGACATACTTCTTTGCATATATTTGCCCTGACATATTATTTTTTCTGATAATTCGTTCATATAATACCTGTTTTATATTTAAACATTCACGTTGTACAGGATTGGTCGGAAAAGGACCAAGAGAAGGGTATTTCAAAGTTTATCTATCAGATCTAAGCATTCTATTTAGTATACAGAGAAGGCACTGTACAATTAAGGAAAATATGTTATAGAATCCTCATTCCTCACATTGGATAGTGCAAATGCGGTATTTCCATCACACGAATACATCAGCATCTCACCGCAAAACCTCCAGCATTTCCTCTACCCGCCCAAATTTCTCCCTCACTTTCCCCGCAGCTTTCCCCCTTTCGATCTCCGCCCGGTCGATCCGTTCCCAATCTTCCCAATTCGTCGGGTGAAGTCCCAGCTTCCGCGCTGTAGGAAGCACCCCTTCCCAGCCAAGCCCCGAACTCCCACCTTCGGATGAATTAAGGAACGCATGCCCATGACTACTCGCAGTATACGATGCCCAATCAGTTGCAATCGCATCAGCGGTATCAAATGCGTCCGTCATCGTCGACGCGATGACGCCAGTAGGGCCCCTCTTTACCCACCCAGCACAGTAAAGACCAGGCACCTGCCTGGCCTCATAATCTCCAGACAATTCGGCAGTTCCGCTATCAGGCGTGGGAGGTGTTGTAATAACGCGCCCCTGGCCGTCATTGGGGATTATACCGCGCGAATAGTTGAACTGGATATCCAAGTCCTCGAATCCAGGAAGTGGAAGGGATTGGTATCCGATGCTACGGAAACATGTGCTAGTAGGGATATCGATGTGAGCAACGTGGCCGTCTTCTTGGAGCAGCGGGGTCACTCTTGCGGTCGGGGAGAACGGGTCCGCGGGGTCGAGTTGGTTTCGGGAGAATTTCATGTATGAAAGAACATCCGGATGCGATGGCGAGCCGTGGAAGGAGTGCGGTGAGAGAAGGAAATCGAGGGACCAGGATTTGGAAGCCTCTTGTGGTTTTGTGAGAGATCCTTTTGCGAGGAGTTGGGTTATGCGCTTTTGGACTCTTGGGAGGGATTTGATGCTTGACTCTGGAGGGAAGAGGTGCTCCGGAATAGGCTCAAAGAAGACCGAAGGCAGCTGGAGGATTTCTCGTACTTCTTTAATTGTGAATGCGGCCTGGGAAACAATACTTTTAATAATACATATCGTCATGAAACTGAAAAGCCTGGGGTATGAATAATATCCCTACCTGCATAGGACCCCGTCGCCCGACCACTGTGACTCTCTTGATTTTGCTCTTTGCCAATTCTTCTAACGCGTATTCCGACATATCCGTCTTTCTCAAGACATCAACGTCTGTTAGAAGCAGTCTCGCAACATCCATGGCTACATTTCCCTGCCCAATAACCACCGCATCCTCCCCCGAACTCAAATCTGGAGCCAGATCCCTGCATTCGGGTAGCCCATTGTACCAGCCAACAAAGGCTCTAGCCGAGTATATACCACGTATAGTATTTTCGCCTGGAATTCTAAGTTCTTTATCCTTCGAGGCCCCGTAGGCAAAGAGTATAGCATCGTAGTGTGGCTTGAGAGAGCGCAAAGGAAGATCCACCCCCAGATCAATGTTGCCGATAAAATTAAATCGCGGGGATGTCGCAACTTCTGTAAATTTCTCCTGGCAATTCTGTAGCAATTGGATACGAGAGAGCAATATGCCCAGTTAGCGCAGTTCCTATTGTATTTACCCCTCTTCCCTCGCAATCTGCAAAAACGGGAGTTTGCGCACATACCTTCACCTCCGGATGGTCCGGCGCAACGCCAAAACGGACCAAACCGAATGGGACTGGGAGCTGCTCATACATATCCACAAATGCATCTTCAACCTTGGATATTAATCTGTACGCTGCATAGAAACCAGCAGGCCCTGATCCAACAACTGCGACCCGCAGCGGGCGACGACTTTGGACCCCATTACTGCTAAATTGCTTTCTCTGCAGGATCCAAGGAGTGTGTATTCTCGTTCGCGAAGCATAGAATCTGCTGGAGTGGGAAAAGCAGCGAGCGCATATGTTCCGAGCACGAGATACATTCATTGTGAACGTCGCGAGTGACATTTCATAGAACATATAAATTTAACCGCCGCAGAATGAGGTCAGCCCTATGACTGTATGCAGTAACTACTCCTTATCGGGGCGGTTGCCGCGCCAACAATCGGCTACTGTGTCCTGTACGTACAACAACGACACCACAACAGCGACCACGACCATATCAGCCCTCAGCGCCAGCGGCATCCCATGGCCCATGACACAGTTACATCTATATATCTCCATTCCTTTTTGCAAGCAGACTTTAACTTGACAACAGCGCATTCATTCATTCGTATATAAGTATTCACTCATTTTACACTCTTGCGCTGTCGGTCTCCCGTCGCGGCCATGGGACGAGTAGAGCCGCCGTTCATGTATGACCCACCGTCCCGCAACCGGTTTTCTGGTATTTCAGTTAACTTCGATCCAAAGGCTGTGACGCGGGCAAGCTGGACTCCGCGCGAGCCTCGAATGGAAAGAAATGGGCCCTTGGTGAATTTCAATAAGCATCCTGATTCTGTAAGGCCTCCCTTGGTGATCAAACCCTAGGTAAATCAGGAACGCCGTGCAGCTAACCTTTTGCGCAGTATGTTATGATTCCGAATGGAAAAATTAATAAGAAAACAATGAGCCCGAAGACTAAAAGCAGGGTGAAGTACACGAGAATCTTTCAATTGGTTTTGAGAGTATGTGCTTTGATCGGAGCGCTGGGAGTGCTGTTCTGCGTGATATGTATCAATAATATCGCTGGCGCAGCGGTGTGGATGATCCGTGTAGCAGTATGTGCTTGATTTCTCTAATAATGTCATTTTTACTATCTGCTGACTGCATGGCATAGCCTGGTGTGGCAATTCTACATACTATATACGCGATCTACCATCTATCTCGGTCTTCTGCTGCGCGTACTCCCGCTTCGTCCGCGAGCTATATGTTGTTCGCGTCTGTTATGGATGCTGGACTTATTCCGCTCTATGTTTTCACGGGTATCATAGCTCGAGTCGAACACACTAGCGGGACATATGGCTGGGGTACATTGTTCGAAACTAAATTGGCAGCGGATAAAATCATATATACGACATTTCTTGCTTGCTGCGTTACCGCGGGCGTGCATCTTGCATCCTTGGTTATATCCCTCTATCTGGCTGTTATATTCCGCAAAATCTCCAAGCTCCCACCAGACATGAATCCATTGGAAGATAACCTAACTTCACGCGGTCACAAGCGCACAAATTCTAACATCGCAGAGATCGCAGAGAAGCACATGAGCGACACCACGATCGCTTCTTCGAATTTTAACCGCAGATCCCTGGCAAAAGAACCTCTGATGACTCCTACGCGTAGCGTTCCTTTTATGCACACACGCGCTGATTCCGTCGAGGATATTGGCGATAGTCCAAGTCAATCATTCTATTCAGCGCAATCTCACCGGTATTCACGTTCAGACCTCCCGAGCCAACAGACGCGCCAGTATGAACAATCTCATCATACTCCAGTCGGTATCGCACGGACAATGGCGCGGGGTCGTGGCGGTACTTCATCTCGCCCTCAATCTGTTACCATAAACACCTCCCCTAAGTCGGAGAACTCGCGGCCGGTGTCTCCTGAAACTGTTTCCCGTGATCCTAGTGGTGTATCATCACTATCCAAGGAAAACTGGTTTGTTCACCGGTCATCTCCATCTCCTCCATTGCACGCCGACCGAGTTTCTCCGTTGCCTGATCGGCTCGGATCTCCCGATATGCTTGGGAAGGATCTAGGTGTGAAGGATTGGGAGTACACAAACGATTCATATGGATTTGATCGGAGTGGCACAGTCATCAAGCATCGTAGCAAGGATAATTACAGCCCACTCAGCAACTACTACGACGATGATGAAAATATTTACAAGGAACATACTGAGAATTTGTATGTCTATGAACATGATCTGGGTGATAACCAGGGCGGCAACAATACCTATGAGGGTGTACAAGATGATAAGACAGCATCCGTGGCAGCCATTAACCCACTGGAAATGAACCCTCCAACACCGCAGCCTTTCGAGAAGCAACACCTCATCTCGTATGGCAAGACAGGCAGTATCCGTCGCATTGCATTGACTGACGTACCGAACCCGTCACTCAACAGTCCACGCTACTCAACCCCAGCCAAATCTCAAAATCATGGCGATGTCGAACCCACTTACGAAATACTCTCCTCACCTTTCGACAGCAAGAACGACGCCCACGTCCCCCAAGGCTTAACTCCAAATAGTGCTGCGAAAAATTCCACCCCAAGCATAAAGCGATGGACGTTAAGAGGCGGTAAACCATCTGCCTATGAGTCTCTACAAGCGGACGATGACAGCGATGATGGTCGCGATGCCAGCCCTGCCCACCACGATAGTGACCGCAAGGGACGTGTGGTGAGCAATTCCGGCATTGACTTGGGGTCAGGTTTTGGATCTGGCTCTCCTGGATATGGTAGTTATATTGCCGGATTGGGCGTTGGGAGGAGACGGGATGTTAGCGGGAAAGTGGCAGAAGAAGGGCGAGGCGGTGGAGTTAACACCGTCGCTGAAGAAAAGGAAAAGACTGCTGCGAAGCCGAAAGGACGACGGCTTTCGAAGTCCGGCGGTAGTGAGATTAAGGCTGCTGGGTGGGCGCGTTTTAAGGGGTTATAAATGCTCTCGCCATACTCACCTACCCCACAGTTTGTTTTAACCTCTTTTATTCTTTTTTTTTATTCGACCAACAGAGCAGCCTGTGTTCAGTTCATGATTCTTTTGTTTGTCTGATCTGCTCATCATTTCTTGTTTGACCCTCTCCCCCATTTCCAATTGCTTTTCCTAGGACGACAACAAACGGCGTTGAAAAATATTCCCCCTTCTTTTCTGCTTTATATGGATTTTGTTATGATTTTGATTTCTTATATTCCATATCTCCCCTCTGCGTCTGGTATTTTTTTTTCTTTTTTTTTCTTTTTTTTTTTTTTGTCTTCTTGGCTATTTTGGGGGATTTATGACTTTGACGAGCACGCGAGGAATATGCAGTTATTGGCCAAACTTTGGTTTGAAATGATATCCAATGTATCTTTTAGGTAGTTAGTTAGAATATTAGTTTCTGATACCCGGTGTGCCCTACAATGGAAACGTGAATTTGAATGAGCAACAAGAATTTGAGACGCATACAATAACGATTATTAATTGAACACACAAGGGAGTTACCTAGGTACATACGGAGTATATCTTATCATAGTAGCATCTGCTCTCTCAATGGTCCCGAGATCCTTTCCGCTTTAACCAACACAAAACAAAACAAGCTGTTGAAACTATATTCTCCAAAACCTCTCCTCCGAAGCGACTATATTCCTCTTTGCAAAAACCTCACTGTCCGCTTCTTCATGGAGAATCAGCATACCCCTCGAATCGAGCATTCTCTCAGGCATAACGTCTCGTAGATAATCTTTATCGACGGGGGGAACATGTTTTGTCCATTCTGGCCCGTGCTCTGGAATGTAAGGGGCATACGGATCGTTCACACCATCCCAAGGGCCAGGAGGGACGTTGTTTCCGTCTCGCCTCAAGCCCTTGCTGAGCTTGAAATTGAAAGCCTCAGGCATAGACTCGACAAGGCAGGCAAGAATCGCATAACGGATGGGGTCCGGGTCCTTTGGGTCAGGAATGCGCTCTAGCTTCCAGGAACGTTCACTGCGGTACCAAAAGTATTCAACTTCGTATCCGATCACAACGTTCATACTGTCTCCAGCCATCGCGGCCTCATACATGCGATACAGGGAGCGCAGGGGGGTATCATGTGAGCACCAGAGTGGAATTGCTTGCAGATTTTTGAGGTCGCCTTCACACCGCCTTGTCCAGCACAGGGATGGATTTTCAGCCAAGATCAGTGGAGGGAGAGGCTCTGGTATTGGATATGACCATGAGGTCAACGATGCGGGTAGGAAGAGACGCAGCAGCGCAAGGTATGGGCGCTTGTTCCGATGGCGAAGACGAACAATACTCCCTCGAAGCTCCAAGGGGCTCTCCTTCGATTTCCACACGCTCCACTTCCGTCTCCACCAACTTAATTTACGACGAGGACGCTGGTGGCGAGATGTCATAGCAGGTGACTCTGCTTTTGAACACGGGTATTCGACGGAGACTAGCGATGGAGATGGAGATGGATATCCATGGATATTTTGAATAGGTTCAGACGGGGAGCAAAGGTTTGGGGAGATGATGGCAGACATACGCTGTAATCCGTGTGACTTGACAAGGCTTCGTCATCTTCCAGCACAAGCACTTGACCAGCAGCTAAAACTAGTTACCGGGTATTATTAGGTAGTTAGTTAACTTAAATTTAGCCAGTCTTTTATAAGAGGCTAGTCTCAAATAGACAATAAGCTAGATTGAATTACGGAGTAACATTCTCTGTGACCAAGGATTGGCTTCTGAGAATTGGACCTTACCAAAATAGTCTTAGAGTCAGTAGCAAGAACAGAGAGGAGAGGCTGAATGAAGCCTGCTGAGATTCGGAGTAGTTAACTTCTAGAGGTAGTTAGCTATAAACTACCTACAACTACACAATAACTACGGATTAATATATGATTATATACTAACAAATGCGCTTGGCATGGTTACTAAGTACTTGTGCCTTGATCAGCTATGCTATGTGACCCTTTGGCTACCAAGGCCGCTCTCAACATTCCACATTCATTAGGATTGCCTGGAAGGTCTCAACGCCACGGCCGAAGTGAGGCTACATAAGTCTGATTGGGACGGTGAGAGCGGCCTATCATCGTAGGCCTGTGAAGTAGCTGAATACTGCAGAGTGCAGAAGCCTGACCAGTTACAAGCAATGGCAATGCACCTGCTTTCCCATGTTTGCTCGCCGGCTTGGGAGCCACTGCTCCAGGATCTTCCGCTGCGGGGTAGAGGCATTTATGTCTAGACTAACTATGCAGTGCCTGTATGTGTATGTATTGGAGCATCTCAGGCTTTTCGATAGAAAACACATGGTGTGGCAGCTTTCGCTCTTTCAGATATACAAAGTGCAATACTACCGATCATTTCAAAGCCTATCAGAGTATCAACAAACCCCACGCAAAATTTTTACGAGGGGATCCGAAAATTTGAAGTCATGGAAGATAGAGGGGTGGTTCTGGATAAGGATAAAATGAGTCAAGGTAACCAAGTCAAATTAACTGATACTTTGAAACCATTGCTGACAGAAACACAATAGGGCTCGAAGCGTTGGATAAGGCATTAGGGGAAGATGAAATGATATACGCATTTTCTCCCATCACGATGGTCTCCGCGGGCGGCTATCTCGCGGTTTCATATTTTCAAAATCGCTCGACAACGGAAGACATCGATGTGATTATTGATCCGGAACACGCTTCTGATAAGGAGTTGCTTTGCAAGATGCGAACTGCCATGGTGACAGTGGGGAGAGACTTGGGCTTCGGGAAAAAATGGATAAATGACTCAGTTGCTCTATTCGTCTCAAAATCTGCTCGCAACTCCATCTTTGAGGATGCAGAAAAGCAAAACATTGTTCTCTGGTCTGGTGAGAATTTACGCATACTGGCGGCACCACTGGAGTGGGGCTTGGAGACAAAGCTCCGGCGACTCTCTACCAAGCCACACCATCTGAAATCCGTCACCGATACCGATGATGTCTTGGTCATTTTGAACTCCCTGATAGATCGAAATAAGGGGCTGCTAGAAAGAGATGCTGTTCGAAGGCTAAACAGAAATGGATTTGATGTCGCCATTTCGTATCATGTTTTGGATCAGATCGCAGAGGCATATCAGCAACGATATGGAAATAGCCCGTTTTGCTAAAACGCCGATGACTGCTTCAACTACTCCAATTTCACCGCTTCGGTGGTGGAATGCTCGGAATGTGTTTTATGCATTATGTTTCGTATCAGCTGGTGAGAGAACGAGACGGAAAATATGTCTATATCTCATTTATCTTAGGATGCGTGACGTTGGCTCTCAGTACTTGATCCCTTTTCTTTCAAAGCGCTCATTATGAGATACTCGATGTAAGCTGCTGCATTGGCGGAGTATGCGAGCAGTGGGCACCATTCACAGGAACCAATACTAGCAGATTGGAATATTATCTACCTGTTGCCTGGCACTTTCAGATTAGTTAATTTCTCCCAGTTGATCGAGGACTGATTCAATCGCTCCCCTTTAAGTGCATTCTAGTACATTCTTTCTATTGAGTGAAGGATGGAATCGGTTCACTCCCTACTTCCACAAATATATCTCCCGGTACTTTCTTCTATTCTTCTTCTCTCCTCTTTTATTATACTGCGTCTGAGTACTTCATTAGGTTTGCAAGCAACCTTAGCTCCCGGCTCTCAAATTACAGTCGCGCCGCGCATTCAAGCAAATCATGGTTCCTAGCCGTGCCTCAAAGAAGGCAATAACCTGCTACTATTGGCACGATGGTAGATGCAAGTATACAGCGGATGCCTGCATTTATGCGCATCGCGATACCGGCCAGGTTGCGAAGAAACCACTGCCTACTGCCAGGTCTGGTATGGATACGATTGCCCTACCCTTCCATATTTGCTACTCCTTTCGGGATTTGGGATAATCACTTACTGGTATTAGAGCCCAGATCAAACCAAAGGGATACTATGGACCTAATTTCGTTGGTGGGTAATGACGACATTATAGAGGATGCGGTATGAGTTGACACCCCTTAGGGAATAATACGATCTCGGTGCAATTATATCTTACATATGCTAAGTATTTTAATAGATTTCAAACGCTGCGACGGAGAATTCGCCTTCCAAAATTAAATCAACTACTTCAGCTGAAGGATCTGAATGCCTTACCTTGGCTGAGGCTGTTATAAAGGCTCTTCAGTCTAATATGGACTACACTGGCATCAAGCGCATGCTCGATACGAATCCTCCTGAACGTGTGCATAAAGCACTCAATAAAGGCATCGATGGGTTTTCCGCCATCTTTGAAGCAGTCAAACGGAACAACTCCGATATTATAAAGCTACTCGTTGAAAATGGAGCTAATCCTAATGCAACAGAGCATAACTCTGATATTCCGCTTCTTGCATTTGCAATTTTGCAAGAAGCAACGTCAATTACACTTATCCAAACGCTCCTGAGCCTTGGGGCGAATCCTCATTCTATTCCTCGAGATTTGTGGGACGGAGGTAACAGCAAGACATTCGGCGATGATGACGAGTCACTGGCTGGCGGCGACTCAACGCCCCTGACTCTCTGGTGCGGTAGTTTACACCGCGCCTCACTTCTAAAACGAATGGACTTTGGTCTGAAATATCACCTTCTGACCTCGAGCAAGCTAATCCCTCTAACAAAGCAGGAAAGACAGAATGCTGATATACAAGGGACAATATCTCTCCTCCAGGCCCCATATTTCTTGATCGGGCAGAGCCTCGCTATAAAACGCGTGACCGAATATGTCCAATCTCATCTTTTACTTCCAAACAGTAACGGGCCATTATTGCTCGCATTTGTCGGTCCTCCAGGCCATGGCCAGGCACAGCTGGCTGCCAGTGTTGGCAAAGTAATATCTCTTAGCGCAATTGTTACCCGCATGAAAAAGATGAACAAATGCTCTGTTACCGAACGTATATCCTCTAAGGAAGTCTCCGCTCACCAGCCTGGCGGATTGGAAGTGGTGTATATCGATGACTTGGACAAAATCGGTCGTTCGAATCTGGTTACGCTCCTAGATGGTCCCCCGAAAGGTGAGTTTATGTTGATACTCAAAACTCATTTTGCCCTAAACCAACAAAATCGAAGCCTACCGAGTTCTACTCTTATTAAGGTTGATATCGAGCTATGCCAAACTAACTTCTTTTTTTTCGAGTCACTCCAGAAACCGACCGGGATAAAACTAACAGTAGCATCTCCGATAACTCGAGAACCATCTGTATTCTCTCTGTAACCGACGGTGAGAGCACAATACTCGATTTTTACGCAAGATATCTAAGAAACACCTCCAAGAGCGAATTACACTCAGCGCCCTGGAACGAACTAGACAAAGCGCTGAAAAAGGACCTCATAAAAAGCTATGGTGTATGTTTAGACACATTCAACTAAACTCCCTTTGTCAGCGAATAATGAAAAGCTATATATAGCCTTAACTAAAGAAAACGAAATTATACAGTCCTCCCTAACTTGCCACGTCGATGCCATAATCCCATTCTTCCCCTACTCCAGTTCTGAAACCGATGTGCTGGCGTACAAATATATCCACGACTTACGCTCTCGCCTAGCCACTACTACCGCCCCTTGCGACAATGCCTCCGCTGCAAAACCTGCAGCTACAAATGCATCCGTATTTCTGCCCCCTATTCATCTTGACCTTGAAGGCGATGGCAAGGCAATCTGCACGTATATTGCGAAGAAGAGCTACGACATGAGTCTCGGGGAACGATCTATCCAACAGGCAGTTATTAGGGAAATCCAGCTGTCGATTTTCGCGCAGTGGATGAAGAAGAAACCTGAGGCAGAGGAGAGGTTGGACGGACGTGGACAGTCGCAGTCAGAGACACAGGCACAGGCGCAATGGTGTTCCGGGTTGGGCCTGGGAAGGCCTCTTTCCTCTTCGTCCAACTCTATTTCCGGGGGTACACATGCCCTGCCCACTAAGGGGATTACCAAGGCCGTTGTTAAGTTGCTGGCGGCGAAGGAGTATCCTGAATTCCTGGTGCCTAGTGGGAACGGCCGTGTGTCAATTTCAGTATCTTTGGAGTAGGTAAGTTTGGGTCAAACTAAACTTGCAAACTAGCAGAGCGTGGTGACAGTGATTTTCTTTTTTCTTTTTGCTTGGTTCGAAAATGGAAGGGTGTATTCCCGTTACCATATTAAAATGAATAGGGGGCTACCTAAATTTAGGATGGGGACAGCTTGTTGGAACGAATGGGGAAGACGGTTCCTATGGGAGGTATTTGCTACTTTTGAAATTGTTTTTTGCTCAGGAATGTGGAGAAAAGAAAAAGCGTCGCATGAAACTAAATTGGAGGGGAGATGTCTAATCTGAAATTGTGAACAGGAAAGAGAGTTTTAGCAATAGGGAGAGCTGGACAATCAGAATATTTAAGTGAATCAAATTTGACCATGGATTGCTCTTCTGTGCCTTTTCTCCTCTACTGATAGCCAACTCACTACCCCCTGGATATGATATGCCACCCTGGTAAGGAGACAAGGATCTCGCTACAGAATGATAACTGGATATTTACCAAAATCTAGACAAATTAAGGTCATATATTTGTTCCCTTCACCCTACTTCAAAGTCGTAACTCATGATGACATCTGACTTGGGAGAATTAAACAGGAGACTGAAAATGTAAAATGTCCCTTTAAGTTAATATTTATATTTCATATATCATCGAGGATATAATCCGCACAAGAACAAGGGGCGTATTCACCCATACATACGAAAGTCATTCCTAACCTAACACGCAACACTACCTCATAAAACCCTAAGACCTCCTGGCTATTATTGTACCCCTCTGGGATTCCAAAATTAAGGTAAAGGGAAAACGAGGGGAAAGATAACCTTCTACACGATCAGAAGTCCTATGCTTAGATGTAAATACGAAAGGAATTGGAGGAACGGGAGAAACCTAAAGCCGCAGGAACGGCTCCGTGGGTAAGAGAGGATGGATGGAAATGTTTGACGATGAAAAAAAAAAATAAAAAATAAAAAAATAAAAAAATGGAAAGGACGATAGAAATCGTGGAATTGAGTTAAGGGAGGGGAAAGAAAAAGGCGAACAGCAACGAAACAGGTAAAATCTCATGAAAAATCTTCCCCAGGCTCTTCGATATTATTCTTGATACGGAGTAATATCGCCGTCTTCCACTTATCGAGCTTGCTTAACTGATCGTATTGGAATAGCTTGTCGCCAAAGGACTCCGCGTCGCCCTGCTCAATAGCTTGCGCTAGATCGACAAGGAGCATGTGTTCGCGAGTCGCTGTGAACGAGTTATCTAGGTCTCGGTAGTTTTGCAGAGCGCGGTTGGTGGCGACGAGGTCCTGCGCAATAAAGTGGAATAGTTTTAGTTGTCTTGGCTTAAGCTTGAGGAATGGGGAAAGAAAATTGGCTGGCTAGGGATTTCTTACATTTGACGCAAGGTGGCAGATGCCAGCTTTCAAGAAATAGTCCTTTACGGAATATTTCATCAGGTTATTGTTAATAGAGGATTTGGCGACACGCTCGAAGTGCTCGATGGCTTTGTAGTAATCCCCCTTGAGCGCGGCAAGGTCTGCGACTTTGAGATAATGCTTGTTCGCCAGCCTGTTAAGAAAAATATATATATATCCACGATTAGTATATACCGCTTTCCTAAGAGCCTATGTTCCTTGAAACAAGGCTGACGAGGATACGGAAAGAACGCTTACGCTTCCGCGTTATCTCCTTCAAACCATTCCGCGGCCTTCTCGTAGGCTTCCAACGCCCGTCCTTCATCGCCAATTTCCACCTCGTATATTTCAGCCAAGTTCTGTTGATGGGTCGCAGCCCGTCTGAAGTTTCCCTTAGAAATGTAATGTTGAATAGCAACCTGCAGCACGCGGGCGGCATCTTCGGGATCCGCCTTTCGGTATACTTTAAACGCCTCAGTGAGGGTGTTGGCCGCGTCGTCTGGTTCGTTGAGGTTGTTGGTGAAAACAGCTGCTGCTTTCTCAAACGCCATGCCCGCTTCCTTATCTATATTACCCTCGTGTTAGCTATGAATTCTTGTTTGCGACGGTTCCTAAGGAAAATGGTGAAGTTGAGCAGGCAATGCCCGAGCTGAGGGGGGATGAGGGTAGACCAACTCATCTTCTGTGCCCGGAAGGCATTGGCGGCTTGTGAATAGAGGTCTGCAGCATTTTCATATTTCTCTGTTCGTCCGCCAAAAAGACTGAATCCACCTGAAGCGCTTTGGAGCGCTTTATCTGCCTGTCATATTTTCAGCTTGTTGGGTCTAAAACGGGGTGGAGAGCGGGGAACCAATATCATAGCCCACCTTCTGCAGTAGGACCCGTGGATCCTGTGCCATGATTGAAACAGTATAGGAGATATGGGCACACTGGAGAATTCGAAAAGCCCGTAAAATTACAGTCTGATATATTGGATGGTTGGGATATCGTAGATTTGGGATGTGTATGGCGGCTCAAGTCGAGGATTTGCTTGATATGGGTTATGTTGTCATGGGCTTGGCGGGGTCGAGCTGACTGCACTACGTTAGTTACGGCCACAGCATCTAGTTAGAGCCACGACCACGCTAGAAAGTTGCCCACGATATCGGCATTTGGGTTTAGAGTTAACTACAGCGTAACGGTTATACAACTGCACCGCTGTCCGACACATCTAAGTGAACAAAAACGTCCTACGGGACACGTATTAACAAATTCTGTCTATTTTAACTCTTCTACATTCTACATAGGCTCAATGGCTCTCAACCGCATCTGGTCTGCACGACCACTCCTGCAAACGATTCCCAGAACAACACAGTGCGTGGGCGCGAGAAGTATTCAACAGAATCCGCCGTCAGCAACCGGTTCCACTGAAGATCCAGCTTCCATTGTCTCGAAACCAAGTTGGTCCGTCAAATCTCTCCTACCAGAAAGTACATCCCTTCCCCAGTCGCGTACGATATCTTCAAAGCAGCTCCACCATCTCCTCCGGCTTTCCGCACTTCCACCACCCTCAAGCGTTGAAGAAGAGGAGGAGATGCTGAAAACTCTTGAATCACAAATTCATTTTGTGAAGGAGGTCCAGAGCATTGATACCACGGGTGTTACACCGCTGCGAAGTATCCGTGACGAGACCGAGGAAGCACAGGAGGAAAATAAAATTAGTATAAAGACCCTCGATGCGTCTCTGAAACAAGAGCGCTATATAGGACGAAGCAGACGAATTCACCGCACAAGACCTGAGAGACTTGACAACCCGGAAGGGGAGGTGTGGGATGGTGATGCCTTGAAACCAGCCTCGAAAACAATGGGGAGGTATTTTGTGGTCCAGTCAAGCTAAACGAATAGTTCAGAAAACGACGGCGGATATAGAAGATAGAACCGGTCTTCCCGTAACTGCATTCCACACTCATCCAACATTCAAATATCTCCTCACCTTCGTGCGCGTCATCTCATCGCAATTTGTCGATCTTCGTACAAGGCTCCTGCCGCAGAAGCTCCGTGCTGACTCATCGGGTTGGCAGCCGTCGTCCACTTCGCCTGCTTCGTTCTTCGGTACATCTTCCATCTTCGCATCATCATTTGTTTACTATACTGTACAACATTACCCTCAATTCGAATACTCTATCTTCTACCACGATTGTTTACTGGTGCTTGAACCCTGTGGAGTTTGGATTTCGCGCCATATAGGTTAATTACCCCGGTTCCTACAGCTTCCTCTCTCGACAGTGCGCACATGGATTCGCCAACGTCATGGAGCGGCCAGAGCGGCCCGCCGGAAGTGGGAAGACAGACACAACAAACACAGATTGATGTTGACCTGGCATCCATCCTCAGCCTAAACGAGCGACAGGATCTGGCCTTGCTCATTGTGGATATTATGGATCAGATGCAGCAAACAATTTGCGATCATTTCAACATGGAGCATCCGAGGCCTCAGCCAAATGATAACGAACTTTCCCCAGACAACCCCGACCCGAGTACTCTCAAGCAAGAGAGCCTGACCCCTACACCCCGAAAGTCATCTACAATGGAAGTCAAAGTTGAGGCGGAAGCATTTCGGTATTTTAGTGCCTGGAAAGATTCAGTCACTTATCGCGTTGGGGATATCATAAACGCCCCTGATTATCCGGAGCTTCGCAACAGGCAGCAGCAGCACGAGGGCCAGATTAATGAGAGCGCAGAGAGCACCACCACCACACCTGATACTTGCAGGTACCCGCCAATCGAAACCCCCCTTAAGGAACTTCCACGTGCCACAAAATTAATCATTCTGCATTCGGTTCTCCTTTTACTTCTAAGCCTTCAACACTACAGTGCACATTCACGAGTCCTTCTGCTCAGAATGGTTTCCAGCCTTGGATTGTCAATAGATGACCTGGTTAACGATGAGATAAAGGTTGCAGAAGGTCTGTTACAGACTGCAAAAATAATGACGGCAGATGAAGAAGCCAAGGCAAAGTTTGACAAGACGAAAACGTCAAGAAAGTGGAAAGTTGGTCTTGCGTCCATCGCAGGAGGTGTGCTCATTGGGGTGACGGGAGGACTAGCTGCTCCCTTTGTTGCTGCCGGTATTGGTGCGGTGATGGGTGGACTTGGCCTAGGAGCGACCGTTGCAGCGGGATATCTTGGCGCAGTTGCTAGTAGTACCGCCATTATTGGAGGGATATTTGGGGCCTATGGTGCAAGAATGACAGGCAAGATGATGGACCGGTACGCACGGGAAGTTGAAGATTTTGCATTCCTCCCCATCCATACGCCAACAGCTTCAGAGGGAGAAAATATAGCTTCCGTACGAACGGATCAACGTCTTAGGGTTACAATCGCTATTAGCGGCTGGCTTACTGAACAGGAGGATTTTGTAAACCCTTGGCGGGTTCTTGGACAGGATTCCGAAGCATTTGCGCTGCGATGGGAGTTTAAAGCCCTAGTGAAACTCGGCAACGCGCTGACAGCTGTGGTGAGAAATGCAGCTTGGGCTTTTGCATCCAAACAAGCTATCACTGGAACCGTTTTCGCACCCATCCTTGGCGCAGCTATGTGGCCTGTTGCCCTGCTAAAGCTTTCACACATAATCGATAACCCGTTTAGTATCGCTAAAATTCGCGCTGATAAGGCTGGCCAAGTCCTCGCGGACGCGCTAATCAACAAAGCTCAGGGTGAACGTCCAGTAACGCTGGTCGGGTATTCTTTGGGTGCTCGTGTGATATTTTCTTGCCTCATAAGCCTTGCGAGAAGACGAGCGTATGGATTAGTTGAATCTGCTATACTTATTGGATCGCCGACTCCGTCGACAACCAGCCATTGGCGATTGATGCGGACGATTGTTAGTGGTAGACTCGTCAATGTCTTCTCACTTAACGACTCGATCCTCGGATTTTTGTACCGTGCAAACAGTGCCCAATTCGGAATAGCTGGTCTCCAGCCTATCTCTGGCGTCCCAGGCGTAGAAAACTTCGACGTGAGCGATGCGGTTAGCGGTCATTTGAGATACCAGTATATGGTTGGATCCATTCTCAAAAGAATCGGGCATGACCATCTGGACAAGGAACAATTGCGAAGGCAAATCGACATGCTGAGAGCTAGAGATGAAGGAGACGAGAAGAGACTTGAATGGGAAAAGGAGCAAGACCAAATTAAGATGAAGCTGAGGCAACAGATGGAGAACAATCTCTCGCGGGAACCTTTACTTGTTGATGTGCAGCCAGTTGAAAGAGAAGGGGAAGAACGGCAAGGCCAGCGTGAGATGAACATGGGGCAACAACTACTCCAGGAAAATAATAGTCTGTTTGAACCGTCGTCCGCTGACGTGCAGCGACTGGAGAGAATGGTGGAGGAACAGACACAGCAAGCCCTGTGTCACGCCCAACTGGCAAGACTCGAGATTGTGGACCGCACTAATGACTGAGGATACCATAGGTAAATTTCCCGTGGATTGCTGCCAAATATTTATTATTATTATTGGAATGGGTTCCATGCTGTGCTTCATGCTCATCGCTGGTAAACTAATTCCATTTTTCCCTGACGTTTCCTTTGTCCATTTTATTTGTATCTGTTTTTCTCAATTCTTGGGACCGTTTCGGTTTTTTATCACCTCAGAACGTTTCTCGTTCTCAATGAATATAAATTATTATTAAGGGTAAATCGTTTAATTGGCAACTGGCCTACATGTAAATTTGACACTTGAAAGAGGTGGGAGTTGAATAAATGGAAGAATATATAAGTCAAAAATCGTAAAATCAATCGTAATATTTGTCTATACGTTATAGATGGTGTTGGTGTTCATCGTATACTCGTCTAGCCTCGGGGGGGGGGGGGGGGGGTTCTCGCTGTCCTAACCAGAGGACCCGCAATATCGTGGAATTTATTTTCACTTTTCTATCGCCATGCAAAAAAGGGAGTTTAAAATAAAGTCAAAGAAAACAAAGGGGATGTCATAAAACCATCAATCAATGCGAATAGAGGGTAGAGCAAGATGATAAGAGGCAAAATGAAAAAAATTAGCCATTCAAAAACACTGTTTTCTCTGCATTATTTCTTCGTTTGAGACAACCAGTCAATGCGTTGCCTCTCCCCATGCAACTGCCTTTCGGGGGAAAACACGCTTGTACAAGCTAATCCCAATCGCATCCTGCGGATTAATTTTCGCATCAAACGTCGCCTTGAAATACCCATGCGTCCCCAGACTCTCCTTGATATACCCGCTGCGGCCCCGCTTCGTCCACAGCTGCAGCGCCTTGAACCAATTCACATCCTCCGCGTTGAAGAACATGTACCGCACCGTGACGACCTTCTTGTGGATCTTGTACGGGTGGCCGGTCAGGATGACGCGCTTGGCAACGACGCGCGAATGGTCCGGCGCCATGGTTGTGCCGGTGCCGATGAGCTCCCAGGTATCGAGCTCTCCATTATCCGCGCTTGAATCCATGGCTTCGGTGTCTGCGGCAGCGGCGGCGGCTGTGTTTTTAAATACTAGGACTGGTATCGAACCCCAGGAGACCGGGCCGATGAATGTAGCTACGGCGCTGCGGCCTGGATGTAGGTATCTATCGAACTTGTGGACGTTGTTGGGAGTGTTGCCGGCGGCGGAGAAGAGGGGTTTGATCATCAGACGGCGTGGGCCGCATTGGATGATTAGTTCTTCTTTGGATTTGAGAGGTTCTGTGACGGTGGAGTTTAGGGTCATGTTGATGTTAACGACTGCGTGTTTATGTTCGTGTCGGAGAAGCGAGAAGAGAGAAGTTGGCTGTGACGAGAGCGACCTTAGGTGTGGAGGTACGTCGCTGAGATGAACGTCAACGCGGGAACCGGGCTTGACGCCACCGACGAGCGCTTCCCGGAGACATTGGTTTTTGGAGCCCCTGTAGTCAACGATTTGTAACAGGCGACGCCAGTCTTCAGGCTCGTGTGCTCTGTCTTCTTCCATTTCCCACTTGCTCGTTTTAAGGCTTTTAAGGCCCCTGTATCTAGCTAGTCTTTCTCGTGCAATTGTAGATGGGTGAAGCTCAATTTCATCGGGAAATTCTAAGTCCTCTTTCGCTTCATTCTTTCGGCTAGCGCGATATTCTTCTATTTGTTGCGCCTCGTCTTCAGGTGATGGGTCGAGGAACATCTCTGATTGTGGATATTCGGAAGGGCCACCAGCTTCAGTCATGGCGTCTCTCTTGTCCATATTGAAAAAGCCATCTTCTGGCCCGGCTGGAGTGTCCAGGTCCATGTCTTCATCGACATCATCCATTTCATCCACTAGGTCAGAACCGGAGTCAGAGAGATCATCAAGGTACCATGCCGCCTGATAATCAGACGTGCCCTTGGGCAGGCGCCTTGGCCGTGCCGTATGCTTGTCATCGCCATCCGAGAAGTAGTGGTAGTCATCAAGGAGTACCCCTTTCTTCTCCGTGTCGGCCAGAGAGAAAGTTTCATCCATCATGACGACTTCCTCGGGGGCAACTGTAGCCAAATCGTCACAATCAGCGCTTGGTTGATCCAAAACTTGCGGTTCCGCTGTGTCGTCGATATTCATTGCATGATCTCCCTTCTTCTGTTTAGCTGACGGCAATGGCGCAGCGGTAATCGATGAGATTTTATAATCACCCCATGTAGGTATATGGACCAAGCGGTCAGCTTTCAAGCCCCTACCCCGTACGACACCGGTGACCACAACTTCGTTAGATGCGTCAGAAGACGATTCGGGCCATTGTATAGACTCAATAAGCATCCAGCTTCTATCATCCCGCCAACGAATCCCTTTTGGCGTCGCCGTACATATGCCGCGTACTATGTTAGAACATTCCTGCCTTGAATCCAGCGAATGCACCTTGTCTAGTGTGGGGAAGAAATGTGTGATGAAAGACTTGAGCGAAGCAGTAATCTGTGGGCGCTTTTTGGGAGGCATGATTTTCTCGAGCCCCTGAAATTGATAATTGTCAATGACTAAAATACAGCAAAGGCTTGGTATATAAGGGCACCTATCACATACCTGTGTTACCGCAAGCACATTGGATATTCCTTGACCTTCAATCGCCCGCAGCATTAACTGAGCCCCTTCGTCCAGTGTATCGTCCGCGGGCAGGATAAAAATGACAAAATCTGCCAAGCGACAAGCATCCAGTGCGCTAATCAAATCTTTTTTTGTTGGAAGGTATAGAATATTCTGCTTAAATCTCTCTATGCGAACACGGCACGTATGTCCTTGAATATCTGTTTCCGGAATATCGAGGCTCTCGTTCAAGCTCCTGATGGCCGCATCGGTGTCCACGGTGTCTGCAATGGGGATAACGGCAACATGTCGTGATGCTCCATTCTGGCCTGAGAATATGCTCACGGATTCGGACTTGTTTTGGTGCTTCAGTCTTTGTTTCTGGCGTGTTTGATTGCGGCGATCAAGTTTCGACATCAATTGTTGGTGGGGAGTTTTGCGACTGCCCCTCTCCTCGATTTTGCCTATCGTGAAAATACATTAGTCTATGTGCAACAATATAAGAAAAGCTGAAAGAAGTATTATAATTTATTTTCCAAGCAAGGAACCTCTCACCTTTGGACAAGTCCTTAAGAGCGCCTTTGGAAAGATGCTTTGACTTGAACGCCTTATTTACAGATTTGGTGGTATTCCGGTGGTGGTGCGGAACAGCCACAGCGCTGGGTGCCATGGTGTGCGAACCGGAACCCTTGAACCTGAAAGGAAGGGAGGCCAGGTTGACGGCAATATAAAGCAATGGCCTGTTGGCCAAATAGAACAGCGAAACCCGGTTACCAATCCTCTCCCGTCTGAGTATATCTTTTTGCGATATGAATATTAATTTTTTTGTGCCGTCGATAAATTGGAATGTAGGCCAGGTCACATGATGACATGTTTGCTGTGTTTGCAACAAGCGAATCTTGGCATCAATTTTCCAAAATCGCAAAGCCACAGAAAAGAATGCTTCGAGATGGGAGATTCTATACATCGGTGACGCGCCTATTCTGGGCCATTCATTCAGGGTTTGTTGCTTGCTTCCTTAGTAGTTGATATAAAGCCACTCGTCACAACTATGGAGGTTCAAGCCGTTCCAAAAGCGAAGGCTGTCTCTCGCAAACCATCCAACAGAAACATCACCGAGTCGCGGGAAGACAAGCAGCGACTAGCAGAGGCGCGGAAAAAATACGGACGAGGCAAACAAATCAATGCGAAGAGCGTGAAGGACAGGAAGTTACGAAGCAATCTAAAGAGCCTGGAAGCAAAATATAAAGATGCAGCACTAAAGGCTAAGGACGCGGAGATCCTGTTGGAAAATGAGCACGGTTACTTGGAACCCGAAGGTGAGCTCGAGAAAACGTATAAAGTACGACAAGATGAGATCAAGGACAGTGTGGGCATAGAGACGGCAAAGAAGGGATTCGAACTCAAGCTGGAGGACCTGGGTCCCTACTCGGCTGATTATACGAGAAACGGACGAAAGCTATTGCTGGGTGGGCGGAAAGGTCATGTCGCAACCATGGACTGGCGAGACGGGAAGCTGGGATGCGAGCTGCAGCTCGGAGAGACAGTGAGAGATGCCAAATGGCTGCATAACGATCAGTTCTTCGCTTTGGCGCAGAAGAAATATGTCTACATATACGATCATGCAGGGGTTGAGATACATTGTTTGAATAAGCATGTCGAGGCTACACATCTAGAATTTCTACCTTACCATTTTCTCCTTGCCAGTGTTGTGAGTATATAAAGAATGGCCCAATTTTGGCCACTCCATTTGCTAACACATTTTCTGTTTTACAGGCTACCAGTGGATATCTCAAGTACACCGACACATCGACCGGCCAACTAGTAGCAGAACTAGCGACCCGTCAGGGCTCGCCGACTTCCCTTTGTCAAAACCCCTATAACGCCATCCTACACGTCGGACACCAAAACGGCACCGTTTCTCTCTGGTCTCCCAATTCCTCAACATCCCTCGTCAAAGCACTCACCCACCGCGGGCCAGTTCGGTCAGTAGCGGTCGACCGACAAGGCCGATACATGGTATCAACAGGTCAGGATTTGCGCATGGCAGTATGGGACATCCGCATGTTGAAGGAGGTTCATAACTACTCCGTCCCCCAGCCTGGCTCCAGTGTAGCCATCAGCGACCGCGGCCTCACCGCCGTTGGCTGGGGCACACAGCTCAGTGTTTGGAAAGGATTGTTCACCGCTGCAGCTGCAGAACAGGAGAAGGTCCAAAGTCCATATATGGCCTGGGGCGGCGACGGGAAACGCATTGAGCGCGTCCGCTGGTGTCCATATGATGATATTCTCGGCGTGTCGCACGAGAAAGGATTTGCCAGCCTAATCGTGCCGGGCAGCGGAGAGCCTAACTTTGACGCTTCCGAAGCCAACCCATACGAGACCACGAAGCAACGACAGGAGGCAGAAGTCCGAGGACTGCTTACGAAGCTGCAGCCAGAGATGATATCGCTCAACCCTGACTTTGTGGGCAATCTTGATCTCGTGAGCGAGGCTACGCGCAGAAAGGAGCGGGACCTCGATCGGAAGCCTGATGATATTATTGAGAAGTTGAAGAATCGGGGTCGTGGGAGGAATAGTGCGTTGCGCAAGTATTTGCGTAAGAAAGCGGGGAAGAACGTTATTGATGAGAAGAGACTCAAGGCTGAAGAGTTGCGGAAAGAACGGTCGTCTAGGGCGAAGGAGAATCTTCAGCGCGAGAAGGCTGGTTTGGGGCCCGCCCTTGGACGGTTTGCGAGGGTGCGATCCTCCTAGGTCGTTAGGGTGTGTTTGTCGGTTTTTTCCAGCAACCCAGAGGTCAGGATACTGGCAAGTAAGTAGCCATGCAGCTATCGTCACTGATTGTTCTGCACCAATACACTTTTCGTTCGGCATTTGGTTTATTTTTGAAAATACCCATGGCGTTACAATATTATTTTTATTCCAGCGTTGCATCGCACAGGAGTACGTACTGGATTCGGAATGGATATGGAATTTGTACGGATTAGAAAAAAATTTCGGAAAGGAGAGTATAGAAATCATAATCTTTCAGTTGAGCTTTGCCACATAATTATATGATTGCTAGGTATGAATCCCACGTCCCTTACGGCATGCTATTTGAATTGGGAACTAGCTCTCGCCGCGCCAACACTTTTCTGGAATGCGTCTCTGTCGCATGTGCCAGATGAAGAAGGCCCATGGATGCACGGATTCCTTAACAATGACAATTTAGATACGAAATAAGCAATGGGATCAAGCTCATTTTAGTCCTTCAAACAGCCCCGGACCCTCTAACCGCCCCATCCTTCCACCTCTGCAGGCTAACATCATATGCCCCGCTAGCCTTCCATGCGCTTAAAATCAGCTCAACAATATGCTCAATCCCTTTCCCACTCTTCACCTCTGCGAAAACCGTCGGCCCCCCTTCTCTCATCTTCGCCGCATCCCTCTCCATAACCGATAAATCTGCCCCGACCGCCTCTGCCAAATCAATCTTATTCACAACCAACAAATCACTCCCCGTTATGCCAGGCCCTCCCTTCCGGGGGATCTTGTCCCCGCCCGCCACATCGATGACGTAGATGATGAAATCGGCTAGTTCGCGCGAGTAGTTGGCGGCTAGGTTGTCGCCACCGGATTCTATCAGGAGGAGATCGCTCTGGAATTGTCGCTGAAGGGATTGCAGGGCGAGTAAGTTGGCGCTGATGTCCTCACGGACGGCGGCGTGCGGGCAGCCACCAGTTTCGATGGCGCGGATGCGAGATGGAGAGAGGGCTTTGTTACGAGTGAGGAATTCGGCGTCCTCCCTGTTTTAAGATTGGAAGGAACGCGTGAGATGGGATTTGCGTTTTGGTTATAACCAGCAAACAGGAGTACCTCACCTACCTCGTAAATATATCATTCGTCACGACAGCGAGGTTATATTCGTCACGCAGGGCCAGACAGAGTGCCAGCATCAATGCTGTCTTTCCTGAACCTACAGGCCTGTATTAACACATATAAGTCAGCAAATAGTATCGTATCGCTATAGGAACGTATGTCATATACTCCGTCCCATAGATAGCTGATCTGGACTGCCAGAGCTATACAAACCAAGAGAGGGGGAGATAAGGTCTTACCCTCCAATACCAATAGTGAACGCCCTGCCCGTCCAATCGCGCCCTTCAATAACAGGCATCTCCCGATTCAGATATGAGCCAGGACCATCGAGGATCTCATGGGTATGGCCGTGCGCGCCACCATCATGAGTATGGGAATGACCCCGTGAGTGGTCGTGCGTAGCCATTGGTTCGGGAAGCTGTGTGATACGGGGAATATTTAATAAGGGTAACGAGTCAGTCGTACAGGGCGTGCGAACTTAAATCAATTGGACTTGATAGCAAAGGAAGCAGTAGCTGTTTATCTTGATAATACTAGTTGGGGGGGGGGTGGGATGTGGAGGTTTGGAAATTGTGGTGCGCCTAGGTTTGGTGGGGGGCACGGCAAAAGGCAGGCGGCGGCCATGAATAGGGTTTCGGCATTAACGACCCTGTCTCGGGGCCATGATAATAATAATATGTTGGTTAATCAGTAATCAGTAACTAATCATATTATTATCATTGTTGCCAGGAGTACGGAGTACGGAGTACGCGGGACAATAGATAACCAATAAACCGGTAGATAAGTAAGTTAAAAGGTAATAAATAGTATTGTCTAGAACCAAAGCGGTAACTACCATTTAATAGCCCCTTTCTGCGTTGGAAAATCCCAGATGTACGATACCAATATATTATTACCCAACAGAAACAAAATGACATCATGGAAGAAAGTGTAGCAAGGAGTGAACACCCAAATATGCCCTTTTCCAAGCCTTGTTGCAAAAACTATCATCTTCATTTAAGACTTCTCTTCTGCAGTACGCAATGGAAAAAAATCAAAAATTACTCCAAAAATAGTGAGATGAGCTTCCGCAAAGAACTTAAAAACAGGTTAATCAAAATATCAGGACATCGAAGCAAGTAGCTAGGTTAGTGTTTGAATATAATGGCAATAAAGGATGAAAAGGAATAAATTTGCAGCAAGCAAAACCAGTATCACGTCAAAATCCAAGTAATGTAACATGGAAAAGGCAAGTTATAGAATCCCCATTTAGCCAAGCAAATAACATAGCGGAGTTTGTTAATAGATGGGGGCAGGAGATGAGTTGGGAAGTTTTGGCCGGGGACAGCATGCCAAATGTGGGCGATCAACAGGACAAGATGGTATCCGCAGAAATTATAATTCCTGATGTCTTGGAGTGGATTGAATCAATCCCTGAGCCAGGGAAGATTGGGGGGAGGGGAGGAACCGGTGTAAGGGAAATATCAACGGAAACCCCAATGCATCGACGCCTGAGGACCATGAACAAGACAAGAACTGCGGAAATAAAACACAATGGCCGTGGAAAAAAAAAAAAAAAAAAAAAAAGAAAAAAAAAATCATCAAATATTAAGTGCGGTAGGAGGAATGATAAGAACGCAAAAAATACCATCATTGTCGCGTCGAACAGCATGTAAGTTGGCGGTGCCTACTCGCATCCATCCAGCACAAGCAGTCAAGCCCAAGCAAAGTGCACGCCATTTGCGAAAAGGAAATATAGAAAACAGGGTGGTTCAGAAAATGTAAAAACAGCCGATCTACTCCGGCAAAAAACCTATGAAAACAATAGATAGTGCAAAAATGTAAAAACTTAGGGGAACAACCGCAAGTTGCCAAAAAACGCAGGAAATAGTTAGCAACAGTACGGGGCGATCACGCACACAGAACCGTCACGAATACATAAAAGCCAAGGGGAGAGAAAAACACACCCGCAAAATATAACCAGACAAGGGATCCGTAGTGCAATTCCAAGGTTTATAAACAGCAAGGGCGCCACGCCATAATAACAAAACAACGAAAAACTAGCAATCCCTACCAATGGTTATCCAAAATAAATCGAAAAGGGAAAGGAGAAGAGAGCAAGGAGAAGAAAACAGACGCCCAAGAAAAACATATTCCAAAGGCATGTAGACAAACGCCAAGTCCGTCTCGAGAGGGGTGTCAGGAATGAGAAAAATTAAAAGCAAGTGAAAACGACGAAGGGAATATTTGGGGGGGTGGGGGCTGACATTCTTCTGTTCCTACCTTAACTTTAGCTTGTGCCTTTCTGCCTTTTGCCGCCAACCCTTGGACTAGCTTTTGGCGCCTTGGATGCGCCCGACCCTGTGCCGTTTACTTCTGCAATTTGAGCATTATCATCTTCGGTCTTGATAGCGCTTCGGCGGCGTTTGTTGCTCACATTGGGGCTGGTATTAGCGCTCGTTCCTTGGCTGCCACTTGTGTTGGTTCCCTGCTGACTTTGCTGCGCAACCATTGCAACAGGGCCCGCCATGTTGTTCTGTGCCGGACTAGGTGTATGGTTTGGTCCCCCGAGGTGCGGAGAGCCCTGTGCCCCTGGTAATCCCAGATGAGCTACTGCAGGTGAGAATTGTGTCGGCCCGTTAAGACTCGGTGTGCGTTGTCCAGGTGGCTGCTGAACTCCCAAGTGACCTGGGCCGAATCCAAGACTCTGAGGAGCGTTGAATGAAGCAACTAATTGACGGAGAGCATCGTGTGGTGATAGATGAGGGTGTTGTATGGAATACTGAAATAATGTTTGCATTTGAGATATTGTCTCTGCCACCTATAAATGCAGTGGGCTGTTAGACCGGCAACTTTATGAAGAAGCAAATATTGTCATACCTCTAAAAACTTCATAACAGCAGGTGGAACGCCGTGTTCGGTAACAATAGAATCAGGTGCGGTAAATGAGGGTACGGCTGGTTGCTTTTGCTGTGCTCTCTTAGCAAGCCCTTTGCCAACCTTCGGGCTCTGTTTCTGGTCTGGTGAGACTGGTTGAAGCCGAGTACGCGGAATGTACTCTGTGTGATTCTTAGTAATGAGCTCTAGTAGGTCTAGTTTACCATGTATATCGTATTGAGCTCGCAAAGTGCCGTTGGCAACAAGCTGGAATACACGTCAGTAAAAAGATTATATTCAGCTCAAGTAGTGAGGGCTTACTTGACAATCATTAGACATGTAGCTAATGAAACTCGTCTTGGGACTCTCCACAATTTGGCTACCGTTAGGAAGATCTTTTTCTTGCACACTCTCAACAATCATTTGTATGTGCTTTATACCGCTAGAAAAATGGGTGTGGTAATATCGGGCAAGAGCAGGAGTAGAGATCTCGAACTGTTTGGTTCCTTGCTCCGGACTCCAAACGCCCTGTCGTAGGACCCCACTCGGTGAAAAGAATTGATCTACAAAACGGGCCCAATATTCTATTCCAGGCTGGGGTTTTTGACTCTAAAAAATTAAGGTCTCTAGTCAGTCATGAAAGGAGAAAGTTTAACAAACTGAGTTGCAGGGTTCACTCACGGAATATGCGCTCAGGTGTTCAGCGAATGTGACTAATCGAAGAACGCCGGACCTTTTCATAGGGTTGGCCATTCTTTGAGGCATCATCATTGCGGATCCGGCACCCTGCTGCTGTGCTCTGAGTTGCGCTTCATGGGGAGTCATTTGATGTGGCTGCGGATGTTGTTGTGGGGGTTGGGTTTGAGAATTTGGCCCTTGCGGCTGCGGTTGGGATTGTTGCTGGGGTTGTTGTCCCTGTTGCGGAGGTGCTTGGGATGATGGAGGCTGCGGTTGGTTCGATTGCTGGGGCTGTTGTGATGGAGTATTGCCTTGACTTGGAGGCCCTGGTTGCGGATGTGTGGTGCCGCTCTGGCCATCGTGCATAGATTGCGGTTGGGGTCCACCTCGTTGGGCGTTTTGCTGGTTCTGTTGATTTTGCTGTGCCGCTAATTGCAAAGCAAGGAATTGTTGCTGCTGTTGCATATTATGCGGTTGTCCGTGATGCCCTTGAGCCTGTAAATGTTGTTGTAGAGGATGAAGAGGAAAGTTAACTGGTCGCATATTGGGATTAGATTGCACAGCAAGCTGTACCGCGTTCAATCCTTGGGTTCCATTGGGTAAGGAAGCGGGGATCCCTCCATGCTGTGGCTGTTGCTGTGGCTGTTGTTGTGGTTGATTATGCTGCGGCTGCTGCTGCTGAGGCTGGTTGTGCTGCTGCGGTTGATGTTGCGGCTGCTGTTGTTGCTGCTGTTGCTGCTGCTGCTGCTGTTGTTGCTGCTGCTGCTGTTGTTGCTGTTGTTGCTGCTGCTGCTGTTGTTGATGGTGCTGCTGCATCATCATTTGTCGTTGTCTCAACATTTGTTGTTGATGTTGTTGTACTAGTTGAGGGTTGGCAGGATCTAGAAGCGCATACGTGAATTAGCCATAACGCATCATGAAATGGAAATCCAAATAGCGCACTAGTCATATGAGAAAATAAGGAAGCCTTCTAGCGCGAAGGTGTATTTCGTAAATGCTTGGGAAAATATTGTGGATACAGGGAGCAAACAAAAGGGGCATTGAAGGCCCAAATTGAAGAAAAATGGTGCGAAAAAAAAGCTTACAGGTTTGTCCCATTTGTTGAGGTGGAAACATTTGATGCCCATGGGCAGGACCGAGATGGGACAAGGCATGAGCGCTCGGGCCGGTGGTGCCTGGCGGTATCCCGCCAACCACAGGACCCCCTTGGGTCACTTGTTGGGCCCCTGGAGCGGAAACGCCAGGATGCATCTGCTGCACTATACCCCCACCCGGGCCTTGTCCAGCGAGATGCGCCGCGTTTGGATGTTGGCCTGCGGCCATGGGATGACCGGGAGGCATCACCGGATGGTGAGCCATGCCGACTTGATGGGCAGGAAAAGGCTGCGCCATCATCATCGCCGGCTGAAGAAGTCGCCGATTTCGGGACCCCGAAAAAGAACAACTCTATAATTCTGCTGGATTAAGACTTGGTTTGAAGTGATGTTGGAAAAATTGACCACACTGAACGACGTGCAGTTGGTATGAATGAGGTTTCCGACTTAGGACGCGACTAGCACGCCACGGTTTGTCGGTCGATCGTCGAGAATTCGCGCAATTTCGATCATGAGAAGGGATACTCTCGCAGCCTCCGCCTTCAGGGCAAGAATCGTATCTAACATATCAGTCAGCAGCGGGATAGCGATGAGTGCGTGCAGGGAGCAAAATAGGACTGCTACGTTGTAGGTTGGAGGGGTGGGGGCCGGGCAGAGGAGAACAAACCTACCTTGCACAGTCCGGTCACCAGCGTGAGGTGACCATCCAGCGGCGCACAGGATCAAAGGTGGCCGTGTCCACCGAAAGCGTTTGAAAAGAGCTGGGAGAGCGATGTGCCAGGCGTCGGGATGAGCGCATGTTGAGACTTCAAGTTCCCCCAAGTGGAAATGGACGGGGCGTTGTGACAGTCTCCGCTAGTCCCGATGGAGGTTAGTGGAATCACGTGTATCCCACGCTGCGGCTCTTTGTTCTGAGTCAGCAGCTTGTTGTCGCTTAAATTAGCGGATCTGCGGATTTTCCGCTCCGATATTTAATCTCGTCCGGCACCAACGACGATTTTTTTTTTTCCTTCTCCCGCATTCCATCTTCTTCACTCCCCAACAATGCTGATATCTTTCTCACCACGGACAAGACCATGTTGTTATGAAAATTATGATAATGTCTCGCAGCACTTTATTGATGCTCTACTAATGTATTCAACACGGGATGGGACCCGTGTACTGGCTTGTAGCCAATGATTGATGGTCAGTACAGTACTCACTTCCCACATGCCCTCCGAGCGTCTCTAGGATGACAACCCTTCTCAATACTTCTTTCATACCCTGAGTCGACCTTGAAGAAACATTCGGACCTTCCCTCTCCGGTTGGTCTGCTACTTGCCAGTACTTTTTGTCTGATTACATCTACTATCCACACACTATCGTAATTGCCCTTGAAAATAGCTATTGGACTTGATGCTGATGAAGAGGCTGTTAATAGGTTTCACATTGAAATCTTCAGATGCTTTCAACTAACTACAGGGTTTCGTTTTTCTTCTCCCAATACAATCTCTAAAAGAGTCTCTAATGTAAGTCGAAAATTCCCCCTTCATTTTACATCTTCCTTGCCCCCTACCTCTCATGATGAAATTTTTTCCTACATTCGCAGTTTCCACGCTAGCCGTCGCATGAACCTATTAAGTCGACGTGTCGTTGAGCGGACAATTAATTGCCTAACCTTGGATGTCTGATTTTTTGCACCAATCTACAATTATTTTTGCATTACCCAATTATTTCTCTATCAAATTGGCTAACGTACGCAATTCGTCTTAGGCATATATTACGTTTCGCGTTGGCTAAACGTCAGCCTTGATATTTATCACACACCTTCTTGAAGGCTTGAAGAGGGTAATCACTGAGATATAAGCAGGATCAACATGCAATTGTTGGCATTTCTAAATCATAAAATAGTTTAGTTATTGCAGCAATATGATTTTTGTTCATAGTCTCCATCGAAGAGTTCATTTTTCAAATACTCCCTCTGGGCTTTTTGGGGTTTCAAGTCGTGAAATTTTTTTATCACATCAAATAAAATGTGTTCTAGAGAAATTCACGTAATTAGCTTGAGGTAATAACTGCCTATTCGCGGAAATACCCCAAACATCTATATGTATATATTCTCGAGGCTGTGGAAAAGGCGGCCTGGAAAAAGATAGAAAACTCTTTGGAATATGCAAAATAAATCTCTGATATTGAACGTGGGTGTGTCGAGATGGATAGGTACGATTAGATCCCATTATGAAGATTCACATCGAACATCAAGTATTCAAGAAGCTATATACACTAAGGCTAACAAAACAACCAAAGAAAAAAGAGGGAGGAACGAAACCAATCGGTCTCAAAAGAGGTATGAAAATCCATCAAATATGCAATCTGAGAAATCTGTACCCTCTCAAGCTCTTAAGCTCTCAAGTATATTCCCATTCCGTCTATATGTTCCTTAAAACCGAATCAATACCGCCCGGCCGGCGGCGAGGCGGAGAGCTCTGCTATAGGAGCGGCAGAATTATCGGGCAGCTCCGCCACGTGGGCCCAGTTAGAGTGACTGCCCGCATCCTTCTCTACAACGGAAAAAGGGGGTGGCGGCGGGTAGCCGTCTGGCGATGTTGGTTTGGAATCGAGCTCGCTGGGACTGGGGTGGTATTCGTGTTTTTTCGTCGGCGCGAATTGCGCCGGTTTTTCTGGCGGTGGTGGGGGGAGAGGATTATCATAACTGTTGACTGGAGGTGCGGTATCTGTCTTAGTTCGACGTCGACGGTAGGCTAGGAATCCAAAGGCGGCTAGGACGCCGACGCCTGCGCATACCCCAATCGCTGTCCCGGCAATTGCTCCTCCGGACATTGATGAGCCCCCCTCTGACGGCCCCGGCGATGCTGCTTCTGGGTCCTCTTGATCTGTTGGTGATGGACCGGGTGTCACATCAGTCCCCTGCGCTGTGATACTACCCTGAGTAGAGAGCGTTGTGGGTTCGGCAGTTGTAGCAGTTTCTCCAGTCTTTCTTGAGGTAGAGGTCTCATTGGCAGTTGGTACAGGCTTTTTTGAGGACTTGCTATCCGTTGCTGTGGGGTCATTTTTCTTCGATGTTGTCGTCGTCGCCGACGGCAGCCGCTTCGACGCCCTGTTGTTACCATTGCCGTCGATCGTGTCGATGAGATACGACCTCACCCACGGCTGGCCTAAGTTCCTGGGACCCCAGACCAGACACGACCAGCCGTTTTCGTCCTGGCACTTATCGTCGGCGAACATATGAACGCAAAATTCCGTGCCTTGGGGATCAAATTTGTACTGCTTCCCTTTTGACATATTGATCTCCGAACAACCTTTTGTAGTTCTGCCCGTATGGAAATGTTCTGCATTGTTTGCATCGTGCCAAAGCAAGGTCCACGCATGAGACACGCCGACCAGGAGGAAGATATTGAAAGTGAAAAGTAGTAGAGATTTCATTGGGAAAGAGAGGCAGCTGCAAGGAGGCAGCGCTGTGCAATGCAGCTTGGGGGTGTTGATCAAAAGGACATAGGACGGCGGCAATAGACCTCTTCCAGCAAGCCGACCTCAATAAAATCGCCTGAAGGCTTCTGGAGATCGAAGAAGAATGGCCTTTCTCCGTTAATTTGGACGATTTGAAGCGGTAATCCTAAGGTATCATTGTTGGGAGGGCATTCGAATCACGAATGACAACTCGATGGTAAATATTTTCATGGGGAAGTTGGCGATTGAGCCATGTCAAATGGAGAGGGAATTCCACTTATCAAGCGTCCCCAAAGACCAACTGTAGTTAAACGGGGAGCCCGTGTTTTTCGTATTCCAGCCGCACTAGTTTGCGACGGAGCCTTGTCCTTGGCGGGTGATAGCGAAATATACGACCCAAGGCGATTTCCCCCCCGTATTCAAGCAACGGTTGGAAGGGTTCCACATGCAGAAAATCATGAACAAAAATAATCAACGCCATCAGCCCAACTGCGCTTATGAGGGGGGAGATGAGGCTGATTTATAAGTTACAGGGTTAGTGAGGAGCTCATTAAGCTAGCAGGAGGCAAGCTTCAGATACCATCGTCGGTGTCATTTTTTCCATCCTCTGGGGGACACAGCAAGGTGTCCTCACTCTGGTTCATCTAAGAACAGGCAATCCAAAGAAGCCTGAACCCATGCCACGACATGAACATGGATGCGATGAAGTCAAGTCGGATATATTCCAGGTTGACCGTATGTTGGATGTTGGATTAAACCTTGCTCCAATGCCCGCTCGCTGCCGGACTAACAATTCTCCGCCTCCTGGATTCTATGAAAGCTTAGTCAGCCGCCGTATCAAAAAATATCCAGTTTATCACCAACCTGCGTCAGACGAAAATCCTCGATATATTTAGGAGAGATTGAAAGCACCCAAACCACCCGGCATTGTCATCAATCATTCGTCTCGTGCTGTTTCCAACACGAGCTCGCATGTTTTTAGACGTTCCTTTTTTCCTTCACTACCGCTAGACCCGGTGGCGGCGGCTCAAAATTCAGCCCTGCATGCATTCCTCTATTCAATGCCGGCTGCTGTCAGTCCGTCAGGCATATCTGAAAGCGCCATGCCGGATTATTGGTCGTCGAAGACTCCCCTATATTACTCGTACTTTTCATGCCTCCTCGCCCTCTCGCTTTAACCCTAACGACCCTCCACCTTCCGTCGACCCTACCCTCAGTAACAATACTTCCAACACGAACCAAGATTCTGAAGGCCACACCTCACCAAAAGAGAATGCGGAGACGGTAAAGCCTGAAGTGCCACCAACGCCATCTAGGAAACCACAAGGTCCCTATGGCTCCGCTGTTCGCCGCGCCACAAGGAATAGGAGACCTCGAGAACAAACACGTAACGTCGCTATCGTTCCGGATTGGTTCCGTGAACGGAACGTGGTAGCTCAAGATACCACCGTTCAGATTGCGGTACCAACAAACCACGACGTGGAGCTAGAGCCATTGTCTCGTGATCTAGAAGAAGTGGTGAACAAACTTGCTCAAGGCGGCGAGGGCGGTGAGAATGGTGGTTCCGGAGGTCCATCCGCCGCCGGCGCTCGTTATCGCCTAGCTCTAGCCGTTTGGGACGAGCTATGTGCATCTGCTAGGGCGGGACTTAATTTACCAGCGTCTCGATACATTGATGAACCATCGGCGACCAAATCGCATTTGGTCCTGCAGTATCCTGGAGATGGAGGGATTTTCTTTCTCGACGCTGTTGTCAAGAAGTTGGCGGCAAATCTTAAGACCAATCTAATAACGCTAAACGCGCAAGATATTGCTGAACTCTACGCAGAACAGGATCAAGCGGAGGCCGGGGTCCCTAGCTCTATTGCATCGATGGGATATGAAGTTTACCAGTCAAGGAGAGCTTCAAACCCTAAAGAACTTGAGGAAGAAATGGAAGAGGGAGATGAGGATGATAGCCATTCAGCCGAAGAGGAGGATCCAGACATAATACCCAGCCGAAGACAAGATCGTGAGACTTCATTCACCCGAACGATTCCTTTGACAAGTATCCGTGGCTCGGACTTCCTGCAAAACCTCCTGGGGGCTCGGGGTTCCGTAGGTATGGCCAAGGTGATTATTCCACGCCCTCAGCGCGAAGACTTAGAGTCCAGAGAAGAGCTCAGATGTCTACGCATTGCCAATGAACTCCTTTCCATCCCCTGCAAGCATCAACCAAAACCACCACCCGCGCCGGAAGGCCAGAAAGCGTCCGAGTCAGCTCCCGAGTCAGTTCCCGAACCAATCCCTGAACAAGCCAAGACTACTACATTCAGACCAGATCTTATCGTTCAAGTTCAAGACTACAAAGATATACAAAACACCCGCAGCGGATCCATATTTCTTCCCCTTCTTCATAAAGCAGTTCAATCTAAGAGACGGGAAGGACAGAGGGTTATAATCATCGGCACTGTCTCCGGAAAGCAGCCGGAATATCCTCTTGGGAAATCGTATCCTAAACTTGTACAGAGAGACTTCAACGACGAGTTTGCCAGAACAATTGTTGTTACCCCTGCAATGAGCCCACAGGTGGTCGAGACGGTATTTTCAGAAGACATGAAGCGAAGAACCCTTGAGATCAACGTGCGCCACCTGCAGAATATGCTGAGGGTTAGATTAAACGATCCGCAACTAGTAGACACAAGCCTCCTCCGCGGCCCAACCTGGCCTCTGGACACTGCCGCCATCGCAAGCTCCGGTCTTGATGACGGATATTGGTCCTTTGACCGTGTTCACCGGGTTGTGTCGCTTGTGTTGGGTGGTGTAGAAGGCACCGGAAAACTTGATCTTCAGCACATACAACGCAGCATCGATCTTGTGGACAAAAGCGATCGAGCAAAGGGAGACTGGCTCGCTGAGAAGTATCCCAAGGTAAAAGCTACGTCGACAGAACCGGACCGGGAAAGTCTCTTGAAGCAGTTACGGAAGACATGTAACACTCATGAGAAAAAGCTACTTAACGGCGTCGTCGACGCTGAAAGCATCCGCACAACTTTCGATGATGTCCACGCACCCCCGGATACAATCGAGGCTCTCAAAACGCTCACTTCTCTCTCGCTGATCAGACCCGATGCGTTTACTTATGGTGTCCTTTCTACCGATAAAATCCCTGGCTTGCTACTCTATGGCCCCCCAGGAACGGGGAAAACGATGTTGGCCAAGGCCGTCGCGCGACAAAGTGGTGCCACTGTGCTCGAAGTCAGCGGCTCCGAAGTTTATGATATGTATGTGGGAGAAGGGGAGAAGAATGTGAAAGCCATCTTCACATTAGCCAAGAAACTCAGTCCCTGCGTCGTTTTCATCGACGAGGCAGATGCCATCTTTGGTTCTCGAGTTGCAGCCAGCACACGAACAACACATCGAGAACTAATAAATCAATTCCTACGAGAGTGGGATGGCATGAACGAGCTCTCCGCCTTCATCATGGTAGCCACGAATCGCCCCTTTGATCTTGACGACGCTGTCCTCCGACGACTCCCCCGGCGTCTCCTGGTAGACTTGCCCACCGAGCAAGATCGTTTATCAATCCTAAAGATCCATCTCAAGGAAGAGCAAGTGGACCCTTCAGTGGATCTTGCCGAGCTAGCCAGCCGAACGCCTCTCTACTCCGGCTCGGACCTGAAAAATATGTGCGTTGCAGCAGCTCTAGCATGCGTCAGAGAGGAAAATGCGCTCGCAGTCAAGCACACAGGCGAGGAGCCGTACAAATATCCCGAACGACGAACCCTCACCAAAGCCCATTTCGAGCGTGCCATGGAGGAGATCAGCGCGTCGATTAGTGAGGATATGTCGTCTCTTTCCGCCATAAAGAAGTTTGACGAGAAATACGGAGACCGCAAGGGGCGGCGCAAAAAGAGTGCTGGATGGGGATTTGCAGCTCCTGGCGAGGCGCAGAAGAGCACGGAGACTGGACGAGTGAGAGAGTGATTATTAGGGGCGCCAAGGCAGGCAGGGAAACTCTGGGACATATACTTCCATGGGTATTACCACGGATTTACTTGGAATTTTGATTTGATTTCGTTTTATGTTGTCAGTGGGCTGTGGTTGCGTTTCATTTTCATTTGCTGGTGCACACATATAGAGTCCTCTTTGTAAAATTAATGATAGACATGTACTTCTAGTTTGACTTCTATTTTATTTTTCTTAAGCCCAAAGAAAATAGACGAATAGCGTTATTTCCTTCATACATCCTACTTTATTTTTCGCCAACCGTAAGGTTTGATGCAGGAGGCGCTGGGGTGTGTCATGTGAGCAGGATGGCCTTTTACGGGGTTTTCGCGGGGAAAAACCATATAGATGAATCTACCATCTACCAGAGTGATTCGGATATTCCCTTGTGCAACCGACCAAAACCTAATGAAGTAACGACAACGTAAACGAAGCTTCTCAATATCCGCGCTTCAAGGAGCCTGACTACACACAGCCCACAACCTCCAACCCTCGTCTCCATGTCTCAGGAACAGCTTTAAAAAGTGAGACCTTGACACTCGTGACACTCGTGACATCCGTCAAACAAAATAAAAGAATGAAAAAGCGGGAACAAATGGCCCTTTCAAAATCGGAGGAATCCCCTTCTCAACCTCGTGCTTCCGTTTTCGCCTCGTTGCATCGCAAACCCCACCCCGACCCCAGAGGTGGCACAGATGGAGCAGCGGAAAAGGCGCTTGAGACGCGTGTCGAAGCCATAAAAGCTGCGAAACGTTACCTCCTCGAAACAATCCGGGATGACTGGTCCTACGAATACCAATCTGCTACTCCTCCTCCCAAGTCGGACCCCAACCACGTGTACGTGCCATTACAACCGCAATCATCTATTCAATGCGACACTTCAGATGGAGGAGTACAAGTACATGCGCGCCAGGTACGGGAATGGCGGGAGCGGGAACAGGATAGCTCTTGTTCGGAGAGCGGGGGAGGTGTGGGGGTATTTACGGGAATATGTCCGGGACCGTTTAATTTACTATCAGCTTCACCTAAGATGAAAGACTCTTACAGGTTTCAGTCCCCGGACGCCGTGCGGGAGAGTGTTTTGGAAAAAAAAAGGAAGCGAAGGAAGGTTGTGGAGGAAGAAGCAGCATGGAATGAAGGGTTGAGGATATGGATAGAGAGGCGGGATGCGTGGACGGGGGCTATATTGCGCAAGCCGACAGCAGTGAGTCAGAGGAGTGGATCTATTTTGGGTGCTACAGGGAGCAGTGAGGCGAGTGGTGCTGGGAGCTGTGCCAATGAGGAGAGTGAGGATGTGGATATGGCTCCTCTGGAACCTTCCGAGAAAGGGGATACTTCATCGCAACCGCTATCTTCCTCAGGCACAGATATGCAGACAGCAAAAGCTCGGATAAGTTCGCCTCCTGATTCACTAGGCAATAAGGGAATCAACGGAGCCGCCTCGCCCATCAATACCTATACCAATCCCGACTTTAACCCCAACCACCTGCGTGTTCCAGATTCTGAAGAACCCCTAATCCCCGTTGTGGAACCTCTCCTCCCAATCACAAACCCCGTTCGGGCCTCTATAAAGCCCGCCATATACCCATCCATCTACAGCAAAGTCGTCATCCAATCCCTAACACCGGCCATACCAATAAACCTCTCAGATGTTACCAAGGCCCTCGTCCAGGGCTGGAAGGCGGATGGTGAATGGCCACCAAAACCAACCGTCACCCAAGACGTATCTATCGTGAAAAAAAGGCTAGGAGGAAATAAACCTCCTCCCACCGAGGATGCAAGGAAATCCAGAGGGCTGAGTGGTTCAAGTGTTACGGGTGCCGTGAAGAAGGTTCTGGGGTTATCTGGTATCAACACTGGCCGCCGCTTCCACATTCGTGGCGGGAGCCATGTCGGTGCGGGTACCAGTGCGGGTGCGGGTTCACCGACTGCATCGGGTGTTGCGTCGAATGAAGTTGCGGAGACACATTAGTTTATGGTGAATAAAGTTGAGGCGATGAAGATATATGACGAGGACACGTGCATGTGGATTCTAGCATTGGCTGTGCGTTGTTTTTCGTTGTCTCTTTTTGAATACCTATCTGCATCCAAAACATGATTAATGATGACGACGGCGACGATGATAGTGATGATGATGAAATCATAGCGTCTTTGTACCACGTTTGACTTTGCACACTCCATATTGCATAGTGCATGGTGCGTTGGATTGGGGACATCTGTTTTCGGGTATATTGTGTTTTTCTATCTAGGTTAATATTCCATCATCTCAACTTCAAGATATCTTGTTTCTTGATCGTGGTTGCTGTGGGCGTTTAATCGTGAAGCTACAAGGGTACTGGAGAGTTATCATAGCCGTTTCACTTTGTGTATTTAACAAATACATAAAAAGCGACCGATTCCTCCTTTACCTGTAAAATTAAAAGTCATGATCTACGTTGTTTGTAGAAACAACCGAATGGCCATAATTAGTTTGCTCATCAATGTATATTATATATATATATATATATGTCTAGCTCATAATCCGTGTCGTCCTATCAATCCGATGAAAAGGAAAAATCCTAGCAGAAGCAAAATCAAACGTACATTTCATACCCCGCTAATCCGTATCAGCATGTACAGTACAAACTCATAAAATATCTAGTCATAAATTCATGATTGCGCTAAAAGGACGAAGAAGAAAACGCCATCAACCTCTCCATAGTCCCGAAATATATCTCAACAGTCTTGAGAAATGCCGCTCTTGCGGTGCCTACCGAGCTGCAAGCGGGATCACTGACGACAACCTCCTTTATCTGCTGAGTATGCTCAGGGCGAACGAAATATTTCCCATTATGAAACGACCAACCGTCCTGGAACCGGGATTGCAGGGCACGGGCGGCAAAGCCGCGAGCATCTGCAAAAAAATGTGGTGCGGAAGAATGATTACTTTTTTGGCCGCTTTCAGTGAGGACTAGGTCAAGCGTCTGGGGGCCAACAGCGTCCGCGGGATTTAAGAGAGTGCAGGCTGCGAAGAGCATAAACTGTTTGAAGATATCCACGTATGCGACGAGGGTGATCGCCTGGTCCGAAATTCGGTCGAGGTAGTCGATCACAGGGAGTGATGTAATTATTGTTTCGAGAACGGAAGTGACCGTAAGCAAAATATGGGGTTCGTCGAGCAGGCCAGGGTGATCTACTAAAAGACGAAGAGCATTGTCAATTGCCTCAAAGTAGCAGATCAGTGCCCCTACAAACATGGAGACGTTCTTGACATCGCATGTGTTGATGAATACAATCGAACCCATTAAAACCCGCGTTAACGACTGCAATAGAGGCCGCGCTACAATCCATGCCCCGGGAGCGATGAGACATATCTCCACATAAGCCGGGAGGATGCAACGGAGCATAAACAGACGGATAGTGGGGTGGTGGCGTTCACTGGGCTCATTGGACTCTGACATGACAGAGTAGAGTTGATCAACTAGGTACGACTGCTGGCCGTCAACCGCCGCTCGTTCAGATACATGGTGAAGAAAGGTGAAGAGTTCGTTCGCAACCTTGCTAGATGTGAACCGAACTGCATAACCCTTCAATTTGCCGACAATATAGTTGGGATCATCCACTGGAAGGGGAAATGTGCTTGGATTTGTGAAGAAAGGATCAATCAGACATATCCTCTGTGAATGTTGCTGGAGAAATGCAACAACTCGATGTACAAAGTCGACGTATGAGGAATGCACTGAGGAATCAACATTGCCCAATTCACTATAATTTGACTTCATCTTGCTCATCAATGTTTCAATGAGCCCGCGATACCGACTTCTAGTATTTTGCATGGCATGTGCACTGAGATCTTCCGCATCCGACAGATGTTCCCGCATGTTGGAGAGAATGCACGATATAAGTGACAATCTTCTTTGAGAAAATTCCTGCAGAGTAATCTCATACCGACGCTTTAACGGATTTTTTGAGAAAGGAAGATTCTTTAGGAGCGCACTTGAGGCATCGGTGTTCATGATGGCATTAGTCAATGCATGCTGATACTTCAGCATTGACCCCCTTTCGACGATGCATTCCACCCAATGGTTCAATACCTGGTTTTCGCATTCTGTATAAAATTCCGTGTCCTTTTCGATCATGCTTGCGAGAAAATATGGCAAAAACTTTTGTGTCTGGTTGGTGGCCCTTAATGAAGCCCAGGAGTCTTCACTGTATTGATTGACGTAGCTGCTCCATTCTCGTAATCCGTGACTCACAAGAGTATAGGCGACCGACGACCAAGAATCAGCGACTTTAAGAAGTACCGTGTCGTCTGGAGATTGGTCTTCACCATAACAGGTGGAGAGAAAGCGAGATAACACAGGGCGAATGACGGTATTCAGATGCTCAACAGGCGGGGCTGCCCCGGGTGTTCCCCCTTCTTGCGCATACAACTCCGCTACAACCGCCCAACCCTCAAATTCCTGACTATCATCGCTTGTTTCGGTAGGTCCTGTTAATATTTTGGATTTAATGGTAGTATTTGCGTAGGCAACCATGACGTCTAGCGTCTTACATATGAGTGCATATAAGCGGGTGACCCTGGGGTTGAAAAGCTCGAGCAATCTGGCAAAAGGGAGTTTCTCCAGTAGAATTTTGGCTTGGTCAGGAGTTCGTGCCGCCTCGATTGCAATTTTCAAGTTGACCAGGGCATTGTCTAATAGGCACTCTATTGGTTTCTGGTATTCAATGACAGTCTTTTCGACGGTATGGCGAGAAAACAATGAATTTGAAGCGACTTGGGCTTCTATATCAGTTCGCGCATGGGAGTGCTGCTGCAACATGTCAACAACAAAAGAAGCATGCCAATCAGCAAAAGGTATTAATCCGGCACTGTCTTCTTCCGTAGATAATTTGAATCTAACCAGTCTCAACCAGGAATGAATGTTAATGCTGCACACCTCCTTATGAGCCGTGGCGGGATGTACAAGGTTGCGTATAGTTTCAACTCGTGGTCGACAGGTGTCAGGGGTAGCCCAGTACAGCGTACAGAGAAGGTCATGGTGGTTTCGTAGGGCGTCAAGATCCTCCAAGCGGAGAGGTTGGTCTTTTGGATACTCTCGGCCATGATTCGGTAGCAGGCGCCAGGCAAAATTTCGGAGCTTTTTCTTATCGTATAGGTCAGTCATCCTCTTGAGGCCTAGGGCTATAGTTTTGAGCAGGATATGGAAACAGCTATCCCTGGGTTCCATCTCTAGCGTTGGTTGTCGATCAAGTTCGTCTAGAAATTTTGGTGAGCCGAAGGATTGCTCTTGGTTAAGGTTGTGAAGCCAGTTCGCGGCGAAAAAATCGAAGAGGGTGTCTAGTATAATTTTGCTATGCCGCCAGCCCCAACTATCAATCAAGTAAAAACAACGGTGGAAGAGCGCTCGACAGTAATTGTTGAACGCTGGGGAAGAGCTTTTTGAAGGAAGTGCGTAAGTATCAAAAACGGGCGATACCAGACGCTTGACCGTCTGCCACTGATCGAAGGTTTCTCTAAATCGGTGCCCCGGGCGGAAAATTCCGAGCTCGTCAAATTCGTAAAGTGGAAGTGTCGTGAATACTCCGTGCCATAATTTCTCTAATTCACGGGCGTCATTGGGCAAATTTGAGCAAGATGGAGGCGTAATGGCCTGCGAAAGAAGATCTTGGTTGGTACCGCAAAGCATCGGGTCTGTATAAAATATCTTCTGAACAACGAGAAATGCTTCCACGAAGGGATGATCGTCTTTGATTCCAGGCTCTCGCTTCTGCTGCCATTTAACATCCGCCAGAAACTGCTGAATAGCTGCTAATCCTGCATTGTTTAAAACGCCTCGTAGTACCCGATTTTGAATTGTCGTCATAATGCCAACGATTTCAAAATACTTGGTAGACTGAATCAGTTCATGCGAAGCAATTTGGCGTATTTGATTGGCAAATACATAAGTTAAGACTTCCAATTTCATGCGGAACTGTGTAGCTGTGGTGGAGTCGCATGGATTGACTGCGATTGAGAATTGCAACGTATCCGATACTTTTGATAGAAGAGCTGTGCATCTATCGACAAACATGCATCTATCGACTGGGTCCATAAACCATAGTTTGTCACTCACATATGCAATAATAGAACGGAAGGTATCTAACGTCCGGCTTACTCTTACAACAGAATCACGCGAGATACTCTCATTGGACCATTCGTAATTGCTGGCCGCTTCTAAAACCTTATCCAGCAAAGCACCAAGCTCCGAGGATACGGTCTCGCTCCATGGACCCCACTGGTAGCTCTGATCAGCGTGCTGTATTATAGCACGGCCACTATCATGGGCAAAGTTACGAGATGAGAGCTTCATGGAGCGCGAAAGATCACCACTCCCAATGAATGTCGATGAATGGAAAAAGGTACCAACCGGGAGGGGGAAAATGTCAAAATTGATCGTGTAGACCGCCGAGGAGGGCCTGAGACCCTTTAGAGGAGGGCATTCGCTGACTTCAATTGGTTTTACGGAAAGAGTTTCTGCCGCACCGTTATCAACACTGATGGCCTGGTGACCTTCAACACTTTCCACATTGAGATGCTGGGGAGGGCGTTTTCTTCGTTGACGAGGTCGTCGTGTCCGGCCTTGTTCGGGAGAGAGCACAACGTCATTAGGGGCGCCGGAGGGCTCATGGGATGTCGTTGAATGGGTATTTTGTGACACGACACCTGCCGTTAAAAACCTTGCCAGTGGTAAGCTGGTGTTTCTGCCCTGAACCGAAGCTGTAGTTCTGTATAGTGAGTTGAGCGTAGAAAGTGAACGTTGAAAGCCTGATGTACGGTCAAGGCTCGTCACTGAGAGGTCCAACTGTGCAGGTCTGGGTGCATTTCGCCGAAGGGATGAAATCGCATAACCGCCTTTCCGTACCGTCCAGCGCTGGCCAGCCTGGCGTCGACTGCGTGAAGGGCTTTGTGGGTTTAGACCTCCTTCCCGCGACGTTGAATGCAACTCTAAAGCAGGTTTGAGTTGGCCACCTTTAGCACTTCCGGCGTCGACATCAATCCGAGGCGAGTGTACCGTATCCGTCCGGGCCTGATGTCCTATATTTTCATTGCGTTCGATATGGCTATGGCCCGCCACGCTGCTATTATATGACTGTCGAGGTCTCTTTGCTGTATGATTGCCTGTGATCCTACTCTGCTGAAGCGAGCCTGCCTTCCATTCTGCTAGTGATCTATTGGCATCCTCAGTGTCTTGTCTTGTTCCAAGTTTTAAATATGTCCTTGTTGGGCTTTTCCGGCCCTGATTTCGGCGGGATCGCGCTTGTCGCGCTGCTACGCGGAGAAATTGCGGCTGCTCCCGAACTGGTTGATCCTTTACGTCAGTTACATCTAATATGCCTAATCGTGGAAGCCGGAATTTCGGCGGCGCAGCTGCAACGCGTGGTCTTTTAAGGGTATCTGTTATTCTCGCTTGGTGCTGCGGGCGTTGCCTCGACATTGAGGCTACTTGAGAACGTGGGCGTTTCTCGCGGTTGAACCCTAGAGTGCGATGCTTGTCGCGTTGCTTTGCTTTCCTTGGAGCTGGCGGTAGCATGTAGTCAATACGGTTATCTTCAGGAATGTCATCAGCATCGTCTCCTGCAAATAAATCACCTGTGTCCATCAATTCTGAGAGAATTTCACCCGAGGTTTGATCAGCACGGGTTGGCTCATCGTCGGAACTTGAGTCATCAGGCATGAGGAGAGCATTCGAACGCATTCCTTGGTTATGGGTATTGCTTCTATCTCTCATTATTCTCCGGGCCACACCTTTACCGCTCTGGCGACGATTGCGTAAGTAGCTAAGTCTTGCTTTCTCGGCCGCTGCCTTCTCCCTTTCCTGTTGCTGTTTAAGGTCAAGTCGTGGCCATGAGGCCGGTAGCACCCCCTTAATTCTCCGCCTAAGCCGTTGGATTTCAAGAGTCGCATGATCTTCTGGTTCGTCCAGGTCTTCCGTTACTTCTGGTGGGTCTATTTCTTCCACATCATTAACATCTTCCATCGACGGTAGCAATTGTGACTGTGATGAGTTATTTCCCGTTTTCGAATGAGTCTCAAGATCAAGGCCCAGTGAGTCGTCTATCGATATTGCATCCAAATTTACAGTCCTTTCTGGCTTGTGTAAAATCGGACTGACTAGCGGAGAAGGGCTGCCGCCACGAGGGAACCGGAATTTGGCTGATTTCTGAAGCCCATTAACCGGTGATTCTTGTCCAAACGGGGGCGAGGACGAGGGAACATCGAAGACATCCTCAGGTTCAAGTGGCGGAGTTCCCATCAATCGATTGTCAACGACGACCTGTATTTGGTTTGGTCTAGCCGCCTGGGGCTCATTTCCACGGACCCCGCTATAAGTGCGAGATATTCTTCTACGCTTCCGGTTGGAGCCATTTGCATCACGTCTCGACAGTGGTAATTTGGTAGAGCTTGAAGGTATGGGGCCATTTCTGGAATTGCCTGTCTGAGAGGAATCTTGCAGTGGTCGTGTAGGCTGAGTTAATTTCTTTCGTTTGGATCCCGCAGACGGAGATCTAGGTGGGAACCGGAACGACGCTGCCGGGCTGCTCGATGGAGGGGCATTTTCATCCACGAACTCCTGGCCTTGAGACTCTTCCTGGCGATTAGAATCACTGTCTGCGGGTGCTATACGAATCGGGCGTATATTGTGACTTGCACACCATCTCTGGTATTCCACCTTGTCCGCTAAGTAAGGGTGGAGGTTGATGAAATTCCGACCCCGCAGCGTTCTCTTTACTCCCGGATTTCGAAAAGATGGCGGGGTTTGCGGATTCGACGGAGCGGGTGACAAAGACGAATCTTCGGTGTCATTCCCTCCATCCTCCTTCGAAATTTTGAATTGCGAGTCCTTTTTAGCTGGAGTACGTGGTCGGAAGTGTTCCTCGAATTGTAACTCATCAGGGGAGGAACTCCGGTCAGTACTTGATGGGAAACAATGAATGGCATCCGAAGAAGATGTGGTGTTTCCAGTAATGGTACTGGGTAACTCAACCCTCGAGATAAAATTACTCAAGCCATCATCATATTGGAGCGGGTCTTTGTCTAGATCATCGCCCTCAGAAGGTGCGTTACCAAATCCCTGGGTAACGATCTGAGAATCGGGATTCTCCTCCACTTGTTCTTGTGCCTGGTCTCCCAGGGGATGCAGATCCTCCGTGATAAATTCCTGTCTATGCGTATTGGATTCCGTTATCTTTCCGGCCTCTTCAGCCAGCCTATCCGTTTGCTGTTTCTCGAAACGTTCGCTGCAAGATACTGAGAGATCATGGAACTCCGGGCCATCTTGCACCTGATATCCGAGTTTTCCATGCGCACTCGCGTGCTCCGTAGAATGTTCATCATCCCCATGTGAACCGGGTGTCAAAGTCTCTCCGGTCCCTTCACTTAATTTATTGCTTTGCTGACTGTCGAATTCGTCTTCCTCATCCGAGTCTGGAACAAAGCCACGCTCTCGCCATAATTCCATTTGCAAGCCAACAGTGATAACCCATCGCCTTATGCTGTCATAGTAAATAATAAGTTAAATAAGCGGAATATATGGTGTTAGGTGAATTCGAAAAGGGTTTTCGCAAGTTCGTTGGCGGCGATTGGAAACGTTGTATTCGACGCGTCGTGAAACACGCGACGGCAATCGCGATCAGTATCACGTGATGTCGGCTTGCGATTTTCTAAAATCCTAGAGCATGCAAGCAGTTTTTTTCTCCCTCCGGGATTCGCTTTCGTTAACTGATCAATTGCACAAACAATCCTTGCCTACGATGGGTCGAATGCGTGGGTTCATCCCAGTTGCCTTAGCTGTGGGTTTTGGTGTCCTCAATGGTAGCTAACTACCCACCTACCATCTTTTCCGACTTCCCACCATTAACTTTTGAAACTGTAGGATATGTGACATTCGCGCCGTCGTTTCTGAGCTTAGAGGCGGATAAAAAGCATGAGAAGGCACAGTAAGCTTTACTCTAATTGCCTCTGAATTGGCTTGCACACATAAATGCGAACTTGTGCTAAATAATGTCGATGTCAAATTATAGCGGGACGGAATCAGCAACGCCATCACAACCATCTCAACCGCTACAGCCATCCCAGCCAAAGCCAGTCGTGGACAATGTAGCCGCTATGCCTGAGGATAAAAATAGCACTGCTAAAACCGTATCGGAATCGCCCAAACAATAGCCGGAAGCTATCTCCGCAAATTTTTGAGGCGAAGCCAAAACTATACGATTACCGATCCGAAGGCTGTCGTATATTTGTGATTTACCATATCAGCAAACGGCATGATGTGAATATATCTACCCGCATAGACATTGAAAGCCAGGATCGTGCGGACGCCTGTAAACATAGGGCAATTTTCCATGCTGAGATGGACGTCACCTGCTGGTTCTACTAAGAGGTACCAAGCCGAAGGAGACAATATGACGATATTTTACCAGCTTCGGGCTGAAGGAATCTTCGTACCAGGGCCCCTTGCTCGCCTGGACCCTATATATACAGTCTCCTAGAGTTTGGGAATGATAGATATGGTATGAGCCTGGCGATGTGAAGAAAAAGAGTACAATTACTCCGTAAAGTTTTGACCGAAAGATGTTTAATTCACAAAATGGTCCAACAAAAATAGGAGCCAACGAAACTTTTGGGAAGTTTCCTCGAAGAAAATACTCAGCTGGCAGTGAGGTACAGGGAACGTCTGCATATGCATATATTTTTTATACGTCGAGATACTCAGGGGCTACTATATATTACACCTACTAATAGGGCTGTTTTTGTATGCAGAGTTTCCAATTTATACAAGCGGGGGTACTATTTTATAGCCCTATCCAACCGATATATATAAAAAATAACTCCACCCTTTTGGTAGTAATACACAATATGCCCGTATTGCCCTCGCCTCCCAATAAATATGAAAGCCATCCCGCACATTAATGAAAATAGTCCGAAATTGAAATGCACCTCTAAACGCCTCGCTGGTATAAAGGAATAACAGAGGGAAAGCAAAGCCATTTTCAATGGTTTTACACCTCTTCCACAAGTCGGTGGCCCCGGCTAGGCTCAGTACGCCGATTCGTAGGCATATTTCCAAAGATCCGCCCGGCTGGTGTCCCAAACCATTCCTCCGGCACCCCAACGCGACGACCATCACGGTTAGAAACATATCGTATCATTATCGGGTCAGGCTTTTCGGGTTCCTGTGGTTCTTGGGTTCTAGGGGTTGTGTCACCAGCGGCTGCGGTTTCGGCTGCAGAGATCTTGCCCCGTCGTTTGGGGGCTTGTTTTTTGAGTAATTTGTTAATTGTATCCATCTTAATTTATTTTCAGACTTGTTAGTTATGTTCCATTTGGAATAGAGAATAGATGCGCTGGTTTCATAAAAAATAGGAGAGTTTACCTTTTCTTCCTCGTTGCGTTTTTCGCTGAGGTTTTTACGTCGTCGTGCCATTTCAGCTCGTCGCATGGCATGCTCTTCAGCAGTCAGGTGTTTCTTCACCTGCGGTTCTGTACAGTTACATAAAAGTGTCAGCATCTAGTTTGAAAACCCATAGAAGAGAATCTTGCAAGTACAAAGGGTAAATTTTCTTACCCATTGGTAATTGTAGGAAATCACCCCCAAGCTCCATACGGCCTCGTTGCCGTTTAGTCATCTTCGTTACATCGGGAGTACTTGCTCGACTGGCAGTAATAGGAGTGCCGCTGTCACTCTCTACTTCTTCTTCATCTTCTTCTTCTTCTTCCTCGTCCTCTTCTTCTTCTATCTCCTCGTCTTCTACAAGCTCTGATGGCTCATCTGGCACGGCCGTTTCATCAGGTTCCCCATCGGCGTCGGCATCAGAATCTAATTCTGAGAGCTCTTCATCGTCATCATCATCGTCATCATCAAGGTCCATATTGGTGTCGGTATTCTTCAGCCTGCCACCTCCGGCAGGTGTAACTGTAACAGTCGGCCGTGCCGCAGCCTGTTTGGCGCTTGGGGAAATTGGAGGTGCATCATCCATGTCAACATCATCACCATCAGCGTCAGGATCAGTCTCGGCATCGGCATCGGCATCCTCATCCTCGCTCTCATTTGGGTCTACTTCACCATCCGTCCCATCAGCATCAGATACATTCGACTCCTCCTCTCCATCTTCATTCATTGACTCGTCCAAATCCTCATCTTCGTCTGTGTCAACTTCCACCAGGGTTTTCTTCGATCGGCTATTTCTTGGTCCCGTAACAATCACCGGTTCTGTGAAAATATTGTGATGACGTTTTTCAGGCCCACTAGTAACCTCCCTAAGCTTACTCGACGGCATCTTAACTTTTAGACGAATAGATCTGTTTGTGTCTTTAGGGGGGCTGGGTGGTAAGCGTGACACAGTAACTGATGGCGAGGACGGGGTTTCGTCCACGACTCTGTGAAATCTTAAAGTAGAGTTAGAAGGAGATAATGGCATATTGGTTATAGTGGTACGAGAGCGCAGAGTGCGCTGGGAAGGCATGATGGAAGTATGCAGTAAAATCAAATGATGGCTGGGTCAAGAAGGAAGAGAGGCCTTTCAGTCATAATCCTCCAGGCGGCGGGTTGGGGTTGAGGAAGAAGCAGGGAATTGCAACAATGAAGGAGAGAAAATATTCTAAGCACAGTGCTCGGCTGACAGAGAGGGGGACGTGTTTCCAGCTGAGCACTGAGGCGCAATCTGAACTGGTGCTATATAGCACACAAACACCAGCAGGGAATGTGCAGGAGGGAAAAAGGTGTAAATCAGCGAAAGGTCACATATGCAAAATATGCACCGCACTGGCCAATCTTTATGGGTGTGGATGTGTGGTACAAAGAGCGAGCGTTCCCGGATGCTGACAACCTCCCAAAAGTCTTCTGGGCATGACAGTCGCTGCGCGTATCTTTTATCTTGTTTGTTACTCAAGAGCCAGCGAAGCAACAACCCCGGATCATCGTTGGGATGTTATTATATTAAGCTGGCGGCAAGATTTGTCCCAAGCCTTCCATCCAAGCAATGAACCTCGGAATTGAACTTCTTATGATGAGATAGGAAATTATAAGCGCAGACGCTGGAAGACAAAATAAAAAAACATCCGGCAGACCACCGAAACAAGTATATATGCAGTGAATCAATCAACTTCAAAATCGTAAACCTTACCTGGAAGGTTCTGATTGACTTGGGGTCGGGGCCTGCCAATCGTCGCTGCTGCTGGTGCTGGCTGTCTCCGTATTTTGGTAGTACGACGATTCACGGTCAGACTGTTGGCGAGCTCGCGTCAGAGGCCTGTCTGCCATGGAATTTCGGTCTGTCCAAGGGGCGGGTGGGATGGTCGTGGATAGCGGCTTGCCACAGCCACTACGGCGAGAAGACGTGAGTTGGTGAGAATAGCTTGCGCCAGGCGGGGACAGCCAAAACGCAAAGGAGAAACTCAAATCCTCAGCGTACCAATGACCACGATGTCGGGTTCAAAGAGCTCTTTGCTATGGGGGAATGGAAAACTCGAGGATATGTATTTGTTTGAACAGCTCATCGCGAAACTGTCTTCAACCTCGTTCGAGAGAGCTTTTTGAGGTTTGGCGAGGATGGGACGGCGGTACATGGTGGCCCGCGCGGAGATACTTAGCGGGCCACAGCAATCAGCTGCTACGAGAGGTATTTCCGCGTTTCGTACAAGCCGAGGTCCATCGGGTCGGAACCTTAAATTCCCATGACAAGCGGGCAATATCAACTTCATTTCTCAGGACGACGACGGTTTCTGGAATCAGCCCTCCCTATTCTTCGCTCCGAACCTTCTTGTGCTCAACAGCTATGGGCGGCGATTCAAAGTCAAAAGCTCTGGCGATTCCAAGCTGGCAGCTTCCGCACGCGGATAGCACCACATCGAATCCTGCGACGGCGGTCAACGCTTCCAGCGAGGATAAAGAGAAGACAGAATCATCCGCAAGAGAGACTCTGATAGAACAAGCTTCCCGATTCCTGGAAGACGAATCTATACGCGATGCCCCGACCGATAAAAAGGTTTCGTTCCTCGAATCTAAAGGTTTGAACAATGAGGATATTCAAAAGTTGCTCGGTGTCTCAAGGAACCCCGAAGCTACAAGCACAGGCACAACATCGCCATCTACAGATTCCGTCAAGACCCTACTACCCTCTTCTCAGGGTCCTCAGAGCCCTCAGATAGATTCATCTAGTCCCATTTCGCCGCCATCCCCTTCAAATAACCTAAATCCGCCAACAACAGCATCAACTCCGCCCATTATAACGTACCCCGAATTCCTTTTGCACACTCAGAAACCACCCCCTCTCGTCACTTTGCAAGGTGTCTTATACACGCTCTATGGTGCTGGAGGACTTGCTGCTACATTATATGGCGCCAGTCAGTTCCTTATCAATCCAATGTTGGCAGAACTATCACGCGCCCGACACGAATTAGCGGAAACAGCCCAGCGCAACCTCTGTACTTTGAATGAAAAGCTCGAAAAGACTGTTTCCTCGATCCCGCCCATGCCCCAGAGCTCCTCGCAGCAGGATCAACAGTTAATCGATGACGATACCGTATCCAATGCCTCAGATCCAACAGAGCTGTTCCATCGAGACATAGCAACACAAACATCCCCCGAACTCTTACCTAGCGCCACTACACCAGTTATAGATCCGGAGACGGATGGCCTTTCACCCTCGGAAAAGACCGTGAATGCTCACGTCAAACGTCTTCAATCGATATCGTCACGATTAACTGATTACCTATCCGAAGAAGATACGTCTGGCATCATACACGGCAGTACGGAGAAATCTGTTGGAGAATTAAAGAACTACTTGGATGGGCTGATATATAGCAATCCTTCGTCGTATCTAGGCTCGAACCTGTATGGAATATATAATGATAATTCCGGCTCAATGAGAAGCGATGGGACTTTCGGTGGCACTAGTAAAGAGGAGGATGCGATTGCGGCTTTCAAAGCTGAGATTCGAAGTGTCAAAGGAACCTTGCTCAGTGCAAGAAATTTCCCTGCTGGTGGAGGCGTTAGATTCGCGGTTCCAGGCACAGGTGCCCGGTAGAATCTTTTCCCTTAATCCCATGTATTTCCTGTTCATTATTCCATGTCATGCTGCGTGGTTGGTCCCCCCTATTATATATCCGTTTGATAGAGCGTGTACGAACAAGATATGTATATTCCCATTGCTCAGATCCAATTCCCGCGTACTGCGCACTGTTTACTTCGGTTTTTCCCCAGCAGCTTTTAATTTTCACCATTCAGCTTGGGGGGCATTACCAATTGGGTCATTTTGAGCTATTTAGCGTATATTTGTTTCCTTTCAATGAATAACTACTCTTGATTTTCCTAAATACATCCTCCAGTTTTCTTTTCGAATCAAGCCTATACAGCTTATGTCAGGTCATTTCATCTTCTGTCACATGATATTCTTCTTTATCCATGGATATGAACAGTATCGCAGCTGGCAATCTTTCAGTTTATGTTCCCGTTTTTCATCAGCAACAGGGCTGAGATGTTCAGAACAAGCAGTTACTTTTTTGGTGTTGTGCCGGATTAACTCAGCACGTTTATTATGCGTTTAGCCTTGGTTTTATCAATCGTCGTGAGGGGAGTGGTTACAACTGCTGCCACCGTGGTGGGAAGCTGATTTTCCAATCCTCCCAGCGCGAAAAGTGCTCACCCAGCCCTATCCCTTTTGCTGCGATGGATATTCACGCCCGGGTGCAAGTTTTGGGGGTGGAGGACCGGCTTTCAAAATATCCGTCTCATGGGAGCGGCGCTGATTTTTTGGACATCTTCCCGCACCCTGTGTTTAAGGACGTGACATGGTGATGTCGGATTGACAACGCCAAACTTGCGCCAACAACAATAGGGAGCAATAAAAAGTGAACATTGAAGGTTCCACCAACTGGCTCAATTCGCAACTGGAAGAATTTCTACTCTGCAATCCGTTAGCTTAGAATCAAATACGCTGCACTGACCCGTATCTCCAGACTCCGATTCTGCACCATCCGAGCTATTTATTAATATCCTTCTCACCAGATCCAACGCCTGACTCAATGCCAAAAGGATTTGTGGGATCTTCGCAGCTAGCTTGCACTGGACTGGATTTCTCGGGTATCAGCTTACCTTCGTGGCCTTACAGCTTTGCCTCTGGAGAAATCGTATAAAGGGATGTTACCTAGCATAGGTTGCAACCCACCACTTCTTTACTGTCCACCTGAGTGCCGCTGCCTTCGTGCTGCCTTCGTGTTTCCAGTCCCTGTCAATTGGAGTTAAATCAATCACCCGCGGGGGTTCTGAGCCACAATGTGGAATTATCCCAGGGCTGCCCTCCTCGCCTTCTGGTACCTTGCCCAAGGCCTGGGGATGGCCTTCCTCGTCAAATACTCCCGTAAAGGCTCTCTCCTCCGCATCGTTGGCTTCACCTGTGTCGCTGCTGTCCAATACTTCTTTTACACTTCTTCTTTCACTCTCGGCAACAATATTCTCTACAGTGCTTCCTTAGCCTCAATGTCACCTGCTCTGTTCGCACACTGCATAAATATTCTGTTCATTAATCCCATCGATGCACAGCATGGTCTGGGGATAAGTATAGGACTAAATTTACGTGGAATCGGCACACCCTGGCTTGCAAAAAACACTCCAGAATTTCCATCCTACTATGGCGGCCGCCGCCCGGGGCGATTCACTTTCCTCCTGCGCCAGAGTGCTATCGTGATCTGGCAGTATCTGATGATTGACCTTTTAGAAGCAGCTGGTTCTGCGCAGTCTCCTGAGGAAATACAGATGGTGCAGGGTCTGGGTTCTGAATTCATGTACCTGAGTGCAACCAAGGAGCAATTGATTGCGCGCATCGCAACGAGTCTGGTTTCCAACTGCGTCATGTCCCGGATGATGGTCGATGGTGTGGCGCGGCTCCTGTCAATTATTTCTGTAGGACTTCGTATATCAAACCCTTCGGACTGGCCGCCTTTATTTAATAGCATGTGGGATGCGTATACACTGCGGAACTACTGGGGGTACGTTCGTTATAAAGTGAATCTATACCAAATACAATATGAAAGAAAAAAAAAGAACTTGAAAAGCCCCTACCAATCCATGCTCTCCGCCATATAACGATAATGACTAACACCGCAGCTACCATTTACTATCTCCGGAGTAAATTCTGGCACCAAATGCTCCGCTGGCCCTTCACCTCCATCTCCAACTACCTAACCCGTCGCGTCCTCCGCCTTCCCCGCCCCTCCTTCCTCGAACGCTACCTAAACATCCTATTCGTCTTCTCGCTATCCGGCATCCTGCACGTACCCTTCTTAGCCACCACCAGCATTTCCATTCTGGACTCCTGGCGCGGTTCAATGCTCTACTTTACCTCTTTCACCCTAGGTTTCATGATCGAGGATACCGCACAAGCCCTTTGGCGAAGACTGGGCGTCGAGAAATTGGGATCGCAACCTGCCAGTGCGGGCGTGACCGTTTTCAAGAGAGTCGTGGGTATGCTGTGGGTCATATCGTTCATGTGTATGACTGTGCCGTTCTTTGGGTATCCGGTCAGTCGTGTACCGGCGGAGAGGAGGGAGCTGATACCAAGTGGATTTAGCATTGTGAGAGTGGTTGGCCCGGAGCCGGTTCTGGGGGCGGTAGGAGTTGGGGCGTTATTTTTGAAGTTTGTCTTTGGGGCGGGTTTGTAGTTGCTGCTTATTCTTTTCTTTCCTTTTCTTCGTTTTTAAGTCCTGAGTCCTAACCGGTTTGAGACATTGTGTTTACACACTTACAAGGGGTATTTAGATAGGCATCATAGAAGAGTAGCCGGCTGGATACTCTATCTTTCGCGCGCCCGAACTCCCAATGATCGTGATAAAAAGGAAAGAATAACATGAGCAAACGCTGGAAGGACCAATTTCATCCTCGCGATTTCACATTAACACAAGGTTTTTTGAGTCACATGCAGGAGACAATCTAACAAAGCCAATAAATTCAAACTGATATTAATACGTAAAGCAAAAGGGAATGAAAAGAAAGAAACAAGCTAAGAGTTACAAACGCGGTTCCTCAAGGGTCACTCGGTCCAATAACTCAATTCATAGTCTTATAACTTGGTTCCCCTATCTCCTGTGCTAGTTTATTGTTCTGATGTTGTACTTCCGACAACACAGGAGAAAGAAATTTATAAGAAAGGGAAAAAAAAAAAACGGAAAACTGCTATATAAATGCTAAATTCATGGCGTCGCCCTGCTCATGCCAATCAACCGTTTCACACCAACCTAAAATGAAAGAGTTGTTAGCCACATCTATCCAAAAGATAGCACGAAGTACCACCCAACACTTTCCCGAATCACAAGTAGAAAAATAGTAAAAAAATAAAAACAAGGGATGGGGCAACTCACCATCCAATTCCCACACTCATCATTCCGATTCGTGAAAATATCCAAATGGATGGCCTGCGCCGTATCGTAATCGCGCGCCTGAATCGCTCGCGCAAGCTCAGCCATACTCTCCACCGTAGCAGGCTTAAGCAGATCCTCATTGTTCAGATGGTCAAAGAGGATATTCAGCCGTCGCTCCGCATCGTTGACCTGCGCCTTGAACGAGGTTGGTGCACGCGCTTTGACTCGCTGCATGTCTGCGGAGAGGATTTCGAAGATTGGTTGCGCGTTGGCGGGGATGTGGGTGCGGTCGCCCGGTGCTGGTTGCAGTTTTATGCGCGTTAGTTTTGATGTATAATATGATGACACTTTGTTTATAGTGGTTGCGGGAATATGTTAACTTACGATATTTAGCAGCTGGGGCTGGCTTCCTTTGCGATTGAGCAGTTCCTGGGCGTGAAGCCGGTGCAGAACCTGGATGTGGAGGCTCTGGTCTTCCGGCTGCAGGGGCGCTAGGTGGCGCATACGGGCCCTGCGCGGGTGCGGGAGGATGATGGTACGCATGTGGGGACGGAACTGGCGCAGGTGCAGGGGCTCCAGTGGGGGGTGGGGCCACCGCCGGCCGAGGAGGTTGAGGAGCAGATGGTTGCGCCGCGGGGCTTGGAGCGTATCGATTGGAGGGTGGTGGTCCGGATGGGGGCGCATTATAGGGTGAAGGCCCGCGAGGGATTTGAGGAGCGATCATCGCTGGCCCAGGTGGAAGGTGTTGGGTAGTCGGGGTATATGCACTTGAAGTTGATGGAGGTCTTTCAGGTGCTTGGAATCCATGCGGCTGGCCCACTGCTGGAGGTGGTGTCATTCGGGGTGGAGCAGCTGGGCCTCTAGGAGGAGGTGGGATTGCCATCGAAGTTGATTGTCTAGGGGGAGGGGGCGGGTGGGGAGACATTGCGTGCGGGGATTGCGAGGGTTGTGGTGGCTGTTGGTTGGGGAAAGGTGAGCTGATGGCACCAGCACCTGCGCTAGGGGTACCGCGTCGTGGAGTCGGGGCTTTGGCAAACCCTTCAGGTAAATCATTCCAAGCAGGCAGATTCGTAGCATAGGTATAAGATGTAACCGTTGATGGTGATTGATTTACAGCCCGGGGAGGTGGTGCGATGTTAGATTGCGGTGCACTTCCAAATGCTTGTGGTGGTGGTCCAACAGGCCCTGATGGCTGTCGTTGTTGCGGCGGTTGATAGCCTGCTGGAGCATATGGATTGCTGGCTTGCATAGGAGCTGGCGGTACGTAAGGGTTGTTTACTTGGGTCATGGTTGCGCTTGGGTTGTATATTCCCTGCGGAACATTGGGCTGCGGGAGCGGTTTCGGAGTTAACCGGGAAGTGCTAGCAGTATGCGCAGGAATTGCTCTCGCGGTCACTTTCTGGGTAGCAAGCTTGATACGATTTCTTGCGACCTCCGCGGCAGGATGGGCTTGTGGTAGTAGGTCGAGATACCGCTTTGCAATGTCCAGTTGTCCATGGGTGGCAGCAACATCAGCATATTCAAGATACTTGTCATAGAGAAGGCTAAGCTTCCAATCTGCTGGCTTTTGCTTTTCCGTATCCTCAAACTTCGTGACATGGCGGAACACAGTCACCTTCTCGATCAGGCTCTGCAGGGCCCGGACATGAATCGAGAAAGTCGTCTCATTGTCAGCGGCTTCTTGGATGCTCTTGTTCTCGTTCTCTTGCAGTTCATCAATCCAGATACCCACGACTTTCTCCAACTTTGAGCTGACCAAGAAGCAGAAAGCCGCATTTTTACGTCCTTCCTTGTCATCTTGGGCTTTGGCCTGTTCTTCGAGCCTGTCTCCTAGCGTTTCGCAGAGATCGGAGAATTCCTCATTGGTCGCAAATGTGCAGAGAGTAGCAATAGCTTCTTTCCAGTTTGCAAGGTCTGCATTATGAACAACGTCCCACAGGTTTTTGCCAACGATAGACGCCAGTAATCTGAGATAGTTCGGTCCTTCTGCTTGCTTTTGGAAGTAGGCTTCCTGGGCCTTGTCGATGCACTTTTGGCCTCCGGATATCGCAACCATAAAGGCATCAGACATCCGGTCTTCCTGGAGACATATGTCAAGCGCCTTCTCAAAGTCTCCGAGAAGCAGTGCTCGAGTTATCCCCCTGTCCGCCTCGGATTCCGACCCAGTGTAGATCTGGAAGGGATTATTGGTCTTGGCGCCTTTAGACGCAGAGAGGTCGGTGAGGAAGTTATCGCCATCGGTATGCGTATCGAAAATCGAAGATAACCGCTTATGTTTCCGGACTCCCGGCCCGCGAGAATCTGATTGCGGCACCCCATTAACCCCCTCCCCGTCACTCCTCTCTAGTCCAAGTTTCGAGAGGCTGTCAGCCGCTTCATCAACTTCGCTAGAGAAACCCAAGTAATTAATGACCTGCTTTTTCGGGTCGTCAGATATCAATGTTTCAATAACCTTCCAATCAGCCCTGTCCGAATCACCCTGAGCATTTTCAATTCTGGTTTCACATATTTTACGTAGATCGCCGACTTTAAGAGCTTCCTCAAAGGTTTGGGTAGCGCTGCTGAGAGTTGAATCTATTTCGAATGGGGTGATTCTGACTTTCGAAGCGCGGGAGCCAGGCTTTCCAGGATCAGTCAATCCAACCGAGATAACTCTACCACCAAAGCCAAACGAAACACTAGCAGGTCTTTGCAACCATTTGGGGGGCGTTGGCAGCGAAAACGTAGAAGCCTGTGGTTGCGACTGAGCCTTTGCGAAGAAGTCTTCGTCGTCGGCAGGCTGGGCTTGGCTTGCCCCAGCTTGCGCAATTGCATCGCTCTTGGTATTCTGGATGGTTTGAATGGAAATTCTACCATCAAACGAAGCCGTAGCAAACATGTTCGGATTGTGTGGGTTCCATCGTGTCTGGAAAGTCCAGTTCGTCACGACGGGGAATTCACCGTACTGAACACCAGTCTGAGGATTCCAGCAAATGGTCCGATTGTCCTTGCCGCAGGACAAGAGCAGGTCTGGATCCTGGGCACACCACGAAAGCGATAACACTCCAGACTCATGGCCTTTCAACACCTATTGCAAGTTAGTTACTCTCCGCAAGGAAGTGGGGGCTCATTTGGAGCTTACTCTTTCAGGGGCGTTAGAATTACGCAAGTCCCAAACTAAAATTAAAGGATCCGTCTCCAATGGAATTGACGTGATAAGTTTCGTTGGCTAGTTAAGACAAAAGTTAGCAAATATATGCGCATCTCAGAAAGTGAGGGGCCACAGTATATGTACCTTTTCCGGATCCCACGCAACAGCACTAACAGCCTTCCGCCCAAGATTATTCAAGGTCAGACTCTCCTTCTTGGTCTTGACATCCCACACTGTAACAAAGCCTGCGCTGCTTCCGGTAACTAAAATATGCGGCACTTTCTTGTTCCAGTCGAGACACTCAATATCGTCTTGTCTCGCAGCGACGTTCCCTAGTCGGAACGGATGATCGATATTGTTCAAGTCCGAGATAAAAAGCTATTGTATATAGGGAATTAGACCTTGCACCAATCGAGACACCACAGTAAAGAAACAGAGATTTAATGTACGAACCTCTCCCTTGCTTCCACCAGTAGCTAAAAGGTTCGAGTGTCGCGGATTGAATTGTAGGGTTTTCACGGGACCGGAGTGTTGGGAGGACCTCGTTACCAGGGGGTCACTTGGTCAGATTAGTATGAGAATACCCGAAATGCGTTACAGTCACTTGAAGAAAGTATAATTCGAGACAAACACACCTCGCTCCGCTCAACAGCTTATCAGCATTCCACAGATCCAACGACCCATTCTCCAAGGCACCTGCGATGATACCTCTAGAACTGTCGTCCGAGTCCGTCCACGCAAGATCATGAAATCTAAGTATTTTAAACCAATTAGTCCACCAGTTCTTAGAAAGAAAAAAATCAAGGAAAAAACCATTTCCTATCTCCCTATTTTGCACAAGAGTTAAAGGAAAACCGTACCCAGACTCCGTGCTAAGTTTCGCAGCCGGCTGTAACTCCGCCGCGCCTCCCTCCCGGTCCAAAGCCAGGTCCCAAAGTTCAAGGTCGGTCTCATTGGAGAAGTCCGCATCGACAGCACCGGCGCGTGTTCCAGTAGCGATGTATGGGGAGGCGGAACCGGGGGACCAAGCAAAGGCCGCTGTGCGGGGTATTTCCCTTAAACGCACCATGATGTGAGGGTGGTGGTGGACGGGGACAGGAGAAAGGGGTTTAAGCGGGACTCGGACGGGCACCCCACAGTTATGCTTGCCCAGGGGACGGGAATAGGCAATGTATATAGATGACAAAATTGAGGATCGGAGGTGGAGGTCCAGGGATAAGAAGAGAATAGGGAGCCCTAGTCAGAGGAGCAGGCTTGTTGTCGACTTAGTCCTTCAATCTCCGTGTCTGGTCTGCTCAGGATGATATTGATCCAGGTGTCCTTCTCACAGGCGCTCCACCAGCCACAGTATATCCTTGGCACGATTTTGTGCCACAGTTATGCGCCACGTGACATTCCACTGGATGGGGGAGTATCAAAAACGGGCGGGCATTGAAAGGGTAACGAGGAGAAAGACCTCTTTACTTTTCCATATTTACCCTCCAAAACCAAACATTCACAAAATGTCCCTTCTCTAGGAAATATTTGCCCGAATGAAACGTACAAACTACAAATCTATATGGATACAATAATCTAAGGGCGCGATTCCCCCATTCCACCCCTCGTCCATCAGTCCAGCTACTACCCCCTCCTGCAAAAATGTCTGAAACTGCAAGATTAAAAAGCACAATCTACGTCGGCGGGCTCGACCAAAGCGTTACAGTTCGCACTCTAACAGAAGCCTTCCTCCCCTTCGGCGAAATAGCCGATATCTCTCTCCCGAAACCGGAGATCCCCTCCTCGACCGATCTACACCGCGGCTTCGGATATGTCGAGTTTGAAGAAGCCCAGGATGCTAAAGAGGCCATTGACAACATGGACCAGAGCGAGCTGTACGGGCGCATAATAAAAGTCGCTGCTGCGAAGCCGCAGAAGGACAGCAATGAGGGACTGGGGAGTAAAACTGCTATTTGGCAACAGGTGGGTTTCTTGCATATTTACATTCTTTTATTATTATTATTGTTGTTGTTGTTGTTGTTGTTTTTTTATACGCATGTATGTATATTCTAACGCTGGTTATCAGGAGGGCTATTTGGCCCAACATGCGGTTAGCGAAGAGGACAAACTCCCTGCTGAGCAAGGCGGAGCGGAGTCGAGTAACAACAGACCAGAAGATCCCATGCAAGGCCTGGAGGGACTGGACGTTGCCGGCCCAAAGCCCGAATGATAAAAAATAATGATAACGAAATGTTTTACTGTATGCGTTTATGAATTGACCGGTTACGACAAATACACGGGAAACGCGGGAGCACAACAAATGAGAAATTTATTTCAAAGAAAAAAAAATAAAAATAAAAAAAATTGAGGATGTTGCTTTCTGGCTGTTATTTTCGGGTGTGAATGGATGGGAATGGTGAAAGCGCACACAATTTCCAGACAGGATAGATAAAAAAAAAGGATTTATATACAGGGGCCAAATTTCCTCCACACATGCATACACATACATGCCACGCGCACGGGTCTAACAATACAAATTAGAGAATCGGAAGACTCCTCCCAATCATCCTCCTCTGCCCCAGACAAACCCTTGCTTCCACAATTTATACCATTATTGGTAGTCTTTTTTCTTTTTTTCTTTTTCTCTCTTCGTTATACGCCAGACCTACTAGCAAGCCGTCCGTTGCAAATTTCCCGTTGTAGTGCTAGGCGTCTTCGGGCTTGGGTCGCGAGAGACGGAGGGTCTTGTCAGTTCTGAATTTTTTAATGATGGAGTACGCTCCGGCACCGAGGGCGACGCTGTGTGTCAAGTCGTATGGGTTAGTACTTTGTTTTGTTTGGGAAACGGTTTATCATTTTTCTCCATTTCGTAATCCTTCTCCTAGTCCGGCATTTTTGGGGCGGGTGGCGGTATTCCGGTTTATTTTTGTTTTGGCTTTTCTTTATTGCGGGGTGAGGGTGATATTATCTTACAGAAGGACGGCGCCTATAGAGATGGAATGCAAATCATCGGATTTAGTATAAGTGCAATAATATACGAGGATTCAAAACGTATTTATTTCCATTGGTTTGAGTACATACCCAGAGGGAGCAATTCCGGGGGAATCTTCTTCAGGGTTCGCAGGCGCTGCGAGACGGTATGAGCTATGTGAGCAATTACATCAGCATATTTCCTCGTTTCCTCTTTTTTTATATATACGGATTCTCATTGCAGGCTCCTAGGGGAGGAGGGCGGGCATTAAATACCGCTCAGGTCTTCCTTCTATATCGCACTCTAAGTTAGCAAAGTTCCATGGCAGATATGATGTGTGGTGGTTGAGGTATCAGGTATGAATTGACTGACAGGCAAGGGAGCTAGTCGCGGCCGGGTGAGCTGCATTCTCAGCGGGCGAGTCGCGAACATGATGACTGGGTAATCACAGGCGAAGAGCGTCTGTTGCAGGTGGGAAACTGTCGTAGCTGTCGTGAATTGAAGCTGGCAGAAAACAGAGGCAAAAGCGAGAGTGAAGTTCCCTGGAAGGTTTTATGTTGCTGTGATTTGATGTGGATGTGGAAACGGGGCGGTGGTGTGAGTCGCCACCCAATCAGCAGCCGCCGCTCCGGCTGCGTTTTTCCTTGGCTGGCCGGCTCACGGGACTGCGCTGGTCAGACCACTGACAGGCCAACCTCATCTCTTCCTTTCTCCTCCGCTGCAACATTCGACATCAACATCGCCCGTCGACCACATCCTGCCCGCCCCAATTGCTGCTGCTGCAACCAACTACTCCCGTCTACACCATGAGCAACATCCCAGACGCTGATCCTGACGAACCCGTCGAAACCAAGCCCTTCAAGTTCGTCACTGGTAAGAATCATCTCGGCCCCAATCCCGTCCCATCTCTCCCTCTCACACACAACCACACAAAATCCAATCACTTAATTGAAAGCAAACACCTTGATGAATGAACTCCTCAGCTAACTAACTCTATCCTGCAACAGCCGGTATGTAATAAGAAATCCAAAACGATTCCTACAATGAGCTGCGCAGTCATTACCCCGTGGCATCCCCCACATTCCGCTAGCCAATTGAAAAAAAAGCGTGGACTTGAAAGAGTCAAGTTGAAGCTGACCATGTTACGACAAAATCACAAATAAAAAGGCTACGATGCCCGCTTCCCCAATCAAAACCAGTAAGACTCTTCCAATACCTTTCCGTAAAGCAATAATAACTGCGATTTTTCCCAATTTCCTAATATTTCCATTATTGTCGCGGACAGAATCTGTTTTAGCTGAACACAAAACTAACCTTTCGAACCACAGAACAAAGCACTGCTGGCAAAACTACGTCGACTACCATAAGTGTATCATAGCCAAGGGCGAGGACTTCCGCCCATGCAGACAGGTAAGCAAGGCCGAAAAAGAAAAGAAAAGAAAAAATATACAAAACATTTCACGCCCCGTTTCCCAATATTTTTTGCCGGCGCGCCCCATTGCCTACATGATACCTAGGTCATGATGAATGAATGACATTAGAACAATACTAACACAATATCCTTCTTCCCCTTTCCGAGTAAACAGTTCTACCTCGCCTACAGATCACTCTGCCCGAAGGGTTGGACCGATAGATGGGATGACCAGCGCGGTACGTTTTCCACGTCATTCTATCCGCTTCAAAGCGCGTGATAAAGAAAGCCTCCACACACACTTATATATATATATATACTAATCCAATCCCCCGCTAAATAGAAGCCGGCAACTTCCCCGCTCGTCTCGATCGGTAGTCGATGTGAGCAACACTTGACGGAAAAGGAAAGTTTCATGTTTGTTTTTGATAAGAGAAGCGAACAAAAATAAGTTAGCAGTGGGAAACTAGCTCTTGTATTAAATATATTAACATAGCATGACATATCTATGAATTTACTCCCCCGCTCACCCCATTTTATGTCCCCCTCTCCTGTAATGTAGAAATGGTCAATGGGTAGTTTCGAAGCAGCACCTTTCACTGTATTGATTGGCATGATGTTTTTTGAAGGTTGAAATTTGGGGTGTTTGTTCTTATGATTTCTTATATCTCAACTTTGTTCATTCCTCTTCTCCCGTCCTTGACATGATAATTACTTTTGTGGGAGTGGCATGCATGTAATTTTATTTTTCTCTCTCAAAAAGAAGGGCGTGAGTCAAGGAAGCAGAATGAGTGCGAGCTGTGATAGGATCTGTAGTTCATATAGCTTTGTTGCTTTTTTTCTACATTTCTGTTTCCGATGTAATTAGTCAAACAGCCTTCATCTCTCTCCATAATCCCTTTTTCCTAGAATCCGGATTTTTCAATGGTCGCAATTGGGAAAATAAGAAATGAATCTAAACACACTATATTCGAAGGGACAGTGAATGTTTCTGTGGACATATATATATATATGCAAAAGGAGCAGGGGAAGGGGGAAGGAAGGTGTTGATCTACATTATTACTATTGTACATGTAAAAGAGAAAAACAGGGCAAAAGGGCCTCAATGTAGTAGAAGAAGCAATTATTTTTGAAACGCCACGATCTCTATCCGACTCTATAGGTCTATAGGTTCGCCCAAAGGAAAGTAGAAAACAAAGAATACTGTAGCTCTAGCTGTGAAAGCGGTAGTAGTAGTTGGACTGTTTGTGAGATATCATGAGCGAGGAAAATTAAGAACAAGGTTAAATAGATTGCGGTTCGTGTTTGCTTCTTAAATAGAGAAACATAATCGCTGGGGGATCCGCATTGTCGGAGAATCCAAGGTTTTTTAAGTAGAAGAAGTTAACATCGAGATATGGCATTGGAAGATGGGAGATATATGTCTGGAAGTGCGAATGTGGAAGGAGGGCGTAGCGAGGGATTGCCTTTTATCCAGATAACCTGACCCAATTCCTGATCAAGGATTACGAATATATCTCGTGTATGGTAGGTTTTTTGTTCCTTGTCTTTTTTCTCTGCCCCTTTTTCGTTCAGGCGTTAGATGAGAGAATCCTCAATACGCGGGTTCAAAGCTCGGTATATTTTCTTATGCTCTTCCAAAAACAGGAACGTAGCGATAGTCTGCGGCGCCAGGCGGATAAAACTAGGTGTCCAGCCCCGGAACATCCACGAAAACCCTTCTTTCCTAATCACCTCCTTCAACAGGCCGACGATGCCGTGCCCCTTCGACTCCGCAGGGTTCGCCGTCATTATCCTCGTCTTTATCACATCGACGGGACTGCATATCGTCGTCGCCATGAACCCGGCCATGAGCGAAGCTGTGAAGTGCGTGTTGATGTTATCCGACATACCAAAGTGCTTGATGCATATTCCCTTGAAAGTATCGTACGTGGACAGCTGGGAAGCGTTCATAAGGATTGCGCGGGCTGAATTCGGCCACAGGCCGCGGAATAGACTGGACGGGCCCTCCGAACGGACCATCTGCATCAATCCGTGCAAGGCGTGTCTGTAGTTCCTTCTCTGGGCTGGGGGCAAGGCTGCGTCGGATTGCATGCGGACGTTGAGGACGTCGGCAGGGTTACCGACCAGCCCGCCTGCTAAGCCTGCGGCTGAAGCCATGAGGACAAGGGTGAGTAGGGAAGGGGAAGATTCGGCGGAGGTGAAATGTGATTTAAGCTCCTCGTAGACTCCGAACCGGGTGGTTGAGTATGTTATTGCGCGGAGGAGAGAGGCTGAGAGCTATTTCATTTTTTGGAGGAGGACCAACTCAATTCATCAGCGCTTTTTCCTTCTTTCTTTCGTTTTTTTCTTCCCCGATTGTAAACCAGAGGTACCACAACTGCTGGGGATGGGTATAATAAACGTACACCATTGTATAGACCCAGGACCCCATTATTCTTGACGATATGAGAGGCAGTCCTCAGCATTCCAGCAGGGTCTCCTGGTTTTCGGGTCTGGAGGCGGACCTATGACGGGGATATCATTGTTTAGAGCTGATCTTCTTCACTTCGGCTACAGAAAGATCTCGAGGAGGTGATATACCTTCACTATAGTTTTTTAACTCCCCAAGATGTCAGTCACATATGTCTCTCAGCGTAGCAGAAACAAAATCAATATATATACATATATAAAAAAGGGAATGCGACATACAAAGATCCAAGGGATGCGTCGTTGCGGTCGCCATGCACGATGCAGAACCGCCGAACCAGAAGGGATAATGGCGCGGAGGAAGCGACTGTGGAGCAGACGAGGGCTTTGAACCCTTCATATTGTCGCTATCTGCCATCTTGACAATTTAGCAGTATGGTATGCACATACATCCCGCCAAACAAAGAGAGCGTTGAGAGCTATAGCTGTGCTGTTCTGTGGCTGGGCCGAGGGTGATGTTGACTCTCCGGTTGAGATCATTGAGATCATTTTTATTTTCTTAAATTCCGCCGAAATTTATTTTTAAGTCCGCCTGAAGAATACCGTACCAACCATTACATGCCACCACCCCTAGCCGTTCTAAAATTGAAATTAGGACTTTCTATTGGCTTGGTGGTTATTTAGTCTCAAAGTTACTAGGATACCGCCCAGCTGGGCAGATGAATTCACGATTAACTCGGCTCTGTGTTCGAAGAAATTCGTGATTTGCATTTGTTTAAATACTCTGCTCCGGCCTGGACTGAAGGGAACGGACGAGAACCGACAAAACGGGCCCAATTGCCTCGTCATAAGCTACCGACCAGTCGAGTCAGAGAGACATGCGGTTGCTTGCGACTGGCAGAATGCTGAGGTTGGCCTCTAAGCAGACCCATTCCACGGCAAGGACCACAGGGTATTATTACAACCCGTCGCGGAGTCAATTGGCTCCCCTCGTCACCTCAAGGTCTAGCAGCTCAAGAACAACGGGAGGAGAAGCAGCAGCAGCAGTAGCGTCAGGCTCAGCCTCGGGGGAAGCTCTAGCGGAATCGAGATCTCAGTCTGATAGCCAGATATCACCAGTCCAGATACTCCAGGGGCGCATCAAAGACGGTGACAGAACCCACCTGGTCGACGAGTGGACAAACACACCGAGAAGCATCCTGTCGCATATCGGACGCCGCCTCTATCTCAATAAAAACCATCCTCTTGCGATTACACGGCAGCTTATAGAGAGCCAATTCACCGGCCCAGAGTTTGGCAATTATGCTGAAGCAAACCCTATCGTCTCGACGACGCAGAACTTCGATGTCCTCGGGTTCCCTACAGATCACCCTGGGCGGAGTAGGACGGATACATACTACGTGAACAAATCTACGGTTTTGAGGACGCATACGAGTGCTCACCAGCACTCTTACTTCCAGCGCATGGGTTTAAACGAGAAAACACGGCCAGACGAGGAGGGGTATACTGTAGTCGCAGATGTTTACAGACGCGATGCTATTGACAGAAGCCATTATCCAGTCTTCCACCAAATGGAGGGGGCAAGATTATGGCAGCGCCCCCAAAAAGACCCCTTGAAATACTCAGCTCAAACCGCAGAGGCCATCATGAAAGACGCCGATAAAATCCCCACTCACGACGTTAAAGTCGAAGATCTAAACCCAACAATACACCCGCAAAGAAACCCCCTGCAAGCAGCCCACCTCAGCGTCGAGGAGACAGAAGCAATCGCAGCCCACCTCAAACGCTCTCTCGAACGTCTCGTCGTTAAAATCTTCTCCGCTGCCCGCGAAGGAACTCCCGAATCCTCCCACGCGGACCAGGAACCCCTCAAAGTCCGCTGGGTCGAAGCCTACTTCCCCTTCACCAGCCCCTCCTGGGAACTCGAGGTGTTTTGGCAAGGCGACTGGCTCGAAGTCCTCGGCTGCGGCGTCGTTAAACAAGAGCTCCTCATCTCCTCCGACGTCCCGCACCGCGTCGGCTGGGCGTTCGGCCTCGGCCTTGAACGCATCGCCATGCTCCTCTTCAACATCCCGGACATCCGCCTCTTCTGGTCCGAGGATCCGCGCTTCCTCTCCCAATTCCAAGCGGGCAAAATCACCCGCTTCGTCCCCTTCTCAAAACACCCTGCGTGCTACAAGGATGTTGCCTTTTGGCTACCACCTTCAGCCGCAACTGCTGCAGGCGGCCGCACACTGTTCCATGAAAATGATATGATGGAAATTGTGCGTGATGTTGCTGGCAATCTGGTGGAGGATGTGCAACTTGTGGATGAGTTTATGCAACCGAAGACCGGGCGGAAGAGTTTGTGCTATCGGGTTAATTATCGGAGTTTAGAGAGGACGCTGACGAACGACGAGACGAATAAGTTGCATGAAAGGGTGAGGCAGGAGTTGGTGGAGAGGGCTGGTGTGGAGATTAGATGATCATGGTGATAGATTTACTGTACAATATATCTGCGTATATTTTGTTTTTATTTAACCTACAATATCTTGTATTTTTAAAAAAATATGCTCTCTGGCTCATAGTTTGCTGGATGATAACAATTTTTGCTCCTTCTCACCTTTTCCAACGTACATTACAGCAATAGACGTCGCACCGTTTTGTTAATAAAGGGTGGTGATGCTTCTGAGTTGAGCTAACTAAATGTTAATTCGCAGCTTGCCTGTACGAAATGTTAAAAGTAATCAACTATCGGATCAACCGCTTCCGGATTTGATTACACCTTATTTCATAAAAAACTAAAAATAAAAAGAAAAAGTAGACACCCACCTAAGACCCCACTTCCCACTGGTGACGCCAAGGTCTAATAAAAGTAGATTGAAAAGGATCACACAAAAAGGAAGCTGGCCAAAAATCGGAAAGAGTGAGAATTCACCATATCATATATATCGTACCAAAGGTCCCAAGCCTGGCGCTGCTGATGAACACATTAAGAGAGGAGAGATGTGTAATAATGGGGAAAATATGAGAAAGACGTAAAAAAAACTAACAGAAAAGAGGAGGAAAACAAAAAGGAGACGGTAAATATCAGAGCGGTTTGGAAAATAGGGATATATATGTGTATGTGCGCGCTCCATAAAATAGTAGCTCTCAAATAGCGAAGAGATGATGAATGCAACAGATCGGAAAAACGCCGTCGTCCGTGTTGTTTCTCCCGTTTTATACAGTGATATTTTTTTTCCTGTCCGCGTCGAATACATGCATGGATATTGTACAGAGAATAAGGTGGAGTAAAGGAATAGAGCTACTAAGGATTGTAGCTGTACACGGAAAATTGTGCTGATTGTGGGGAGAAGGGAGATTACCGCCTTAAAAGTCTATATTGCTGTTTGTGAAAGCGGCGAGGTTCCGTAATAGGGGTGTGAAAGGGGAGGAAAGTGGCTTTTATTGTTCGATATCTGGATACGAATTCGTGCCTAGGAGTTCTTCACAACTCCGACTTTCGCAGCCTGTATTTTTACGGACGGTAGTGTTAGCTTAGCTCAGTAGTAAATCAAAGGAGACAAAAATAAGATCTTACCCTGAGTGTACGGCCATTGAGAATAAATCCCTTAGTTTGAGCGTGGAGCACATCTCCATCCTCTTTGCCCTCAGCCGCAGCCATGAAAGTCGCCTCGTGTAATTTTGGATCAAACTTCTGCGGTTTGCCGTCTACCAGCTCGGAGGGATCGAATCTTTCCAACCCATGCTTATTCAATGTGTTGAACAGGACACGTTCGGTCATTCGAAGGCCAGCCACCAGCTCTGTCAGTTCCCTGTTCTCCTTCTCACCCGCGCCGGAGATTTTTTCTGCAGGGACGGCAGCAAGGGCGCGGTCGAGGTTGTCAATGGAATCAAGAAGATCTGTTGCAAATCGCTGGATAGCGAAATTCCGGGCAGATTCTACCTCCCTGCGTGTACGTTCCTGAAGGTTCCGGAAATCGGCAACGGAGCGGAGATATTTATCCTGAAATTGGGATGTTAATGTATCAGATATTTGTTTTCTTCGAAACTTCGTCGTAATGCCTCCAGAAGGGGCGCCACAGGACAACCACACAAAAACCAAAAACGGACAGATAGGTCGCATACCTTGAGATCAACAATTTCTTTTTTCGCAGCTTCAAGCTCTTTCTTAACGGGGTCTTCTACGGCTTCTGGCTTCTTTTCGTTGCCATTCTCTTCTGTGGCAGTGTCTTTCTTGGGCTCTGCTCCTTCGGACTGATCAGATGAATAATATCTCTGGCATAATCGTGGAGGGAATGGTTTGATAGACTGAGAGAGTGGTTGCAAATATGCGGTTCTTGTTGCTGGCAGAACACGATTTGATGTAGAGCGAATAGACAGCACAGACTTTGCAGCCTGGCGTTGAAGCATAGTTCTAGAAATCATGGTGTATAGCTAGGGTGATATTCTCCAAGGTAGAACCGGAGGAGCTTGTGCTAAAGAAAGAAGAAGTTTGGGAGTAGTGGGAGATGAATATTGTAGATAATCTATGTATGACTAGTTACTGGAAAAGGAAATTCTAAGCTTGCGATAGAATCATAAAATTCAGAGCCCAACGGTTTAACATTTTTCCGGGCGAAGCTAAATTCAACGACGGATCAGACTGAAACTCTCTACATGATCAAAACATCTGTCTATTCTGCTTGCATCTCTACCTATGGTATACATTTTTGTAGAAAGAATACTTCATTTATTTCATTTCCTCTTATAACCAGCCTCCCATTATCTGGATCAAATCATAACAAACAGCAGGAGAACATAACATAATGGATATATACAATAAGGAAATGAACAGGGAAATCATGGAAGCATACAATTTCCAAAAGACTTGAATCCGACATCGTTGACCTGTTGCCAAAGGTTACAGCAAAGTGCCTTATTGCGCCATGCCTGATCCAATGACCACATTGCTCGTCCAGAAATTGGATTAAAGAGAAATAGAGGCAAAAAGTTCACTGAAGGAAGAAAATCATTGTGTCGTATGGAATGGCTTTCAGAGCATTTGCGAGCGAGAATTCATCGTGTGTACGAACGTGCTGTGCGGACGTGAGCCCGTTAGGATACCAGCGTGGCTGTGGGTGGAGTTGACGGCGCAGGATTGACCATCTTTTCCATCTCCCTTTCGATGTTAGCAAACAAAGTGTGCAGTTCGGCACCTGCATATATCTTAATCGATTCTACCTCCCGGCGGTTAACGCCCAGCGGAGTCTCCGCTCTCGATGGGCTTCGAGATGGTATCTGGTCATCTGCTAAAATAACACTATCATAGTGTGGAGCCCACAACGTCATTGCACCAGCCATGTGCTCAAGCAACTTCTGTCGAATACGAATCCGTTTGTTTTCAGCATGTTCCAGCTTGTAGACCCATTCGTCAATTGACTGGTCAAGTTCGGAGAGAGCTTCTTCTTGCTTGAGGATGCCTTCCCTCGAGAACTTGGAAACCCGGGGCGATTTGAGGTACGAGATCATGCGTGTGTGCAGGCTACGGCGCCCGGATCGCAATGACTTGTAAGTTTCGCGGAGATAATCGCACCTTTTATCGAGTACTCGCAATTCCTTGATACAAGCTCAGTATTGTGACAAGGATATGGAGACAAACCAATTACATTGACAAGACAAACAACGACGACTTACCCTAGAAAGCGATCGGACTTCGGAGAACTTTAGTACTTCAAATCTCTTGGCCTGGTCCCACGCCTGGTCTTTTAATCTCTCGATTTCATCGAATGGAAGCAGCTTTGGAGCAGTGTGTGCCGGGATTCCGGCTGGTAAGATCAGGGATGAGCAGTCAAGAGGTTCATTATTCGGTTTAACCGCCCTTGGACTCTCCTCCATTGGAGATTTATTCCTTGGGGGTGCCTTCACCGCGATTGAGTCTACAGGGATGTCTGGCTTGTTATCTAGCGACATTGAACCTTTTCTATGCAGCATGGGCGGTGATGTGATCGTGCTTGGATACGTTTGGCAAACCCCGACACTTCTGTTCCTTGAATGCTTGGGGGTACCTCTGCCCTTCAGTGGAGACGGCGAGATCCATGGGGTCGCAAGGACTCCCAGATCAAATGAACCCGGCTGTGTTTCGACGGTCTTGGCGTGTAAGGGAAATATGAAACTCTGCGTGGAACACTTGCAGGCTGTGGGACTGTTCGTTGGAGCAGTCAATGTTGTAGCGGAGGAATTTGAGCTGGCGCTGAAATAGTTGGCCACTGGCTGGGTAGCCAAGGTTCGCAGGCCGAGTCTGGGTGATTTTGGCGGCACTTCAGGCGGTTTGTCTTTCTCCGATTGGTTTGGTCTTGGATGTTTTATAGGCAAATTGCCTTTTGAAGATCCAACTTCATCTGCAACAAAGGGATATGGCTCTAGTGCGTCGGGAAGCAGTAATGAGGAGGCCCTTTTTATTGACTTATGGCCATCATCTTCCATGGGAGAAGGTCTAAGCACTTTTCCAAAGGACTCTCTTGACGAACTTACTGGTTCTCCAACAGCATCGAGGGCGGAATCTTTGAACGTTGGCCGGCTCCAGGATGCTCCAGGGGCGCTACTCGACCGTTCATGAGTAGGAAATTTAGCTGGTAATGTTGCTACTGCAAAGTTAGAGACAGCGCTGCGACTACGAATATCAGGGGGATACTCACGCGAATCTGAATTCTTTTCCTGGACGGTCGTCATTGGCCTTAATTCCGGAACACTAATTTTACGACGCCGATGAAGTGTTCCGCCCTCCTTGAACGGGTTCTTCTTGAGGTCACTTAGATCTGGTGTCCGCCGTCCAGACGTCATTACTGACTTTTTCCAGATTGGCCATAGCTGGTACCTTTGGTGCTCAGTCGGCGTTTGCCTTCCCGATACGCTAACGTTCAAACTACAAGGAGTCTTGTCATTGGGCTGTTTGTTGAGTCAGCGTGGTCTATGATTCTTCTGAATTTTACGCTGTAGGGAGTAGCTCACAGTTGGGGAGGAGCAGCCTCTGGCAAGGCCAACATGTACGGCAAATTCCTGAACCTTCTGCTCGACAGCAAGCATCATTATTTCCCGCAGCTTACGTAAAAGCAATTTGGCGGTGTCTTCGGATTTGCCGTTAGGGGTAGATGCCTGATTTCTCTCTAGCCTGGTCGTTGTCCGGACCTATATATGGCTATAACAGCGATTCCAGGGAACGAAGTATGTCCTTATAACCCGGGACAGAGCTTCTCTTATTGACATCTCAAACGCCAACTTTTAGCCCTAGTATTGAGGAGGACCTGGAAACTTGCTTTGTGGATCGTCTCCGACTTCACACCAGGAGTCGGTGTCATCAGGACCAAATGACTCTAGACAGTAAACTAGTAAGGATCTTGGGCTGAGCCGCGAATATGCTGCAGCCCTTGAAACAACATCCATGTCTGTAAGTAAGCTTGCTAAACCTTATTTGACCCTAAACTATGGGGTCGAAGTGCTTGAGCGACTTGGACCAATATACTCCGTAGAAGCGAGCAAGAAGCCCATTCCTGCACTTCTCGGCTCCATAAAGCAGAACAGGTCAAATCGAATCCAAAACATCAAACCGACCACAACTAAACACCTAAAGTAAACTTTTACTAACACATGCATAGGTACTCCGTAGTTCAACTTAAGTTTCTCTCGCCAATGCCAAACTCAACAATGAGTCAACCCATATTCTGGACGCCGATGACGAAAAATAACCTCTTTGCTAAACCCCCGCCTTCCACTAGATTTATTCCCTATCCACGTTTGGTTGTAATACCCTCAGGCCAAGGGAAGACCAAATTCTCTTATTCCCCAAGAAATGCTGATCTATTAGGATGACCGACCATTGTGTAAAGCAGAGACTCGATGAATCAATTAGAGCTATCCTTTGGTCAGTCTTAAACCCATTACGACTGGTTGATCGGCTCTGTCCTGTAACCTATGCCTGCTAGCCTAAGCTTTTGTATGTGTGCTATGGTTCCTCCAGTTCACACCGCGCTTCTGTGGTCACTAAAGGATGTTTGTTTGCTTTATAGTTAATGCCAATTGTGCAGTTGGAATGGACAATGCCTCTCTTGCCCTAGATCAACGAAACTTGAAAGCCAGAACATCGATTCGGCTATTGCTCGATATAGAACAGCGAATCACTCACAAGGGTGTCTTTATTAGGGGGATTCTAGTAAGGACTATCAACCCAGTTGGTAATCCGGTCCCATTGCTCTCGACTCCTCCTCACTTATGTCTGCAAGTGTTTTGGCTAATATCACCACTGTGTATGATGGAGGAATGTGGAAAAGTCAAAAAAATCCACTAAACAAGTGAGGTATCTACAGTGTACTCCGTACAGCGTAAAAAATGCTGGAGCACTCAGGTCGCTGATACCCTGCTAGAAATGTCCGAAAGCAACCCCCCAGCCAAGCCAGGAGTCTCCGGAATACGAATCCCAGCAAGAGTATGACCTCGCTGGCACTCAACTTATTATTCAGTGGGCCAGGATGCTTCCCGACGAGATTTTCGGGGTTTCTAGCTCGAACCAGATGATCTACCAGCTCGCGTTCTCGTGGAGCAAGCACTTGCACTTGTGTAATAATCCATCTTTACCTCGCATCGACAATGGTGCTAGAAATGTCGCAGGTTCAAGCCTGTATTGAACATCCTTGACACCTTGCATGGGTTCGTTCTGAGCCCTTCCCCCTGCGACGGGAATGCAGTCGCGGTACTAGCGGATGCCACTATTTCCTTAGTGTGAACTTTGATCTCGATGCCTCAGGGGCGAGAAGTTCCTTTATTAGAATCTGTCCAAGGCGCATCTCAGGTCGGGGTTCAACATCCACGTTTTTCACAGGGATGTATCCTGACCTCTCAGTGACTTGATCCCTTTTAACTGCGCAGCCATCACCTCACCCCAAGTGATAGGGAGAGGAGCATGAGAAAAAAGTCGAATGAATCCTCTCGCCGAGTTATATCTCACATAACGATGCAGGCAAAGCTTTTGAAGTCAACTTTTACGCTACGTTTATTTATGCTGGGCGTATGCTGGGCTGGCGTTGCGGGAGGTGGATAATCGCCGTCCAGATGATCTACGTCACCCCTCTGGTTGGCGGAGTCGTTGCTCTTCGCCTGCGATCGATTTCCGTAGCGCAGTCAAACTCGAAGGCAGCTGATCATGTACTGTACATTTTTTAACGCGAGCTTGCTGAGAAAAGCGCTTCAAATCTCGCAAGACTTTCAGATTCCAAATAATTTTATCCGGAAATACTTCGCTGGGAAGACAGTACAATCACAACAATGCCATTTTTAGTCAGAGCTGTTGTTTGGTTTGCATTAGAGTTCCCAGGCGATTTTGTTTCCTCACTGGAATTTCATCATTGTTGCTTCTTATCGGTTCACAAATTGAATCACTCGGCTATTCTGGCGCCCGATGATACTTAATGAGAAGACGATGGCCTTGGACCCGTCTTGGCTGCTAACTCGAATGCGGGGACTCTCAATGAGTGACCACGTGGTTTTAAGGGGAGATTTACCGGTTCAATCAATAGCAGTC